CCCAACAACAACCATGGTTTGGGGGGTTGTTTGGGGGGGGGTTTGGGGGGGGTTTGGGAGGGGGTTTGGGGGGGGGGTTTGGGGGGGTTTGGGGGGGGGTTTGGGGGCGCTTGAAGACAATACTTAACGTGTCAGTTTGGACCTCTCTTGGGGAATGGATTCAGAAAGAAACCTCTGCAGCAGCTCTTGCGTTTAGCCTTTCGCCCGCAACGCCACTACGAGGTATGCCGTGCAGGGACATGTTCAAGCGCATAAGATGTGAGCACAGAAGTCAACGCTGCGAGGCAGGCCCCAAACGGCTCACCACCACCTGTTTGGCGGACTGGCTGATGGCTTCCAAGCGAAACCAGTGAATGCCAGCAAGATCCAGCAAGTATCCCTGGGGGGTAAAAGGCTTTTAAAACAAAGGCCGTTACATGAACATCCTTTGTTTGACTAGCTGGGGGATGGGGGCCTGGGTGGAATTCCAACTTTACATCGTCAGCAACAAGCCTTTTCCACACCAAGCTAGACTTGCGAAGGCCCCAACGTTAAAGCAGCACATTTCTGCATCATCAATGAACAATCATGGTCTTCCCGAAACATCCATTCAGCAAGACCTTTTCAAACCCAGCAGAAAACAACAGCAGCCAGGACGAATCCGAGTAGTGGTTCGCCTGCCAAATTTCACGGCGGTTCACGGTCTTTCACTGCAAAAAAAGGGCGTTCACGCCAATTTCACGGTATTTTCACGCTTTTCCCTTGTCGATTTCCCATTGCTAAGCCCATCATCAATGTCTCTAGAATTCCCACAAAGTTGAAGACCTTGAGCATTGACCAGCTTCAACATGTCTACATGGTTTTCGCGAGGCTTTGGAAAGCGCACTTTTCAGCCACAAGCACTGCAAAGCCATGTGGCTACTAATGCGGCCAACACAAAACTGTCAACCCAATTAAAAGCGTCCAGCTTGCAAACAAAGGACGTTCCCCACATTTCACGGCCGCTTCCTAAAGGCCTTTCTTTTTAAGGCCCCCGAACCCAGGTTTATGTCAATGTGCGGTGCATCCATCCTGGAAGGAGTCACGCGGAGTTTGGCAACAAACACTTGCCTTCTCCAACAAGTAACCTTTGAATTTCCGATTCAACCAGCAAGTTCCCAGCCAACCAACCAACCACCCAACCACCCAGCCAACCAGCCAGCCAGCCAAGCAAGCAAGCAGGCAAGCAAGCAACCCACCCTATTGTCTCCTTGTCTCCTTACGAGTACAAGCTACGACACGCCTCCCGTCCCCCCCCCTAAAAAACAGAAACAAAACAAAGGAGCGTGTGGGTTCCAAGGCGCAGCTGGTCGGTGGAGAAGGACAGCTTTTGGACCTGGCGGTATCGGAAACCCATCAACTTCGACCACGTTTTGAGTCCCTGGAGCAGTGGGAAAGCAACCAAAACCATGGTGATAACCAAGAACCGTACGTCCCAGAAGTCAAACCCATTCCAACCCTAACCTGGGCCGGCCTCAGATACCCTGCTAAAAGCTTGACTAACTCTTGGTGGGTTCGATATTGTGTTGGGGGGGCCCCATAATGGTAAGCCTCCTTTGGGTTTTCCTTCAAACCAACCCCCAAATCTGATCCCCTCCAAAAAAAAGACATGCCCAAATGGAAAACGCACCCAAACAATGGATGCTTCGACACGTACCCAAATAAGTTTCTCTGTCATAAAGTGGGATTTCCATTCCCAGAGCTTGGAAGGGTAGCTTCTGCCAACGAGATCTCCGGGTACAGTAAGTCACTTGGCCAAACATACGGTGGAGCCCAACATGAAGCAAGTGAAGTCCACCACATCTCACCGGGCTCCTTCGGTTCCCCCTTGCGATATTTGTATTTCGTTGACACCCCGCGGTGTGTCCTGTCTGCCGGTGTTGCTCTCCGATTTTGGGACAGGTACAGTTCATGTCAACTTGATCTACAAAAATCATGCTAATTCTTGTTGGCATATCGGACGGTCCTGTTGCTCCCAAAGCGACAGCACGTCAGCCCAACTGTCTGCAGGTTTTGGGCAGACTCCTCGCGGAAGTCCCTGATAAAATGGGCTCCAAGACCTGTAATCCGGCAACCCTTACCGTTGATGTCTGTTTGTGTTGGATATAGTCACAAGTGGGGGCCAACACCTCCGACGAAAAAGAAGAGCCCAAGACAGCGACGATTGGAAAATCGGCAAGCCTTCCACGGTTTTACATGCTGGAGATGTGCAACTGTGCACCATGCCCGAGGGCCGCTCATCCCTAGTTTGTGTATCCTGCTGATGAGTTTTAGGCCACACGCAGAACCGCCGACTTGCAGAACCCCGCGTACCCCGATAGTGAGTTCAGAAACTTGCTTTTTCGCGCCACCTCACCGGGTTTGATTAAAGCGACGAAGCAAACACAGCACAAGACATGGATTCTCCCGCATGCAGTCGTGGATATTCTGGCGAAGGCATCTCCCGGACCTGAAGCCAACCCTTGTGGCGTTTTTTGGGGGTATCTTCCATGGCAACTCGCCTTCATCTGGCTCGTCAAGTGGATTTTGGCCTTTTGCTTGATGGTACCCTTTTGGGTTTGAAACTAATTCTAAAAACAGACACCCACATCCCTGCCTGTTCCTGGGGCACGCAGAAGTTCCCCGCACCCCGGGGCGTGACCGCACCCAAAAGTCGCCTCCTGGGCGGCCATCGTGGCGCACAGCTCCAGCGAGGTCGAAGACGTGCGTCGAGACAGCGACAACGTCGCCTGCGCCGCACCCCCATGCCCGGCGGCCCCGCCTGGCGGCCCCGCCCGGCGGCCCCGCCCGGCGGCCCCGCCCGGCGGCCAAGGCAGTGTGACAGGAAGCGGGCGATCCATTTGTCGCATGTCCGAAAGTCTGGAAGGGAGAAACCGGCTCCGGACCACAAGTCAAGTGATGGAGAAGGATGTCTTTTTCAAAAAGGCCCCTTCTGGTAAACTCCAAAGGACAACCCCCCCCCAAAAAAAAAAAATCCGGGGTACCCAACACTTATCGGGGTACCCGTTGTTGAATCCTGGAACATCTTGGGTCAGGGAAGCTTGGTATGTTTGTGCGTGATATAGTTGTCCCTCGCTAGTGCATGCCAGTGCATGGTGCCGGGCTCAGGGGCAACATATTTTTGAGGAGTGTGGCCGATGTATGTTCTTCAAACTCGCAGAAGCCACTCTGAGGAGTATGCCCCATGTGCCCAACGTTGTTAAGCACACCCGCCCACCCGCCCACCCGCTCAACTCTGCGTCAACTCCCGCTCACGCGCACCCGCTCAAGACTGCTCATCTGCCTGTCAACTGTTCAGCGCGCCCACCCATGCGCGCCAGCTCAGCACTGTACTCACGCCTGCCAACGGTTAAGGACATCCTCCCACGCGCACCCACCCGCACACACGCACGCACACCCGCTCATCACTGCACACATGCCTGCCAACTGTTTAACACACACACAGCGTTCGCGCACGCCATGTGCCTTCCAACTGTTAAGCACACCCGCTCACGCGCAGGCGCCCAGCACTGCACACATGCCTGCCAACTGTTAAGCACACCCTCCCGCACATGCGTGCCCAATGCCCGCTCAGCACTGCCCAAAGGCCTGCCACGCCACCTGGATAGGTCTTGAAGTCACATGAAGAAGTGGGGTCTGGCGACACGCATCTGAAGAACAAAGACACCAGCCATGCTGGCTCGCGGGTTTGGCGCCAAACTGTTTGCCTGGCTGTTTTGGCGCAACCCGCTTCTTGGAAAAGACGTTGGATATCGCCTGCGCACATGGGCTTACGAAACATGGCTGAAGGCGGTGGCAAGGTCTCTATATATATATATAGCATAGCAGGACTGCAACGCTGGAAGCGTGAAAAAAAGCGCTTAGCCACTTTTTCGCCCCCATCGCCCGGATAAAACTCAGCTTTGACCCAGTGTTGCCATTGTGTGACCCGGGCCGCGCAGGACGAGCTGTACCTTGCTTTTCGGGAAACCAGCAGGGAACCCGAAATCCTTTGGAGGCTCCCTGTCTTACGACACCGCCTCACAGGCCGTGGCGATCAGGTCACGGGACAAGGCCGCCCGGACCTCAAAAGCGAGGGCAGTCCGTCGTTCCCAACGGAAATCTAGGCGAAACGGAGCCCCCCCCCAGAGGTTTTGGACAACCTGGGGTGCCCCGACCTCTCTGCACCAATAGAATCTTGTCAGTTGCTTCTCTATCCTGTTCTGCCCTATCGATTGGCGGAGCTAGCAGGTGCTAAACGAAGATCATCTTGTTTCGGCTTGGCCCAAATTGCTGCCATTGCACCCCTTCCAGCGCGCGCATTCATGCCGGTCCGAGAGAGGAAAAACAATTCCCATTCCCAGCAGCAATGGCTTCAATGTTTATGCATCCATGTGTTGTACGCATGGAACGCATGCGTCCCTGCCACCTGAACTCATCAAAGGACCATGAACGGCAACCTGAGTTCTGCCAACAAGACTAAATCTTGACTACATACGTCCTGGAACGCAAACACAAGACATGCCTTGGGATCAGAGGCTTGATCAGAGTAGTGGTCAGGCCCACGCGGAAGTCATTCGCAGGATCGTTTGCTGGAACAGACATTGACAGCTCCAAGCCGACTCTCCACCTCCGGTCGCCCCCGTTGAGTTCTTCTTCCCTTGGCCTCCGCACCACCTGCCCCGGCACCTCGAGAGCTCAACGAGCTGCCATTGCAAGCTTGGCTTCGGAGCCCCCGCGAAAAGCTTCACTTGTGGGTGGGTTACCTGGGAATCCCCAGGTAAAAAACGCGAAGAAGCTGAGCTCGGGAACCGGAGGGCGAGCCTCCAACAAGAGGCCCAGGCCTACCTTAGGAAAGAGGGAGTGCCTGGAATGCGATGAGACACCCAAAGCATTCTCCCAAAGAGGAACCTGCACTGACGTCGCTTTTTCTTGCAGTGGCAAAAACAGACCTGCCTTTCACATGGAGCATCCTGTGGACGGACGAAATCCTGAGAAACCCTGGCTTCTGATGATTCCCCTGTACCAACATACCAACAAATTTGGTGTCAACCATGGTTTCATTCCGTGGTGCGACATGGATTTCGTCCATACCCAGGTCCTCCAGTGGAGAGGTTAGAATCAGGGTGCCCTTTCTTCTGTCTATTTTAGTAGAGGTCAAAGGGACTGCACTGGGGGGACCTAGCCACGGTATGTTCGTCCCAATCCTTGGGAAGCCATGCCCCGTTCCTTCGCCCCGTGCCTCCAGCGAGAGCTGCTTCACCTTCTGGTCCTCCGCGTCCAGCTGGCCTTCGACCGGGTTCGCAGTTAGTGACCGTTTGCGGGGGTAGCATGTTCACTTGGCGGTTGTCAAAACCCTTTTGGGATCCCATTTTGGGCGTTTTCGGTGCACCGCCCATTTTAGAACCTGTTTTAGTGGGGATGGGGATTTTCGCTGGGGGTTACGGGATTTGGATGTTCATTCCAGTGATCCTGCTTTCCAGAAAACCACCCAAAACGAGAGAAAAAACATGGCGTTTTGGGATCCCCAAATTGACCAGGTGGCCTTTCGGAGGGAGTTTTGAAGCTCGGTACCCCGTTCCAGGTTGCGGAAAGCCAAAGAACGATCACCATTGCTAATCCCGGTCCCGTTGACACATACCCATTGGCGTCGCATTTGCAACACATCCCAAGCTCAGATCTGACACAACCCCACTCCCCCGCCTTCGCTGGCGCACAATGGACGCCGTTTTTGAGCCTGTTTTGAGCCGGAAAAGAGAACCAAGATACCAGCCGCCTCCATGGGTCCCCCAGAAACCTCCGTGGGCTTTCGCTCCCGGATCCAAGAGGATTGGACGGCAGGTCAAATCGATCTGAAGCATCAGACGGTGGACCCGTTCGCCATAATGCAAGTAAACCAACCACAGACCATGGGAATCTACAGGGCGTCCTTTGTTCCCTACTGGCAATATTAAGGGCATCCACCAGAATTTCCCTGTACCGAAAAGGCAACAGGCCGGAACATCCGTCCAGAAACTGTTTCGCAGCCGCAACAGTTGGCCCTCCCTTCTGAAGGATTGGCATAGAGAAGCCACGCAAAAACCAACAAAAAGCTCCAAGTCGCCCACCATATCGTAAAAAACCACAAAGTTTGCTTGTACACCTAAGGCTGTGCCCGGACAAACCCCCCAATTTTGCAGTGCAACTTGCACTGCACCTTTCAAGCATCTCTCATGGCCAAACCCTCCCACCTCCTTCAAGGCCCTCCACCGGCAGCAGGAAGCACTCCAACTGCCTCGCAGCGCATTGCTCCAGGCTTTTATAACTCGAAGAACCAGCAACACGGACACAACGCGGAAAATCCACCGTGATTCTGATGGCTTGCAAAGCATTGCTGCCTCATTTCCGGGCCTTGGGGCCCGGTGACAGAACCTGGCATACAGTTAGGCAGATGGCGACGGAAGTGAAGATGACTGAACCGAACTGAGTTGGAACTCTGCCAACCACTCCCAACTCACCCAACCGATTCCGCCCCCGTGGCCTGCCGAAGCACAGGAGGTGACGCCCTTCCGGACCTCAGAGAGTCCGAAACCCTACCAGTGTCCATGATGAGGGTACCCAAGCGAAATCCGTCGCCAGAAATGCGGAAAGCTGGGCTCAATAGAAAGCTGCACTGCCGGCCTCGCAAAAGGAAACTCTCTTGCGACTCCGAAACCATTCGCGGATAGCTTCGCGCGAATAACTTTGGCATTCCGCCTGGCACCGAATGACTGGCAACTCCATCTGCAACGGGGACCCATGAAGTTTGTTCGCCTTTTGTCGGGGATCCAAGTCATAGGCTAGGTTGAGCAACTTTCTCTGTGCGGTGTGAACGGTTTGCAAGATCTCCTTAAAGGGGAAGGAGCCCGAGTGTGCCGACTTGTTTAGGGGAAGTCAAGCGGTTGGTTGGCTTTAACAGGGAAACCGAGAGTAAAACCACTGTTGCGGGGGCTGCCCTAAAACAATAGACGCGCCCATTTTGGGGGTTGCCGCTCCGCAGGTTCCCTTTTGAACCAAAGCGGTTTCTTTCCGGGCCACACCAAAGCACCGATGGAGGGCAGGGGAAGAAGAGCTCAGCCTGCGCGGGCTTCCGTGCCCATCGCTGACTTAGAGCCGTAGCAAGGGGGAGCCATCGCAACTCTAGTGGATTCCCCAAAAAAAGTCCTGGAACTTGCTTGTTTTACCACCAAAATGGTCCTCCCAAGAGTTTCAAGTCCATGGACTCAGGAAGTGAAACCTGGGGGCCTCCACTTGTGGCTCTGAAACATTGGATCCCTGAACATTTTCGGACCTGGTAGCCATGAGTAATCAAAACCAATCGGAATTAACATGGTCTACCAAAATCCACGTAAACTAAAAGGCGGCCGCACCTATTTCTGAGTCGGCCGCACCTATTTCTGGCGACTGCCCCTAACCAACATCTACCCGGGCTTTGATTATGGCTCCACTGGAGTCTCCAAAGCATGTGGAACGACGGTCCGCTTTTCCTTTCCGCGAGTCGCCCGGGGGGGTCTTTGGTTCTTGGACAACTGGCCACGAGAAGAATCCGCCGTCGAGTGGGTGAACTCAAACTCCGCAGGGCAAAACAAGCTTCGAAATCAATGTTGGCCCCAAACCAGTTCACCAAGGCGCTCGAATTAACGCTAAATATTCCCACAAATCATTGAAGCGGCTGGATACGTTGATTCGTTGCACTGTAAGAACAGATAGCAAGGCCTTTGCTGGAATGTCTCCCTGCCTGCTCTACATGGTGCAAAAGCTGCAATCCGAAAAGCAATGAATGAACAGCCCCCTCGATGCCATCAATTCGAGCTGGCAGACCTGAGCCAGTCTGTACTGGGCTGCCCGTTTTCTGATCCGCTAAAAGTTTGACTAACTTTCAGTGGGTTGAATGCGGAGACCCAACCACTGAACCAACAAAAACGATCTAGAAAGCCAAGGAACCGGATGGCTGGGAGCCATCAAGTTGAGTCTCGGAAGACAGCACCAGCCGCAAGCTTTAGCGCTGTCTTGATTTCAGTACCCTCCCAACACATGGAACCTGACGTTTCCGGGGTGGTTTGGATCATTGTCCGGCTAAAAAGGGACCTGTGGGGTGAATTGCTGGAGGGAAAAAACATTACCTTACCCCTAGTTGGTGCGGGATGGCTTGCAGCCTTGGATTTGGATTTTTGCCTTAGGTGCCTAGACAACTTTTGCCTTGGATTCGGCTCAGGGCTAAGCAATCTGCACGGATTTGAAGCACTCCCCGCCTCCCGCTGCAGCTCCCCTGAAGGCGCGCTTGCGCTCCGGCATCCAGGTCTTATGGGGAGAACTAAAAGGATGCCTGCCGAACAAACCATTTTTTCCCCAACCATTTTGTAAAATCAATTCTCCGAAATTCGGACGCCCCCAAAAGAAAACTCCGCCCATCGGGACCCAGCCCTGGAACCTGGCGTCTGGAACCCTCCCTGAAATCTTCCCCACCCCAGAGACTAGGGCAGAGACCCCATAGATTTCAGCTGTTGGGGGGAAAAATGGTTCGTTAGGCAGGTGTCCTCTTAATGGATCATACTATGAAATCCATTTCGCACCACTTTGAAACCAAGGGAAACCATTGTTTGTTGGTATTTACATGGGAATCTTAGGTAGTGCAGGATTCGTCCATCGACGGTATCTGCATCACCGCGACCTGTGCAAATCGCCCAACCAATGGTTCCGGCCGAATGTCTTTTTCCCCTTCAGCTTCAGGGGTGAGAGTTGTGAGTGGGTGGCTGTCAAATCCAAAACGGGTACTCGATCTGCCGCCCATTCGAAAGCAATGTGAAACGTGAAAGTGGTTCTTGGAAACACTCTGAAGTTTTTGCGCAACCTTGCGCACAATTGGCATGCAAAATCATCTGAATTGCATCATATCCAAGTCAACAAGACCGCCAATGCATTTGAGAAGTTTCAAACAATCAGCCGTCGAGGCGTTTGAACCACTTAGCTTTGCCAGATCAACACCAGGCACCCAACAAGCTTGCTTGCAGGACAAGCATCTAGACAATGCGTCTTCTATTCGGGACACTTCTGACCATGGCGAACCCGACGAAGCGAGAAAGCCCTGAACAAACGCCTCCGCGCTGGCGCCAGATGCCCAACTGCCCGTCTCTTTGCCTCAGGGAACAAAAGCGTGGCCCAAGATGGGGCGCGCAGCAACCGCAGCAGCCAGCCATTGGACGTGTGTAAGTGTAGTACGTGTAAGGGAAGCAACGGAAGCAACTCTCCCAGATTCGGGGGCAATTGTTGGCAAGGTTGGCAACGGTGGCAACCTAGCGCCAAATTCATGGAGCCCAGACTTTTTCCTGGGACTCAAGAAAAACACATCCAAAAAGGCTTGCGGGGATATTCAACTTTACAAGTGCACCGCTTCCCTGAAATTGGCTTCAGGACCCCTGCAAGGGGAACCCAGGATTAAAGCCTCCCAGGTTGACTGATGTGAGGTGTCCCTTCACATTTCAAGCATGCCCCTCAATCCGCATGCAAACGCCTTGCCCAAAAGGGGCCCTTCGCAGCAGGATTGTTCAAAAAAACACCCTTGGATCAGAATTCATGTTGGCCCCTGATTACTCCACCCCCGCTTTTTAATCAGGGGTCCCGGTTCGCCTGGAAGAAAGGATTCTCCACTAAAAAGGGGGCCTTAAAATAACAACAAGTGGGAGCTTACTGGGCTGCCCAAACTGATTCCCTGCTAAAAGTGACAAACTCTTATGGACAACTTTTGGAGGGAACACCCCCCCTAATCCGGGGTCAACATCACAGAACTTGGTCCCAAGCTTCGATGTTTCTCCGCTGGGCGCCCTGGCACCGCAGCCACGCGGCTTCCTGAGACCGCCGCCCAAAGAGGGGCCTCAGTTCCGAGGCAAAGCTCCCGCGCGAAAATCGAAGGCGGGACCAAGCTGATCTCTCCAAACGGGTCCGGATTGCCGTCTCAAAAAAACACCTGACCACAAAGCAAATAACTACTCGGAATCCAATACCCTCCTTTCGCTAGGAATAGCAAGCAAAGAAAATGCCCGCCAAGCTTTTCCCCGCCTGAAAAGGATGTCGACTCCATCTTTGAGAAGGTAAGGGGTAGTCGTCGGAGTGGGATACTTTCACGCACTTCACCATGAGTGCCCCCACCAAGAATACTCGGCCATAAAGTCAGCCAACCCCTCTTTGATCCTCAAACTGGACATGGTTTCCCCCTCTTACGTGCCGCAGGTGACGTGGGTTAGATTGAGGGACGGCGGAGCCCGAACACCGATCGCAAGACTTTTCACGTCGCCCTGCTAAGCAGCGGTTCTGTCGCGGCAGCGGTGACACCTTCGGGTACTCGAGTTGCGCGAGTACGGCTGGCAGTGAAGTGATCCCCCAAGAACCCCAGATTCAAGACCCCACATTGGTGGATTGCATTCTCTGGTTTTCCGAAGCCCCAGTCACTGCGCTTCAGCTGAACCTTTGGTGACCGTTTGTCAATGATTCCGGAGCCTCCAAACATTGTTTCGCGCTGCGAGATGAACAAACAACTAAATAAGTCATTTGAAGAAGGCTCATACCCATCTCGGCAGTTTTGGCTAGAAATGAGCGGCTTGCATCTTGTTTGCTACCGTTCAAGCAAAGCCTCCCAAACAGTGTCCAGTATGGCCTTGGCCTTCTGAAGGTTCCTCATGTGTCCAACGAAACTAAATGATTGGCCCAAAGGCTGATTGCAAAGGTCCATACGAACCCTTGGCGATTTTGGACCTTCTACAAGCTGATCTCCCATAATAAAGCCACAACTCCCGGTTTATTAACCCATATGCTAAGGGGTTCATGACAGGGGTTCATGGGCATATACATTCAGCCTTCAAAAAGGGACATAGGAGCATGACTTCCAGAATTGTTCTCCAGTTTTCATAAGCCTCCAATTTTTATGTTATTTTCTCGCAGGTTCAAATGGCGGTTGTCCTTTTGATATCCTTGCAAAACCGAGGCTGTGGGAAATCCCACAACCCTGTTCTAAACCAATCTGAAGAAGGGCACTCAACCTGAGTCATAATGAAACCCCGGTATTAACATTGTCTATCCAGAACGATGTACAGAATTAAGAAGGCGGGCGCGGCCATGTGTGCTTGGGAGTATCGCCTGCTACCCTTCCTCTACCCGATCCGGCTTTGAGCAAGTGGCTCACCTGAAGAAGAGCACTCTCAAAATCCTCTTGTCCACTGGGAAACGGTCAGGCGTTGCACTCATTGCACTCCCTCGCGCCCTCGCGCCCTCGCGCCCTCGCGCTCGGGTAACCCTCCGATCGCTCGCCCGCAGTATCCGGGCCCTGTGCGCTGCGGAGGCTGTCGGGGGGCCCCTCGGCGACTGGAGCTGAAAGATGTTGCACCTCAATGTGGACCCCTTCATCAGTGGGGGATGTTTAAGCAGTAGGGGTTCCCGTTAGGCCCTTAGTATCCACATCGAGACGGGCAGAAGCCCCGCAGAAGCCCCAAAAGCCCATGCTCCGTCCTGGATGAAGAACTAAGAACAGGCCGGAAATACCATGAGTCTCTTCGAACAGACAAACGAACCAACAAAAACAAGAAAACAAGCCAAACGAACAAGCAAGGCAAACAAGCAAGGCAAGCCAGCCAGCAAGCAAGCGAGGAAGCTAGCCAGCCAGCCAGCAAGCAAGCCAGCAAGCAACGAAAACACAAACCAAACAGAAAAATATTTATCAACAATGCGTTGGCTAATATGTTGGCTTGATGAGTGGGTATGTCACACGCGTCAGGATCTCCCATCCATGGAGGAACAGCTCTGTCAAAGCACATTCGATCGCATGCAAACATTCATCTTCGCTTGCTCCTACAACCAGCTCCCTCGCCTCAGTGCCTCCTTTTGCACCGAATTGTTGTGCAGAGTCGCTCGCTTGACCACACACGCTGACCAAACCTCTTCGCCGTAGGAAACTCTGCCAGCGGTTTCTTCTTTCTCTTGCCTAAGGCAAAAAGCAACTTCTGTCCCGGCAAATCTCCAGGGGCAAAGAGCAGCTTTGGGGGAGGGCACGCAGCGCTTGGGTCACCCTTCGGGCAACTAGCACCTGAAAGACCCAAGCCCAAGAGCCTGGGTGCGGTGTTCTCCAATTGCCACCCTGAGAAAACTTCATGGTCCATTGCTATCTTACTTCCTGAGTGAGTTGGCCAAACAAAGTCCAAACTTGAAGGTACGCAGAAAGTGAGGTATGGGACCCTTCTTCTTTCCACACTTCACACACCCATGTGCCTTCTCGGAATGTCTCACCCGGACTAAAGAAATGCCAGGGGCCCACACCGCACCCACACCGCTCAACGGAACTGCCTCGAATGGTTGCAGTCGCGTATGGACGTTTTGCCTCGCGCCAAGCCCCAAAGGTGTCATGTGGAAAGGTCTGTCTGATGTCGTCCTTGCAACTGGCTCTGTGAAACACCTGGGAGTGTCTCTTTTGAGGGTACCCTTTGGGGTTGTGGTTCAAAGGCAAACAAACAAAAACGACAATTGCGGGGGGCGGGGGGAAGGTTCTCGTCTATTTTGAGACAAACCCAGCTACATGTTTAGGCGTGTGAGGCAAAGCTCTTATGGCCGGCGATTGTGCAATTTTGTGTTGAATCGGGCATGGCCCCTAAGCTAGACAACCGTCCCGAGCTCGGGCAAAGCCTTCGACCCTCCAGAAAGCACCTGCCTAATCCACACGTAGAAGCACAAACCTTCGGTTGCTGGCCCTATGCACGAGGCAAACACAGCCCACACACCCTTTTGGCAGCTGAGACGACAATCTTGCTTTGTATGTCACAGTGGACTGAAGTGACGAATTTATGTGTATATATATATATACATATGGTTTGCCAGGGCGTTGAGACACAAGCCACACACTCATCGGGTTGTTTGCGGCATTTTAGTGTGTGCTTGATTTGAGGCCCCACTTCACCCGCTGGCCAGCATGTTGAGGCCCCACTTCACCCGCTGGCCAGCATGTGGCCCATGCGTATGCGACTTTTCCGGATCCGGAAAAGATTTGTGAGACGATCATCAGGCGATGCCTGAAAAGGATGGCAGGCCCGCTCCTTGTTTCGCCACACAAAATTGGGCCTACTCCGAGACACGGTCCTGTCCTTCCCAAAGCATGTTCCCGTCGCGAATGCACCTAAAAATGCCCGCCTGGATTCATCCACGGACGAACCAGTTCAGAGTTCTCTTCTTTGCCAGAGTCCTCGCGAGCTCATCGGCATCTGGGCCCTGGCAGAGCGCGCTTGTTTTTCCCCGGCCATGGATCCTTCGAGTGGCTCTTCCCTGGGCCGTGCTGGAAAAGAGTGTAAGATCTTGGGCAACATGTCACGAAGCCACGAGAAAAAAAAAACGAAACAAAAAAACAGAAGCTTGGAAAGCAGTCGTGTGTGTGTGTGTGGGTGTGCCCGGAAGTGCCAGCTGACTGGAAGCCAATTTGTGATGCTTGGGGCTCTTTGGGGAGGCCCTGTGAAACACAGGCGATACAAACTTGACTGCTGCATGGTCGATTCCACGTCCGGACTCAGTTTGCTGAGTTGCTGAGGTCAAGCTTCGAGAACTCGCACGCCAATCAAATGTATCAAACAAAGGATTGTCAAAGAGGCGTTCGTGAGCTCATTGATTCAGCTCAAAGTTGCAAACCTGTACAGAAGCTGAAGCAAGCTGATTGAGGGAGGCTGCACAGGGAGCAGACCAAGGGAAGTTGAGAGGACCTGCTTCAGGGAGCGCAGCGCGTCAAAAATGGGTATCCATTTTGGAACCCTAGTAAATGGAACCAAGGACTAAAACCTGCGGTCCCTGGTGCTTTAATTTTGACCCAAACCCACCTGACCCACGAGTCCCTTCAAATCTGGTGCCCAGCTGAGAAGAATACAGCCACGCAAACCCATCGAGTCACTGCCGACACACCGCTTCCCCTCCCCCCCCCCAACTCCGTCGGAGGAGCCTCCAGTTGGGGAGGTGCCTAGGTCTCGATTGATCAATCTAACGATCGAAACTTGCAGCACCTCTAATTCCCTCCTTCACGCAATTGCGGACGTGGGCAGGAGGGATTGAACAAAACTCTGCTCTTGAAAGCGTTACGTTTATGATGGTTGGAAAATCGTAGAGAATGGTCTGTGGGGGGACAACTGAAACTTGTTTTGGTTCACATTTGGTCGCAGACTTCTGCCATTGGATCACAAAGGGTGATTGTTTGCCCTGTGGTCAGCCCAAGTCTGCTTGGGTGTATGGCAGCGTGCTTGTATTGCTGTTCAGTTTGGTTGACTGTGATTCGCGGCTTCAACATGTCTCTTCGGTTTCTGCTAAAAAGTTCAGCCCTGCCTGCACTGCCCAAACTGATCCCCGCTAAAAGTGACAAACTTTAGTTTTTAAATGGAAATCCAGCCACTAAACACAAAAAAGATCTGAAAACAACAAGGAACCGGATGGCTGGGAGCCGCCAAGGTGTGTCCTCTCTCCCCTCTCGCCAGGGTGCTTTGCCATTGCCTTTGCCCTGGTTCTGCTCTGACGGATTGGCATCCGAGATCTTCTTTGCCTCGACCTGGCGAAAGCGAAACTCCGCGAACATGGGTTTTTTTTGAGGCTACCCTTTGCTTAAAGGACAACCATTGTTCGGGTCCCCCTATTTTTTTGACACAATAGATGTGAAAGGATGTGGTAAGCGGAGTATGGTGGAAATCGTTAAAGTGCTGCAAACTGCTGGTGCTTGTAGATTAATGCACACAACGCGATGATAAGTGCCAGGTTTGCAGCCACAGCTTGTGAAATATGACATACCATTATTGCTCAAGATGGAAACGTGGTAATTATGCCAAGACTTGGCAACATATGGCAAATGACACATCACTGCGAAGTGCAACTTCTGCTATGCAACGCTCACAGCTACAAGCTTAAAAGCTTCCTTGTCTCTTCGGATGTTTCTCTGCGTCGCACTGAAAGAGCCGGAACAAACTGGAGCAATGGGCAGTTTGTCGGGCTGCCTCCACTGTCCTTTGCCTTCAAGCGGTCTGTCTTTTTTGATGGTACCCTAGTTTCCCTTGAAGGAAACCATAAGGCATTCTTTATAGGGGTCATTCCATCATTCCCTGAGCACCAGCAAGTTTTGGGGCAGCGTGGGAAAGCCGCTGGAATCTGAGAACGTTTGGGCTTCTCGCTTGAGATGTCACACCCCGTTCGAGCCGAGAACCAAACCACTTCAAACTCTACCCAAAGTGCCACGCCGTTGGTTGCCGTTTCCTTGCCGCAGACTGCACGAGTCTGGTGCATTGGTTCGGCTATAAACATGTAATTTCATATTTATGTAATTTACCAATGTCATCTGTTTTCGTGCAAGTACTTGACAAATGACAGACCCAGCATTGTTCTTCATCGAAAAAAATCGTTGTACATCGCCCAGCCTGTTGGTAGTAGCCTTCAGCTGCCAAAAGCCCCGAGGCGACGGGCTCTATGCCCTTCCTCGGCGGCGGATACCGTCTGAGCCCATGGGACTGAGTGCTTCACCAAAAAACACTTCAGCCGATATGGAGGTTGCCAAAACTATGGACCCCTTCGACCGCTCACGATGCCCTTCATTGCCAGCTGCCTCAAGCAGATAGCAAGTTCCTGGTGCGTGGAAGAGCAGCAAGGAACACAAGCTGTCACATCAGCCAGGTCCTTTCTCTGGACACTGGGTGAAAGGGAGGCTGTGCATAAGCCTGTCCTGCCTGCACCGCATTTGCTGCGCAGTACGGTCTTACTTCCCTCACTCATGTGCCCCGAAAAAAATACTCATGGGACTCTGAGCTGACTTGAACCCCAACTAGTCAGATGCATCAGAACACACGGACAACAAGTGAGGAATAAACCAAACCCGGCACTCCAGGAGACCTAAAAACATATGTAAAGAACAAAGTCACTCGCGGCTGCGGCTGCACCTTATGGTTGGGAGTGTCCCGTCCAACCTTCGCTTGCCGCTTTGGCTCAAGGGTCGGGAAATCCCCAAGACTAGCAGGGAGTCAGCATGGGCATCCTGACGAAGACTCTGCCATGTTCGTTTTTTGGGGAGTGCCTTGCCCAGCGCGCCCGAGACCTGCCCGCACAAAAAAACATCCCCCTCCCATGGATGGTCCAAAAATGGGTGGCCCCAAAATGGGTCGCCCGGTTTTGGACATGAGACATGGAACCAACTGCTAAAAACCAGTGGAAAATTTTGACCCAAGGGAACGTCGCCAAACCTGAGCCTCCGGCTCTTCAGTGGTCCCTGGCCAGAAAGCCGAGCGGAGCCCTTTTCGGCGAAGGGCTGGCCTTTAAGGTTCTGAGGTGCCGAAAGAAAATAAACACAGGAAAACTGGCAGGTCATCCTTCGGGCATCCCGAGTTCCAGGCCGGACCAATGATTCGCCAGTTGAGAATCTCCTTACGGAAAGCAATGCATGAAGGAGAAATGAAGTAGCGGATAGTCGCTGAACGCAGACCCACAATGGGGTGGCAAAACCAGCCAGAAAGTGCACTCCAAAACCAAAAGCTCGCCCATGGGAGCTCAGAGTTTTGCTGACTCAGAGACCTGGCAAAGGACGAATGTCCCTTGCCTAATGAAGGCCTGCCCGAGAAACAAACCAGCGAGCGACTTCAGTGAAAGCTCCGGGCGCGGAGGTCTCCGCTCAGGTGTAAACATCACGTTGAATGAACGCCAACTGCAGGTTATAGCTGAGCCATGCAATCCAGGCGCATGCAATTCAGTGCCCATCCACAGAGGCCTGCAACGGATCCACACTTCTGGCCAACCGATGGCCCGAGTTTCTTCCCGGAGTCGCCCTTGCCGCGCCTCTGACTATCAGAAGCTCGAGATTGCCACAGTTCAGGCAGGTCTTGAGCATTTCGGGAACATCCTTTGAGATGCCATTCACGGCCTCAGAGAGGGTCAAAGAGCACGACGAGATGCTTTGCCCGCGCGTTCGCAACTTGTGAAGCACATGTCCAGCATCCCTGGCTTGCAACACATGGCTTGTAATCAACGACATGCGAGGTGCAGAGCTCTGAACCCCCCCACCTACTGCCTTCCTTCCCTGAAAAACAATAGTGCAATTGAGGGTTGTGGATGGCGCACACTAGAACCTCGCAACAGCAAACAAAAGTTGGATGTACAAGCAACAAACAAGCCATCCGCTCGAACTCTCGTTCCAGCGGAAAAAAAGAGACACCCGGGCCAATAGACCAAGAAAGCCGCTGGGCGCCCGTGCTACAATGCAGTCGCCGCTCCTGTCAGGGACACTGAATGAACTCCAACCAAACCAGACTCGCAGAGAGCACTCTCCGACTTGGATGTCATGCGTATCATCCCAGCTGTGCACTCAAGCCCGCATCGAGTGCCTCAAGCCATCCCTTGGCTTCTTCAGCCCGTCGCACATCTACACCCCCGCAAGCATATGTGCCGAAACAAATTGTGCCAGGTGTCCACGGAAACATCCTTGGGCAGCTCAACTTCTCACGCGAAAATCCTTTTGACACAGCAGCCCACCCCATATCCCACAGCCTAAAACCCGGAACCCATCCAACTGCCCCACCCCAGCCACCCCCCACCCACCAAACCACCAACCCGACTACCCGCCCATGCCCCAACCGATCCTTATCAGCTTCATGGGGTTTTCGTCGTTCCACTGCCCAACGAGGCCCCCATTGACATCCACCACAGGGATGGCGGTGCTCTCCTGACGAACGGTCTCGACACCACCCTTCTGGCGCTCAAGGGGAAGCCATCAAGCCAGGAAATGGGTGCGTCCTTTAAGGGGACCCTTTTTGGGGTTGGTGTTCAAGGGAAACCAGCAGGAAAAGCCCAACCCATTTTGAGACAAACCCAGAGCGCGCTCTGGGATAAGGCCAAATGGATCCGACCGCCAGAAAGGAAACCTTTTGCTGTTGCAATCGAACATGAAGCAAACCTAAAATGGCGAAAAGCTTCAGAGGCCAGCTATCTCTGGCGATGTTTGGTGCACCCCAAAGATCGAAATCACATTTGGAAAGCCGCTAGATCAAGGCGTGACAAGCCTCTGCCTTTGTAACAGGAGGGTGCAATTGCAAGTGAGCGACCTGGCAAAGCGAGCCTGTGACTTAGCATGTGCGGCAAGTCGAACACAAAGCATCAATCAGGCGAACTATGCCTAGCCTCAAGAGTGTATTTGTCATATACTGTATATAATAAATATAATATATATATATATGTATACATCTCATCCGGCCCCATTCGCAGGTGCGGCATGGAAAGCACTCGGAAGTCATGGAACCCGCTCTGATTCGACTCCGAAGCTCGTAAAGCAGTCCAAATTCTACCCAGCAAAAATCTCATTCGCCCGATAGCTCCCCATCAACTGGCCAGGATGGTTCTGTGCTCATTTCACGGATCTAAAATACTGTGGATGGACGAAATTCGGCACCACCGAGGAAACCCTGGAATGATGATTCCCTCGTAAATACCAATCAACAATGGCCAATCAACAATGGTTTCCCATGGTTTCCAAGTGGTGCGAAAAGGGATTTCGTCCATCCGCGGTATTGCATCCAGAAAGCTGCAAGTCAAAAGCGGAGACTTGCGAAGTCCATCCGGTCATGGACAATGGCCGTCGTGAAAGCTTCACCATGGAAATGGGATCAGCACCACGGAAATGGGAGAGGCCAAATTGTGAAGAGCATGGGCCGAAGGCTGTCCATTCAGCTCACTCAAACAAAAGAGGACGTTCACCCGCCTCAGCGTAGTCAATGTCAAGACCTAGCTTTGCGGTCGTCTCCTGGCGTCAAAATGCAGGGCGTGGCGTGATTGGGCGACATGGAGGGCCAATTGGACATGTAAAAAAGGACCAAACAGCTACGAGTCGGTCGCAAAATGCTCCCTTTTTCCCCTGATCTTGCACCCCCCACCAGGCATCGCAGGCAAGACTCCCCCGAAAGAGCAAGGCAGCAGCCTACCAGCCAGCATGGGACTCCCTAGGCCGCTGTCATGCACTCGCGAATGTCGCTACACAATGTATGATGTATCTATCATGGTATGTCAATGTGGGAACGCACCTTTCCCCATGCCTGCATCCTATTTTAATGATGCCCAGCTCTGTAAAAACAAATGACAAAAGTTCCAAGCCAGCTCTTGATGTTCCCTGGCTCCGTCCAACCTGCTCAGGCCTGTTCAAGCCATCCTCAACGTCATTGGGTCTGCTTTGATGCGAAGCCCTGTTCCTTGAGCCACAAACCAAAACGGGTGTTTCTCAAATTTTGGGGTCATCCAATTGCGGGGGTCCCTCTAAAATCTTTGGCTTCCTGGTTTCCCTTACATCAAACACACCTGGGCTGTCGGATCCCCTTCTGAAAGTTCGACTCGTGGCTGTAAATGGAAGCCCAACCCAACTGAAAACCTCTAATGGGGTTGATTAATCAACCTCAGTTTATTCATAGGGCGCTCCACTCCAAAAGTGATGATTCCCCACTAAACCCAGGGGCACCCCCCTGGTAATAAGCTGGGGTTCATTCATATGGGGGCAACATTGAAACCCGAAAACGGCGCCGGACGCTTAGCCGGGCGCCTTCCCGGCCGGCTTCGTGATGCTGGCGACGAAGGTCCGCACGTCGCTGGGTACATCCTGAACCCACGTCCGCGCCTGGCGGAAGAAAAGGGGAAAGCCTCCAGCGGAAAAGAGGGCGGGCGTCACCCTTTTTTAGGCAAAAGCGCGGGTGTCTCTGTTCTTTTCGATAGGGGGGGGGGGGGGGAGATTTTTGGGTTCTTGTCCAAGGAAAGCCAAAGGGACAACCAACAATTTGTGGGTCCGGAACAAAATCATTCGAGTTTTCCACAACAGGGGCATCCTTCGCATCTCCAAACCCAGCGTTGTCCAAAATGGCAAGAGGCTGGAGTTCAGTCATGAAAAAAACGTTGAGTACTTCTCAAACATCCCCCCTCCCACTATACTGCATCCAAGGATCGTAGAGTGGTGGCATATCGTCGCTGCTTTGTCTTGCCTCAATAACTGCTGGGCGCACTCTTTCTGCCCGATCCGTTGCTTCATGACTCTGTGCTAATTTCTGCATGGCTTTTTGCTTCATTGCTGAAGAATCTGCCTGCGTGCCCTGGCTGCGCAGTGCCCCACATCAGCCAAAGCAAATCGCTGGACGACGCCAAATGATCCCCACATCTCCCCCACACCGACACGCCCTCGGGGAGGTCGCTCAAAGGGTATGTTTTTCAGGGCGCTTGCTCAGGGGAAACCACCAATTCTTGAGTTTTGGGGTTGAAGGTGGGGGGGGGTCCGCGGTTTGAGGAATGAAATAGAATGCCTGCGGCACTCGTAGTTGTTCAGCATCCTGGCACAAACTGCTTAAATCTTCACACATGATTGCTGTTTGGACCCCATTTCTTGGACCCCGTTCCCTGCCCTAGCGAACCTGGCTTTTCCGACCCGGCCCAAGAAACAAAGGGTCATTTAAGGAGAGAGAAAAAGAAGCAAAGAACACAGATGGGCTGGGAAAGCCGGATTTTTTCTTCCCCAAAGCACCCCTTTTCTCACGACTCCACCTCCGGCCTTGTGTCGCTTCCGCTCGAAGACACCTGAGGACTCCTGGGAGTTGGGCTCAGTCCCCTCCTGGCGACGCGTTGAGGCCGCGGAGGCCCTGGAGGCCCGGCACGGAGAACCCTCGGTGAGTTCCGGAGCTTGGCTCCACAGAATGTCGTTCGTCAGACAAATTGGCGCCTCACAGAAAGAGGCAGCCGTTTCGAAACTAGTATCTCACGACTGAACGCATCAGCCTCACGACTGAACGCATCAGCCTCACGACTGAACGCATCAGCCCCAGCAAGTTGACTCGAGTATTTGGACTTTCGGGCCGCAGGGCCCTTCGGAGAAAAGGTTCTGACGCTGCATTGGTGGCTGGGCCCGTTTTGCTTTCGTTTGAGCGAGGCACTGGATCATGGGCGGCCACTGTTCGACAAAAGCTGCTTCGAATCCAAAGGAAGATCCACGGCGGGACTAAAATGGACGATTGCCATCCGACAAGCGGTCTGAATGTTGACATCAACTCGATTGAATGGCAGGAGAAAAGGCCCAGGGAATGGTTAAACAACTGTGCATGGAAAAATCCTGCGCCAACTGGAATGAAGAATGCAACAAACCACATGTCATCTGGTGCAGATTTTTGTCCGTTCACAGTATGACGCAACGCGGGGCCACACACCGGGAATTCAAATACGTTACTCTGAGAGATGAGGCGGCCATCTGCATGCTCCATTTCTGAGGGCGAATGTCTCAACATCTTCTTCCAGTCGTACGTATAGCTCCCAAATCCATCTCCCGCACCTCCCCAAAGCCCAAAGCCCCCAAATCCCACCCTGCCTTGGAGCCCTTTCCTTTTGGGGCGCCCATGGGCGGGTCTGAAATGCCCTTCACCTCCCCTGTGTCTTGGTCGTCTTCCTTGCCTCAGGGCTCAATGCGATGGCGAAAGAGGAACGTCGCGCAGCTGGCCAGACTTCCTCCTTCCTTTTGCATTCACAGAAACACCACAACTTGCCTGGCTGCTTGATGGGCCTTGCCTTTGCTGCAGCATGACACAACTGGCAAAGTCTTTGGGGTGGTTGGTGAAAGGTGTGCTTGGTATGCAGAAGCCCCTGTTGGGCGTGCCCACGCACGCAACAAGCTCAATTGATGAAGCCTAATTTGATGAGGACAAGCCGTTGGAAAGGCTGGACCACAAAAATGGGAAAAGGATATCTGTGCAACAAAGGCCCAAAGGCAAAACAAGGCAAGCCCCGCAAGAACAGCCCCTGTTGCGACTCCACATCAAAGCCGAGTGGAGGGTGCCATTGCGTCAGCAATTCTTGGACGGGGGTTCGCGGGTTGCATCTGCCCATGTCCCTTTGTAACCTGGCTAGCGCCCATTGATATTTCGGAAAACCGTCCCAACGCCAAAGACTCGAGTCCATAAACCTCACCAGCTAGACTTGCAAAATTGTTCAAGCCACTCCATGGGCGGGAAAAAATCTGCTCCCCTGTTACAATATGTAGTATATTGTTTGAATGGATCACCAAAAATTAGTTGGCAAAAGCAAGTCCTAACATCCCTTGGCAAAATGGAAACCTCTGTGGCCTCAACCCAGCCCAACCCGACCCGTCCCTCACGACTTCTCGGCCCCGCGCCCATTTGGTCCCCAGAACAGCACTGGGACCGCGTCCCCACATTGCCCATGGCACCCCGCCCGGCCGGCGCGCTCACCGGGGGCGCACTCGGGACCGGGGAAAACCGGGGGCGCGGCGGAAAAGAAAAACAAATCACCGGCTGGAAGTAGAACAGCGTGTAAGCCAAAACCTTTTCTTTTTTAATCGACTTTTTCGTCCTTCCAAATCTTAGGCTCCAAGAATCCAACAGAAGAAAAATGAGAAGCGCTGCGTCGCTCTGCCTCTTGGGAACCCGGTCCCAGAGCCCGGCGCCCCCCGAAAGCTCGCTAGGGGGCGCAAAAGCCCTGGAAGGCCATTCTCGGCCGTCTGGAGCCGAGAGCAAAGGCGTCCGTTTCTGGCCCCTCACGGCACAGTCCGACGGAGTGACCTTGTGGTTTTCCACGGACCTTGCGTCTTTTCCCGAGATATGTTCCAGGCTTTCTACGAAGATTTGGATCCATTGGGGTCAATGCGGAAACCTTTCTGGGGCTGGGGTCTTGGGGTTTGACCCCAGCGAACCCGTGTTTGGGCAACGATCCAAGTGCAGCAGAATAGCTATCAGTCGAACATGCCGGCTCGCGAACGCGAATGCATCAGCTGACACAACCTCGGACTTCCTAAAGGCAAAGCCAGCGGGGAGATGGCTCTTCAGATCCCTGGGCCAACTCCTGCGACGAAAACGAACCAGGAATCCCCATGAAGTCGCCTCATTCGTCAAACAAGTGTCCGCGAACGCCGGTTTTCAAAATCCAAGGGTTGGTTTCAGGCAGGTTCACGCGGCAGCCAAGCTCCCAGCAGGCCCCGGCAGTGGCAAAGATCTGAGGCCTCCCTCGCAGAGTAGGTGCCTTACTCAGTCAAAGCCCAGAAGGGTGGGAGAGTTGTTGTTTCCCTTGGGTTGGTGTCTTTCTTGGGTTGTTTACAACCGGCACGAATGACGCGCATATGAATTCTCACTCTCAGCTGAGGTGTGCTTGGAACTTGTTTAGGGTAGGTATGGTTAGGCTCGCTTGGCTCGCTTAGAGCGGGCCGGATTCATTGCAGCTCGGAGAGCTGACATGGGGGCCGGGCAGGACTGACTGGTGTTTAGGTGGGCTTGGGGCTTGTTTGTGTCAGGCTTGCTGCCAGTAACTTGGTGTTGCAGGGCATTTTCAGAGCAGAGTCGAGGCAAATTGATATACGCAATGCTAGTCATGCATGCCCTGTGTCGAAATCCGGCTGGTGATAGTGTCTAAACTTGGTCAGCCCCCCGCGGACTACAGACTGCTGCATGGTTGACCGAATCTCATTTGGACACACACCAGGTGGAAGTGTTAAATTACTTCGCTTCCAGCAACCCCCACCCTCCAGACTCACGAGCTTACGACCGTGAACACGGTTGCGTGAATGCAAGCATGGTTTTAGAGTGGCTTGGGGCCTATGACTGCTCAACAGGCTTTGCATTGAGAGCCTTATCCACCTGTCTGTGTGTGTGTGTCAAGCTCCACTTGTCTGCGAGCCGATCTCGAGAACTCAAACATCGGTTCCGTTAACAAAAGCCAAGCCCCTTCCAAAAAGAAACGCGACGGGGGATGAAACAAAGTTGCTTATTCACAACCCAAACCAACACAAAAGCATCACCCTTTCCGAGCCTCAGGGTACACTCAAAACACGAAGGCACCAACATGAAATGTAAACCCAACTGTGCGCTGGGCGGGACATTAAGCAAGACCAGACTGGCGAGCTGCTCTGGCGGTGGCTACTGGCAAGCCGCTCCGGCTCGATACTGGCCGGATACTTGGGAGAGCAAGGGATGGATACTCGGCGGGAACTGTGCGCCGGGCGGGACATTAAGCAAAACCAGACTGGCGAGCTGCTCTGGCGGGATACTGGCGGGATCCACTGACGAATACTGGCGAGCCGCTCCAGCTCGATCAGCGGGATACTTGGCGGGATACTTGGCGGGATACTTGGCGGGATCCACTGGGCAGGATCCACTGGCCAGCTGCTCTGGCGGCATGCTCGGCGGGATTCACTGGCGAGCCGCTCTGGCGGGACACTTGGCGGGATCCACGCGAGCCGCTCTGGTGGCGAGCACTTGGCGGGATCCACTGGCGAGCCGCTCTGGGGGCGAGCTGCTCTGGCGGGATACTCGGCGATCCACTGGCGAGCCGCTCTGGCGGGATACTCGGCGGGATCCACTGGCGAGCCGCTCTGGCGGGATACTCGGATACTGGGCGGGATCCACTGGCGAGCAGCTCTGGCGGGATACTCGGCTGGATCCACTGGCGAGCTGCTCTGGCGGGATACTTGGCGGGATCCACTGGAGAGCTGCTCTGGCGGGATACTGGGTGGGGGCGTGGTGTAGAAGCATCGCAAACGCGGATTCCAACACAAAATCTAACAACCCCTTCTTGTCGGGTGGGGAAAAATGCGTTGCTGGTGCGTATGTTGAGAAGGGCCAAAAATTATATCCACAGACATGTCAGATATGTTTGCCGTGAAGAGCGGTCCGCCATGTTTCAGTCAGACATTCTTCAATTCTGAAACAGAATGTCTTAAATTTGAGAAAGCCTCTTGAAATGATTGGTTTCTTTGGGTTTTCCTTTTCATCCAACAAGAAAAGATTGGGCTCCTTGGTTTTCATTTTCATCCAACAAGAGGGCCCAAAATTATCGGACACCCTTGATTCCACACCCTTGATTCAAACACAAGCAAGGGACCATGGGCTTGGTGCCCTCTTGCACGAAACCTTCTGCACCCCCATGGCAGGAGGCTGTGATATCCGAGCAACCAGCCGGAGACACAGCAAGGTGCAAGAGCAGCGGACTAAATTGGTCGACGCTCGATTCTGTCCCCGATGTGCGGCAAGGAGCAGGGACGACAAATTGTAGGTGGCTTGAATGCCTTTTTGCCAGCACGAGAAACGCACCAGCTTATGACAGAAGAGCCAAGGAGAATGAAACAAAAAGTGACACTGAGCAGACCTAGGTCACGAAAAAGTCCTCAAACACATACGGATAGATAAAGCTTTATATACCAATTTGGGTGTTTCTTTTCTTCGAGGGCATCTTTCGGGTTTGTGTTAAAGGGAAATTGTAAAGGACAACTTCCCATGCCAAGACTTCGGGGTGATCTTCCTGGAGGAACCCTTTGGTCTCACACGGAACCACAAGTCGACGCTTTTGACATCTGATGTTCCCGGCAGCCATCCAGGCTCTGCACAGCAGGGCACATCCTCGGAACAGGAAACCGGAAGGTAGAACCTTCGGGCTGGAGGGGTGAAGGCTCCCCTTGATGGGTCTGTCCGTTCTTTTTTTTCCGGGGACCCCCCAAAATGACTTCGGCTTTCCTCTCGGTTTGCCGTTCAAACCATCCAAGAAGGGTACCAACCCCAAAAAAGACACATATTTTCATCTTGGGTATTGCAGTTTGCAAGCCAGGGGGTGTCTCAAACTGATTTTAACCTGGGTTTAGGGGGGAACCACAAGGAATCGCAACTGTTTTAGGGGACCACTTTGAGAAGCACCAGCCACAGTTGGTCCACGTGATGCTCAAACTGGCCTTGGGATTTTAGGGACCCACTTTGGTTTGGCAGAAGAGAAGCTAAAAGGAAAGCAGCCGAAGGGGACCACAAATTTGAGAAACTGGGGCCGGGCCCCCACACTCCGCAGCTAGGCAGGAGAACCTCAACGCGCGGTACTTTTTGGCAACAACTGCACGGAGAATACTGCGCGAGATTCTACAAGGCAACAATGAGCTGCCTTTGCCATTTCCTTGGTACAGCTCAGCATGCAAAACCTCAAGCACTCCAAAAGATCATGTTTCTGCGCCCTCATTCGGCGGCACTTGAGCCTTTGTGGTGTGCAATCATTCCGATGGCACCAGTGACACATTGCCTGAAATGGCCAAACATTGGGCCATTCTGGAGGCCCTCCCGCCTTTTCTGGACTGCCCTCAGATGCCCTGCCAAAAGTCTAAGTTTTAGTGGGTTCTATGCAAACCCGCACAAAAAGCTAAGACGATGTCTGGGAGCCACCAAGTTGTTCATTCAGCGTGCGCTCTTTTTAATCCCCAGACCGTCCTGGCCGCGCACATGCGTTCCTTGCTCACACTCCAAGGCCCCTGCCGCAGCCGAGCCTTGCAGCGCACAAAAAGGCGTTTCGAGAGGAAGCGAAGGAGAGAGCTAGAGAGAGGAGTCTGTACGTGTTTGTTTAGTTTGTTTAGTTTGCTTAGGTTGCTTAGTTTGCTTAGCTGACTTCCTTCCTTGCTTGCTTGGCTGGTGTTTTGTTTGCTTGCTTGGATGATCCAACTTGGATGGTTTGTTTGTTTGTTTGTTGCTTGCTTGCGTTGCTTGCGTTGCTTTGCTTTGCCTTGCTTTGCTTGCGTGCTTTGCTTGCGTGCTTTGCTTTGCTCTGCGTTGCTTTGCTTTGCCTTGCCTCGCCTTGCCGTGCGTTGCTTTGCTTTGCTTTGCTTTCTTGCTTGCTTGCTTTCTTACCTTGTTTTTTGCTTCTGCGTGTGCTTGCTCGCTTGCTTGCTTGCTCGCTTTCTCGCTTGCTTGTGTTTGTATTCACCCCTGTGCTTGCGGTTGCTTGTGTGGGTGTGGTAGGTCGCAAGGGGTTTTTGTGTTTGTCTGAATAAGTAAGTCTCTGTGGGTGGGTGTCGCTCTGTCTGTATCTCGGCATGAAGTATGGCGTTGCGTTTTGTGTCGCCGTGCTCGTACACCTGCGGGTGATATCGCGCGCTGCCAGCTTCAAGCAGTGGGAGCCACGAGCTTCAATCGGGAAATGCCGAACTCCTATCCTGGGGACGCGAAATCCGTTCGCAACACCAACTGAAACCATGGCAATGAAACCACAACGTTTGCTAAGGTAGTTGAGGCTCGAAGCAGAAACCAGGTGTCTGAAAGGTGGTGCGAAATGGATTTTGCAACGATGCACAGTAGGATCGTTCAACGCTTATCAAACATTCGACTGTGATTCTGCTGCTTGATATTGGGAATTTCGATCAATGCACTGTTAGTCTCTTCAGGAAATACTTGCGCTTCATATGCACATCACGCGATGGAGATCACAGTCCACATCCGTGGAGCATATCACACCGGAGGACAATTGAAGGTGTGCCTTCCTGACCCTTTTTCAGGCACTCTACCCTTCAAGAACGGAGTCCAACTCCAATCCAATCTGAGCCCACCCCTTCCCCGAGCGCCAGCGCCATTGCCCGAGCCCGCGCCTTGCTTGCTTTCCCCCGGCGCCTGCCAACGCACCTGACGGAAGAAATGCGGCTGAAACCGGTTCAAAACCGGATCAGAGCTCGGAAGCACTGCGGCTACCCTTCCTCCCACTCGCCGAACACATCTGGACCTGGAAGATCCATTTTCTTTACAAGCGGCCTGGCAGGGTATCAAAATAGGAGGGGACCAGAATGAGTCCGACGCGTTTTCGGGCTTCTTGTCCGTTTCGAGCAACGCAAACCCACAAACTCGCAGATTCGACCTAACTCCGAGCCGAAGACGAGGCTCGGCTCGGCGCCTTCCACTGCCCCGGCGGCTTCTCCAGGTCAAGCCACTGCTCCTCATCGAGAGCTTGGGATCCTGAGCCTTCACTGGGACACCAAGTGGCTTGCTGGGTTGCCCGTTAAAGCAACCTGCAAGGAAAACAGCTCACCAAAACCACGTAGCACATGCTTTTGACATCACCAAGACCACCCCTGGTAGTTGGTTCCGCATGCACCACGCGAGGTGGGAAAGGCGGAAACACTCCCCTTGGAAAACCCGGGTGTGTGTTTGGCCGATCCCTGCCTTTCAATGCCTACCAAATACGCACAGGCCCATCTCTGGGCATGAACAGTTGAACAAGGAACTGTGGCCCCTTCCTCCTGTAGCCAAACGCTCCTGCCCCGCTGAGACTGGCAAGCTCGCTGCCACGCCGAACTTCTCATTCAATTCCTGGGAAGTCTCTACCCCCCAGCTCCGGACCAACCAGCGATATCTTCGATCACTCCCAGGCTCCTCTGCTTCCGCTCGCCGCCTGAGAAGCGGGGTCTTGAGTGCGAAGCGGTTCTGGCTGAGATAGAGTGGGGGGTGACCCGACAAAAAGGGTACCTGCCCTTTTCAGGTGCTCAAAGTGATCTTTGGCTCAAAGTCCCAACCTGAACAGGGAACAGGCCAAGTTCCACTCCCGACGTGACAAGCTGTGAGCTTCTCTGGTTGTCGCTGGGCCCTAGCTTGCGGCACTCACACCCCCTGTTGGTCGCGGGTCTGCCAGGCCCAAAATCCACCCGGGCCACGGAACCCAAGGTCTCTGTGCTTCCCGTGCAGTCAAACCATCCGAATCGCTGAGCGTCTTATGTTCAATATGCCCGGAGTCTATACCATCCGCTGAACGTGGATGGTCAGACCAGATCCGGCTCGATTCGGCTCGATTTGCTTGGGGCATGGGTTCCCACTGGTGGGACCTGGTGGCTGAAAACAAAAAGGGACCAAAGAGCTGCATCCCACATCCAAAAAATTCCAGGCCCATGCCGGTGTGTATGTGTGTGTCCTTGCAGCTGAGGTTCAGGCATCAATGCGAGCGTGCACACCCAAGCGCGAAATTAGATGTGTGCTCCGATGCAAAACGAGTGTTGAGTGGTGTGATTCACCCACAAACATGCAGAAGGGGATTTGCTTTGGCAGGCACTCAAGTGGCACTGGGTTCTTCAGGGTTTTGGGGAGGCTAAGGGCCCCTTTTCAGGTTGGCCGAGTGTCGGGTTGGCGGCTTCTGGGCTGGCAGTTCAAGCGTGGATGGCTTGGTCGCGGTCATCGCTGGAGAGAATGCTCAAGGTAGTCGACAAAAATGGAGATATGTTGGTTGCTGATCAAGTGCTAGCTGAAAACTATGCCATGTGAACAAAACATAGGCATGTCAAGGCAAATACGGGCGTGACGCCCAAAACGCTGAAGCCGGACGAGGCAGCATGTTTCATCTTGTCATTGCCAGATTCAGGAGCAAGCATTCGCACGTGCATCAAGCTGGCTTTTTCTGCCAAGCAACCACTTCGTTATATTCGCTCGATCTACGTCCACAAAGCGGATACGGCTGTTTTGAAGATACTTCGCTGCAAAGTTTACAAACGGACACCGATGCAAGCTCATACACTAATAGTTGCCCTTGGCAGCAGTCATGTCCGGCGCAGATCCTGGCCAACGTCACGAATGCAAACATTCCAAAGGAGTGCAGTTCTAACTGGTGAATCCCACGATCTTTCATTTGGCAGCTTGGTCAAGCTTCATGAAACATTCCTGTGAAGCGCCGATCAAACAACACCTGAAGCTGCCTAGCACGGTAACTCTCCTTCGTGAATCGCTGGGCCTTGAGCGCATCCCCTCACGTCCTTTTCGCCAGCCGCGGCCGCCGGAAAACGTTGGTCCTAGCCCTCCGCGAGCGCGCGCTAGATCCGCGCGCTCGAATTCCACTTCCCGGGAATGCAGCAGCCAGCTCATGGCCCCTGCATCCACTTCGCCAGACGACTTTGAAACCATCGCAAATGTGTGGCTCCTCAATGGCGCAACGCTTTTACCTTTTGTTTCCCTTCACCCTCGCCTCACCGCTTCAGGGAGCTGCAGAAGCCGCCGAGGAGCTCGGCCTGGCTCCGCAGAGCGCTGTCCTCCAGCCGAGACGGTGGTGGGGCTGGTGGTTTTTTCGGGGGGGAGGGTCCCCCGTTGTTGGTTAGTTTTCAGGGGAAAACCAATGGGAAACCAACCAGTTTAAGCATTTCAGGAATTATTTCGAGAGACAGCCATATGATGGACCCTTTTCGGTTGGTTTTAAATGGAATCCAAAAGGAAACCCCACGAATTGAGGGGGTCCTTGGAGCCCAATGTTGACGAGCCATACCCATATCAGGGGCTTATGTTGGTGGCTTCTGTCGGTGGTTTATGCAGGTGGTTTTTGCAGGTGGTAGGTTGGCGTATGTGCGTGTGTGTGCTTGGCTTGTATAGGTCTTCCTGTAGAAGACAGGTCCCTCCCTTACAGTCGTCATCATTTGGAACTGTCAAGTAAGCCATGGTCAAAAAATAGCGGTGGACATGGGAAAATAGAGAGAGAGAGAGAAACAGAGAGCCTTCCGCATGCCCCCAAGACCACTGGATATGTTGACGAATCTCCCGTGACTTGACAGAAAATAATATGTCCCATGTGGCTACAAAATTTAGGATGGAACCCTTCAAAACTGGTTGGCAGACATCCCATTCTCCTAACGCGGCAAATTCATTGTTGCGCTCATGTCAAACACCCATATTTCTGTTTTGCTGGAGGGCGAAGCCCCTGAAAATGCTTACTGCAGCTTGCTTGCGGCAGGCCTACCTGTCCTGGGTTGGTTTCCCAGGCGCCCTTGCTCCACACTGGTTTGATGGGCAAGGACTTGAGGATGACACAAGGTCAGCCCTGCCGTGGAAGCAGCTTACAATATGTTGTCACTTGAACGATGATAAGCCAAACATTTGCGTTGCTGGGGACTTGAATGCTTGAATATGACAAACAGCTCTTGCACCTCCTTTCCTGGGCGCCAAGCACCAATGAAGTGAATATCCAACTGCCAAACAAAGTCCTCGCTGCGCGGTTTTTTCGGGCCGCCGCGCCTCCGGGTGTTTCTCCTGCGAGGTCCGAGTTTCGAGCAAAAGGACGTCTCAGCTCTGCCAAAGCTCCGCGTGACTGGCTGCATTGGATTGGAAAGTTCGCTGGAGCGCACTTGACAAGCTCCACGGGCCATACCCCCTTCCCAAGACCCCACCAAAGCATAGCTCTTAAATTTAGATAACTTTAAAGAAGGGGGTTGTTCGATGGGTTGAATGCAAATCAATTTGGTGGTGAACACGACTCTGGGCCCCAAGAATAAGAAAGGAGAACGAAGCAGCCTTTCCACTGACCAAAACATCACCTTGCGAACTATCAGCAATATGTGCGCCTCAAAACGAGGCACCCATGAAACACAATGTTGGCTTCTTGATCGCAATTCTGACTCTAAGCTTTGAGGGCATTCAAACACGTGCCCCTGACCCTCCCCCAACGAAAGCTCAAACCACCACACGCCCTATCCCAAAGCTCTGCTCCGACCTCCTACTCCAAGCCAACTGCCAGTGGGAAGTTCACTTCCCAACGCCGGGTTCTTCAGAATCCAACGCTTCCTTGGTATCACATTGAAAATTGAAAGACCAGGCCAAATCCAACCTCACTCCCCATCCTGAAATTTCTTGGATTCGGACCCCTTTTGGTTGTAAAGGCAAACAAAGGAACAACCCTTTTTGGTCAGGTCCTTTTTGGAGAAATGCCCATGTTGCGAACATGAATCTCAATTTAACCCCTTTGTAATCCAGCATCTAAACGTTTTATCAGGTAAACCATGGGTAGTTGGCTCAAAAAACCCAAAAGAAAAGACCTGCAACGCGTCAAAGCAGAGCCGCAGCTCTGCCCGGCCCCCCGCTCCACAAACTCGTGGACGGCCGCAATCACCGCGTCAGCCCCCGTCGCCCCCGTGGCCCCCGCCAAAGCGCTGGCGGCACCAGAGGCCTCAAGAGAAATCCATCCGGCGGATGGGGACTCAGGGCTCCCTTCACATGTGTATACATATGTAAATATGTACTTTATGCCTATACAGACATGTGTATATATATATATATATATATTTGGTAGGACCCCCCTCTAATACCAATGTGTTGTATGTCTATTATATTGCTTAATATATGTATCTATTTTTGTTGGCGTATTATTTGGCTATTGTCTTGGGCCGTCAAAAAACACGGTGCGAGCAAGGTGTGGGTGCACTGGTCGCGTGCAAGGCGCAACAAACTGTCGTTGGGGAGGGGGGGGGAGGGGGGCACAAATGAGCAGGGATGTTAACACATTAGACCTCTTGCAAAGGGTCTTCGCCTCAAGCAACACAAACCGAAAGAACATGTCTCCCCAAAAGGTCCGTGCAAACAAGTGGTGCATTGTCTTAGAACATCTGATTATTAACAAGATTCATACGAACGTTCCTAGATACGGGCCAGCACCTTTGGCAATTCACGAGTTTTGCTCCATCCAGTGAGATCCAGGCTTGATTCCGGGGTGGGACACAGGATAGAATAGCAGGAATGATTCATGAGGACAACTATGCTCTGTCAAACATCTAAGTTGAGAGGCAGGTTCTTTTGCATGTCAAGGCAAAATACCACATGAAGATGGCAGCATACAAATATTATCAAACCAATGATGAGTGTATCTACTTGTATCTACTTTGCCTCTGTCTTCTTTCCCGGGATTGTACGAATCCACTGGGAATGCATGGGAATCCATGTTGGCCCTAGCCCTAGAATTTGCCTCTAGGTTGCGGAGGGCTCAAGGTGCAGAGGGCATCCCTGCGTTGTTATTGGATGTGCAGATTGCAGAAGAGGTTCCAAACTGTGAATCTGATGTCCTCGCAAGGCCTTTACTAACAGCCCTGCTACCGGTTGTGCGTGGCTTCCAACTTTGGTTTTGCAGCCCACACGAGAAGCAAGGATCCTTTATGAAAGAAATGTGTCACTTCGATATTGCACTCACTCGGATTCACCGTGACAGCGTGAGTGGGTTCTTTCCATCAAGAAATAGACACAACGAATCCCAGCAAGGGAACCCAAATTGCAGCTAGGCCTTTGTTCCCATCTAAAAAAAATGCTCCAGCCAGTCCCATCAATTGTCTTCGGAAAGAGCGGAGGGACAGAATAATTTCCGTTCACGTGCACTCTTCTCCATGCCTTCAACCAGCCAAATGTCCGAGGCGCTTGTCAAACACGAATCCAAGCCCCAACGAGAGGAACATGCAAATTGCCACTCTGAAATGTCCGAAACACGAGACCTCTGCAAAATGGATGGAAGCAAGAACGGGCCAGTGAGGCAGCATCACTATTGGAACGGACCAAAAGGAAGGGAACTGTTGTCAACGGCCAGCTTCTTGCCAGTGTCGCACAGCTTCCCACTCGACATGAAATTTTAAGACCAACGAACCTAAATCTTCTGGTTGCCCTGTCCGTCATGCAGCCAAATCTTGGGCTGGCAAATATCAGGGTACCAAGCCTTCCTCCTACATGGAGTTCTCTTGCGAACAGTTCCCTTCCATCTCCTTTGCACCTTCTCTCAAAGCAAAATCCACAGATCCACACCGCGCTTGTGACCAGGGGCGTGCTGCAGCAGACTTGGCTCATCCTTGCCGATCTCGAAAAGCACCTGAGCCATGGATCGCCCGCAGCACCGTCCCCGCGATGTCCCCAGAAACTCCGTGCGATCAGCTGGCAATATTATACGCGACCAACAAAGGTCTCTACTACGTGTTCACTCGAATGCAAGAAATGGTTTGTGCAGTCGCCATCAAATTCTTGATGCCCAAAACTTGGTGGCAGGGGCTACCACCCCCAGTTCCAGGCAGCGGCTTCGGGTCGAATGTCTACCGAATCAGAGGTTTTGCACCTCCAAGTTGCTTGAGCTACGTGCAGCAAATGACAAGTGCTACAGCCCAAGATGCAGCTACACTACCGTATTTTCCAAATCCGGACACTGCACATGTCTCTTCTCCAGTGATGCCGGCACGAAAAAGAAACGCCAACTGATTGGCGCGCACTCTGACAAGAAGCTACTCCAGCCAAATTCTCACAGCTGCCTGCAAGTGCCGGGCGCCTAATAAGAAATCACTCCGCAAACTACCCTCTCACCAACCAACATGGAACCTGACACAATGGGGCCTGGATTGGACCACTTTCCTTTCAATCAAAGGGACCATTTCTTTGTCAGGTTCCATGTTGATTGGTGGGAGGGTAACTGGGCCTCTCCAAAGCACCAAGCAGGACCCATGCCAAGCTATCATGTCCTCACCAGACTCCTAAAAACGTTTTCCCAAAAAAAAACTTATGCCTCCCAACCCCCCTACATTGTGCCCCCCCCCCCAAAAAAAAAAAGCACGTGTGCTCCGCACCCCCCTTTTTCCGGTGAGCCCAATCCACCCCTCGCGTTTCCGCCCGTCTCGGCGCCTTGAGGCACGCGGCCTTGGCCGTGGGCGATTCCAGCGGCGCCAGGGGCGCCAGCGCCGCGTCGGCGCCCCCCAGCTGCGCCTCGGATCTCGGATCGAGCGGTTTGCGCGCCCGGTGGGTGGTTTTCAAGTGTCGCCTTTTGGGTGTTGGCTCAATATATATATATATATATATATGTATTTATATATATATATATATGTATATATATATATATATATACATGTATATATATATATATATAAAATACATATATATATATATATATACATATATATATATATGTGTTATATGCGTATTATGTTATATATATATATATATGTGTGTGTGTATATATGTGTATATATATATGTATATATATATATATACATATATATATATATATGTGTTATATGTGTATTGTGTTATATATATATATGTGTGTATATATATGTATGTATATATATGTATATATGTTATATGTGTATTGTGCTATATGTATATATATATATGTATATATATATGCTCATGAGTCATAACCTACGGCTCCATTTTGGGGCAGATGAATATAAAACCCAATGCATGTGACGGTTTGTATGAGAACCCGATATTTCTGTTCAGGGACCTTGTTTTTGGAGGGTACGTTCTTGTTTTGTGGCTTTACAGGGAAAGAAAGAGCACAAACCACCCGTTTGGGCCAATTCAAAGCGAGGTTCCGTTGAATGGGGTGGAGTTTTGTTCAAGTGGCCGTCTTTTTCTTGAACATACACCTTCCTTTTTTTCTCGGTCTGAAGGGAAACCCAGAGAAAACACAGGGATGTTGTATCTGCGGTTGGTAGGGGTCCCAGACGGCTCTGGGGTTCCAGACGGTTCTGGGGCTGTTGGGGATGCCTTGTAAAACCGCAAACACGGGGCACCCTCAGAAACAGGCCCCTGAAAGGCTTGGCCCAAAAGGCGATACTTAGACAACCACAAAGGAAATATGGGGAACCCTGGCGGGGGGAAACAACCATGCTTTTGCAGCAAGGTCGGGCCAACCCTTGTTTAAAAACATGGTTAAATCTCTCCCCCTGTTCAGGGGTAAGATCTGGCTGATTGAAGCAACTTGGCCCAACCCTGCTGGGGATCCCTGTCAATGGCAACTGCTTGGCTGTTCTAGGTTTTGTTTACCTGGCGCCAACAAAATTCCGTTCGGGCAAAAACAAGAGCCCGGCACATCCAACTGAGCCTTCACGTGCTCAAGCCGTCGCCTCTGAAGGAGGTGGTTCTTAGACGCAGGACCAAGCCCCGGGCAATGCACGCGAGCACGCACTCCAACAGGTCGCTGTGACTGGCGGAGGCAGAAGGCATCGGAGTCTAAGTAGGAGGGCTCAAAAAGCACTTCAAATAGCCAGCACTTGCACTGCAAACCCATGGATGATTGAGCTTCAATTGCCAGTTGCTATTGTGCAATGTGAGATGGAACTGTCGGGCATACAACTCTATCCCAAAACGGGCCCAGCATTGCAAACCCTGTACGTATGGCACATCCGCGGCCCCGGAGCGACAAGCATACACAGCACCGCATGGGCTGACGAATCCACCGCAGCCAACAGATGTGGTGTCTCCTCGGAATGCAAAGCACCTTGCTTATTCGATGGTGATATGTTGGGTGAAAAACAAACACCAAGCATTGCTCAAACATATCTGTCAAGTGCCTAAGGCACTCTGTGAGCCATGACCCTTCGGTGCCGTCCTGCTCTAAATCTACAAGAACTAATCCAAGCCATCGAGGGTGACCGCCGGAAACCTTTGCCACTGGAAACCGACTCTGCGACTCTGCGACCGGATCTCACCTCTCGGCCTCCGCGAACACGTGCAGCTGCGCTAGCAGCATCTCCATCACGCCTCCCCAAAACGCAGTCTGCTGTCACCTTCCCAGTGGAATGGGCTCTGCTTGTTTTGGATGTGTACCTCCCTTGTGTGGTTTGCTCTGGCGCTTGGGATGTGCACTTTGATAGAAAGGTCAAACCCCCAATCCAAACCATGCAAGGCTCGTCGAAATGTGCAAACTAGAGACCCCCAATGCTTTGATCTTGATTTCCGCCCGTGGTTTCCCCCTCTTCACACCACACCCACCGAAGTTTTTCCCGCGTCGGGGAGCGTCAGCCGAAAGAAGCCTCGCCTGCTTGCCGGAGTTCCCGGGCCAGGGACCGCCGCGCCTCCTCCTCAAGATCCATGGGGGCTTGACCCCATACTGTGGATGGGCGAAATCCTGCACCACCTAAGAAACCCCGGAATACCAACAAACCATGGTTTCTCATGGTTTCCAAGTGGTGCAGGATTTCGTCCATCCACAGTACTAATCAACCCCTGTTTATTGATAGGGCCAAAAGTGAGGATTCCCCACTAAACTCACCAAACCCAGGCACACACCCCTATTAATACACAGGAGGTTGATTAGTATGGGGTCAACATTAAATCCACCGCCCTCAAAACCTATCGGCAAACTTCTGAAAAGAATCCAAAGGAGCGAACATCCAGGCGGGTATCCGTACCTGTGATCCCTAAGCTTCAACCCAAGTTGTCATTGTGGCTGGTGCACGAACATGGAACCCCCCAAGAAGTCCCAGCCAAGTCAGCAAGTTTCCGCCTCGAGGATGCTGGGGCACCAGCCCTCACACGCATCCGTATGCCCTGTTTATCAAGTGCCAGTCTTGAAGGCTGAATACCATGCCAATCCAATTATCCGCCCAATAGCCGCGAATCAGCCACCATGTCGATGGCTAAAGCATTCCAATATGGGTATGAACTTTAATTCGGGACTCCCCTTTGGCCGACTTAGATTTTGTGTCCGCCAACCATGTTGGAGGCCGTTTCCTCTTAAAGCTCACACCAATACATGTTCCAGGTTTTGCGTGCCCCCCCCCCCAACCTGGTACCCTCCTGCTGTGGAGTGTTTGGGGCTGGGGGTGGTCATGTTAGTCAGTGGCTTGCTTAGACTCGGTTTAAGGCTAGGGTTGGTCCGGGTTTGCGCAATGGTTTAGCTTGAGTTTACTTAGTGGATTGATGCAAAGGCGCCACAACAGAGCCTTCTAGCCACAGCACAAATGACACAGCGCTCATGGCATCCGGGCACATGATTCCCCAAGCTGGCTTGATTTTACCAGGGTTCCATTTGGGGCACCTATTTTTGACCCACAGCCATCCCCAGATAAAGTCGCCAGGATGGGTGCAGAGCTTCAACCACCCGCCGTCCTCCTCGGGCTTGGGCGCCTTGCACAGCTACGCAGCTTTCTCAGTCTCCTGCCCTTGGTCCCTGACTGACTCTCAGCCTATGAAATGTCGCATCTCACGTGACTGGCATCATCAACAAGAACCAACTGCACCTGAGAACGAGAGAATAGTACCCTACTGCATTTGCTCCTAAGCGCTGGGCGTCCGGCCCTCCGCCCACAAGAAAAACAACCGGAGCACAGGAGCGGTCAGTCCCAAGCCATAGTCAATTGCAAGGAACGGGGTCTACCCAGGTAGAGAAGCAGGCAGCCGCACTCAATGACTGGGACACTCCGCTAACCTTCATCCAAAGTGGGGGTTGATCAAAACGTCCTTTACTTGGGGTGACCCCAAGTAAACACGCAACAGAATGACTTTCACCGCATGCGGAAAGTTAGCCATGGTCATGTTGGGGCCCAAAATGGAATATTGATCAACCCCCAAGTCTCAGTGTGGCTCTGCTGTTTTCACGTGCATTGACACCGGCCTCCCAGGAGGATCGTTCCAGCATGGTCCGCAGCAAGAAGGAGCTGTCTCCTTGGAAACGAGCCATCGGACAGGGCACTTGACTGCTGCCCCACACCACCCCACGGCCTATCTGGGCCGATCCACCAAATCCACAGCTTTCACCTGCTGGGGAAAAAGTAACAATCAGTTTCCCTCTAATTGTGATTGTTTGGATTGGTGGTTCGGACGTTGGCCACATTCCCCATTTGGGTTCAAAAGGAACTGGGGTTGAAATCCATAACTTTCACCTGTTGCTGAAAAACAACAATCAGTGTCCCTCTAATTGGTGATGTGAAGCCCCAGGTGGTATCCCAACCAGCTCCTGGGCCGATCGGCCAAATCCAATGCTTTCAGCAGTTGATCAAAAAGTCCCCCTTTGAAACCACACCCTCGAAAAAGGACATATATATATATATATATGAAATTCGAAACCACCTGCAACCCAAGCCCTTGGGAGAAAAAGAAACGCCACCGTCATTTTCTCACCTCGGAAAAGTTGGATTTCTCAGGCCCGGGCGCACCAGGTTGGACTTCCCCTGCTGCAGCGCCCTCACGCAGACCTCCAGCAACCGAGGCAGCAGCTCCTGAGAGACGCGAGGCGACCGAGGCGACGGCTCGAGACGAGGCGACGGAGGGCGGGGAACACGGGGAAGACGGGGGGCTTGGGGGCGGGGAATACAAAGCGGGGGAGGCTTGGAACATGGGCGACCTGCGAGTCCCCATCAAGTGGGCTTCACCAGGAAAAATGAGATGTGGTCTCGCCCGAACATATTATGGCTTTATTTTGTGTTTAGCCCCTTCAAAATAGGGCTTACCAGGAAAGATGGAGTGTGCTTTCCCACAAATGTGAAATAAGCGGTCTACAAATAGTGGCTTCCCGAACCACCATCTCACATGGAAAAGACCTTCTTGAAACCTGAAAGAATCCCACAGCTCATGCATTTGTCCGACAGCACAAACATGCGTATTACTAGGTGCCACATACTCAAAATGGGGGTGGTGGGTACATCAAAACCAAATGTAGTCTGTTGATTTTGGAGTTTTCTCTGTTGTCTGCTTTTCTTCTCCTTTTCTAGTTGTTTGTCTTTCCTTTGGGCGGGGATATGGTGTGCTGTTGTTGTGCCCTTGCATTAAGCCTTTGCTTCTGGGCGGGCAGCTCCTTGGCGACTGGCAACACTATGCCTTCGGCGATCCATCAAGGGGTTTAACTACTTGCTCATTCAATATATGTGCTGATCAGTGTGTTCCCTTGGTGAACTAAGAATTATTAATCTGCGTATAGATATGTATACGTGTATATATATATATATGTGTATAGATATAATGATAACAAATCAAAACAAAATCCGCATTAAGCAAGAACAATAATAGTGAAAACAGAACAAGAAAAAGAAACTATATGTGTGTGTGTGTTTGTGTGTTTGAGCGAGTCAAACCGTGATGTTACCCTCAATGGACATGGGAAACTAGAGACCCGTGCGTATTTGCGGAAATTAAAAGAGTCCGCGATGTCCATTGACCACGGACTACAATGTTGACCGCAAATTGGCCAGTCTCATATATTTGATCATCTCAGGCTCAACGTAGCCATTCGTGAGACTGCCACAGGAAAATGCTGGTCACCAAGACAATGGCCCTGCACCCCACCCCTCTCCAAGCAAGGTCCCTCATTCTTGGACAAGACCTCTACTCGCCCATTGCAATCGGCAGCTTCCCTGTCCACAATGTCATGAGAGAGGGCGGTGACTGAAGCCAAGGGACGATGGAGCAGCCCTTGGCAAAGCTCGCCAAGCTAATGTATTTACTCCCAACGGGTCGAAGGCTTTTGCCGCCCTGATGGGTCTGCAACAGCTCAAGAGCAATGCATGTTCCGGCCTCCCCATCTATCTTAGGGTGAGGCGGGTGCGGGGCTCCACCAATTCCACTCGAATCTCAGAGCTCACAGCCCCCTCCCTCCACTCCACCCCCAAACTCCCCCCCCACACCAGTCTCCTCCCTCCCTCCCTGCACCCCTCACCCCACATCCCCGCCTTGGGCTGCTGCAGCTGCACCAGGCCCGTGTACCGCTCCAGGAGCGCCAGGCAGTGGCAGCCTCTCAGGTCCATAGAAAACCCCGAGCCCGGCCAGGGACCCTCCAAATTGGTTTCCCCCTTGGCTTTGAATTGAAGATCCAACCACAAAAGCCCCCCCCAAAAGAAAAGAGAAAAATTTGGGCGTCCTATGCATTTGCATGGGAGCAAGAAGCAACAACTTCGACCGCCGGTTGCGTGCTTCTCATGGCTTGAAATAGGCCTAGTGCCTCGAATGTGCATTGCAAATGGGTAGCTTGAGAGCTGGCGGCAAAAGGCTTTAGATACCTGGGCTGTCCTCAGATCCACTGCCAACAGTTTGACTTTGAGTGGCTTCAGTGGCAACTACCACTAAAACCAACTAAAAACCTAACGGCCTAAGCGCCCAAGGGCACGGCCGGCTTCACGATACACTCACTCCGCCCATTTAGGATAATCCTCTCTTGCAGAATCAGGTCGGTCTCGAAGACTAGCTTCCGCTCCAAGTTGAAACGAGAATACTGACTCGTCAAACGGTTGTCGTCAAGATGCATGTTCCACCTGACCAGGTCAGCAGGTCTTCAAAAGGCTTGTCCCGCAGATTTCTATTTGGAACTTCCAACCTGTGATTTCTACGTCCATGGAAAATGGACATAGTCGCTGGAACTACAATTCTAAGCAGCCCAACCCCATGCCTGAAGCATGCGATTGACAGGGATGCAGAGGAACCGTATGACCAGCGCCCAAATCCTTTGACCCTTCTTGTTCCGTTCCACCAAAATGTGTCCAAAGCTACAGGCTTTACATCCAACTAAACCAGGCAAGAGAACCACCTACTAAAATGGCCAGGCGTTTTCTGCGATCACATGTTCCAAGTTGTCTTGCTCGCGGATCAATCGCAACTGTCCTGCAACAGGCTCAGCCCAAAGCAGTTCCACCGGCATTGTGTGTGTGTGTCAAGGATCCAACAGTGGCTGCATTGTGTGCCAACCATATCGCTGACAAATGTGTCCGGGCGATTTAAAACCTTCGCAGCCCCACATCTTTCAGGGAGGTGCTTCAACAACCTCCCATGGTCATTGAATTCATCAGCCCCTTTTTTCAGTGTGTGCGACAAAAATACACCAGCATAGCCCCCAAATAGCGAAACACTCGCTAACGAATGCACGCCAGCACCTCTAGCAGCTCTGCCCGAAAAGCACCTCAACCAACACCCAAACGGCATCCAAAACAGCACCCCAAATTGCGTGTTCCCGTCACCCGCAAAAATGCGATTGAACCAGCACCCCGAACAGCACCCTCGAACAACACCCAGACCACCCGGCCGTCAATCTCGCAAAAATGCAACCAAGACAGCATCCCAAAACAGCGCCTGCACCAGCACCCCAGACTGCATGCCCCCGAGGCAGCACCTCAAACAAATAGCACCCAAAAACAGCACCTGCACCAGCACCCCAAACTGCACGCTCCCTAGCACCCAGCCGTCAATCTCGCAAATCACTTTCCCTTCTTTATTAAAAGTTAGAACCCCTATAGCATTCAGCTATCTGGTGCATGTCCATGTCCACCTGAATTCTGGTGCATCGTGGAGCCCAAGAGCCCGCGCCTCGGCTCTGGATGAAGTACTCATCCTGCCGAGCTGGTGCTGGGGGGTTGGGGGGGGGGAGGTTTGGGGGGGAGGGGGGAAGGCTTGGGGGGAGTTACATGATCAATTAGGAGGAAATGTGGGCAACGGAGTTTAAGTGAAGTGGTTGGAACCTTTGGTGGAGTTTTACGTGGATGTGTTGATTGGATGCAAGACACCGCACATGGCATAGCTCTCCCACAAGTGGCACAACCCATCTGGACACTTTCTATCCGAATGTGAAATCAGAAACCAAGATGGCATGTGTCAAGGACCATAACTACGTGCCCGTGAAATGCATACCCAAATGTATCTATCACCTTTGTGCACTGCATCTGCAAATTGATGCGGAATCTGTGGTTGGGGCATGCCCTCGCGAGTACGTGGTCACCTCCCTTGAAGAGTCCATTGCACGCTTGCCTTGTGAACCATCGCCGGCTTTATCAGGGCGCCAGCCCTCGCATGCATCCTCCAGCCCTGCTTGTCAAGTGCCATGTCAAGTTGCTTTGCAGCTGTCCGATTTGGGTGTAACTTTCCATTGGGCACTCCCCCCTTTGGTGGACTGGAACATGATCATGCTTCCCGTAGTCGAAATCCGTACAATGGCCATGGTTGTCCACGCCCATGTAGGGAAGCCACCAGGGTTGGATAAAATAGTTTCAAGCTACCAGGCCCTGGTGCGTTTGGTGTCTAAACAAGTTCATGCACAGTAAGTGTTTATACATGCTCATTCACAAAAAGTGGTTAAACATGTTCATATGCAAAAAGTACCTCAACATGCATCAAACAGTCCTTTGGAGTGCAAAGGCGTGCGTTTTCGCCCGCGGCGAAGCAGTCCAGAAGAGCAAACAAGCCAAAGCCCTTGGCTCCTTTTGCACAATGCCCCAAAATTTGCCCATGCGGCTTCCTTGGTGTTTGTTCTTGCTTGTTTTATGGTTCCTTTGTTTTAGAACCAGCGCCCAAAAGCCAAAGTTTGACACATTGAGGGACCCAAAATAGTTGGTCACCTGTTGGTTTCACGGTTTCCATTCAGAACCATGATGCCTTTAGGACCTCTTACAACGCTTTGTACCTTTACAACCTTGCAACCCACCAGAAAGGCTCCCCCCCTCTTTAAACAAAAAACAAAACGCGACACCTTGCAAGTCTGGGGCGGGAGAGTTCCCCCGAGACGCGGCTTCTCACGACGCCCGACAATCCGCCTGGTGCCGCTCCATGGCGCGCACCACCAGCTCCAGCAGCGCGCGCTGCTCATTTCGCAGCTGCGAAACCTCCCGGTGCTGGTGCGCCAAGAACCAGTCGCCTCAGCTTTGGGACAGCGGCTCGCCATTCCTTTTGTTTTTGGAGGGGGGCGCATGGGGTAAGAGGCACGTGGGGTAAGACTGCCTCATTTTTGGATGGCTCCTCATTTTTGGGGGGGAGGGGAGGCACATAACATGGAAGCTCTCAGAAGGCCGATCCTGTAAATGGAACCAAGTCTTCCAACGGGGTGCTGGGAGATTCCATTTTAGTTTGAGGGAGGGTAAGAGGCACCAGAAGTAAGACCCCTTTTTCGTGGTCTTGAAGGCAAAGCATGAAAATTCCTGGGCACACCGAAGAAAAACACCGCGAGCTGCGGTGCAAACTTTCTGGGTGGCAAACATTCGGGAAACCTCTCCACCATGTCCCGCCATTTTGATGGTGACGCTGCCAGATTGGTTTCCTCTGGCTGTTGGTTGTCGTTTGCGGTTTGATGCTTTGGGGTATCCACCTCCAGGATCTCGCAAATATGTTGGCCGGCATATTGTACCCCCTTCCGGATGGGTGTTTGGCTGTTATTTCCTGTTGCTTTTCGGTTTCGCTTGCTGTGTGGATTCTTTGGTTTTGGCTGTTGTTTGTTCAAGGGGGCCATTGCCAATGTGGGATTGTTTCAAGATAAGGGTACCCCAAAAGGTGTCCTCTTAAGGCAGCCCCAAGAAAGGATACCTCTCAAACTTACAAAGCCAAAAGAAGAAAGACACACAGGAATCCCAAAAACCAACAAAAAACTACTCAAACCAGCCCGATAAGAACCAACCCCCCCCCCCCTTCGCCCCGACTTCTCGGCGTCGGCACACAAAAAATGATGCCAGGCCCCCCGCCCTCCACGTCTTCGTCCAGCACGTCCACGATGGTGCAGAAGCAGGCGTCCACCGTGTTCTCGGAGTCCAGGTTCCGCTGGAGCTCCTGGCGCATTTTCGGCCGCATTTTCGCGCGCCGGGCATCTTAGAAGGGTGACGTACAGCAGATGCAAATGAGCCTTGCCTAGGAGAGGTCATGGAAAAGTGATTTGGGAAGCAGGAAGGCCTTTTAGGGAGGTTGGGTCTCACGGGCGTTGCGTTTCGCTCTATCTGCTGGCCCGCAGGCCCTGAAGCAAGCTCTTTGGAAACGTCAATGAGGCAAGCCCGGGTTCATTCCATTAGACATTTTGTTAGCTATCGCAGCGAGCATCTTAAGCACATCGCTTGGTGGCACGAAAAGGAAATCACATTCTGAGTTTCCGGGTGTTGGGAAGGAATGAACGGGTTTGGGGTTGCTTCCTCGAAAAGAAGGAAACCATGCGAGGGATAGTTTTGATGAGGGGGCATTCCAACTCATTCCCTGTTGAGACCCAGCAGGATATATGTTACATGTGGGCTCCCTTGCCAAACTGAAAAAGGGTGCCCTTAATTTGTGTTGAATTTGGTTGACAAAAAACAAGTGTTGACACAGCCAGGCCCAGTGTTGCAGGGAATCAAAAGGATGCGGTTTAATGGTTTAATGCGCGTAGGTCTATGTTTAAGGGTTGGCTGAGCCCTGGTCCTCCGTGTTTTGAGTTAAACTCTTCGGAGGGGCAAAGAAAACCAAGACCATTTAGGGGTGTGTTTGTTTTTGAGTTGGCAGCATGCTTGGGAACCTCCTTGTTGAAAACATGTTCAAAATGTTGAACCCCATTGTTCGAACCTCTAGCATAGGGCGTGCGAACTCTAATTGTTCAAACCAATTTTGCCAAACTGAAGCAACAGGGTTGGCACGCATTTCGCGCTTCTTTTCCCCCATTTCTCAAGCTCTATTGTTGTTTCTCATTTTGAGACAGCTGCGCGCAGAGGTACAGGCATCTCCTCTTGGTCAGTGTATCACTTGTATACCATTGACCATCGAATTGATCAGTAAAATTACACCAGGCATAGACCCCAGATAGCACGGGAAACTACAACCGCACCCTGACCTGACTGCAACCCCAAACAAGCACCACCAGCAACTGCCACCGCACAAGCACCCTCACCAGCACCCAAAACACCGCCCTGACCAGCACCCTGACTGCAACGGCAATCTTCAGCACACCAAACAGCACCTTGACCAGCGCGGCAAGCAGCACCTTGACCAGGACACCATGACGAGCACCCACAACGGCACCCTGGCCAGCACCCTAATAGCATCGCCAAACAAGCACCGCTAGAAACTGGCACCGCACCTTGAGCACAACAGCACCCTCCACCACCGCATCATGGCATCGCAAAGCAAGCACTGCCTGCAACCGCAGCATGGCCAGCAAACAGCATGAGCCATAGGCTCCCAGGTCCATCTCTGAGTCACAAGTTGCACTGACCGAAGCCTCCAGAGCTACCTCAACCGACAGCGTGGCCGCGGCCTCACTTTGGACACCCCAAGATGGAAGCGAAATGAACAGCAGACCCCTTTTGGAAGTTCCGGTAAAGCCTGGTCCATGTCTGGGCACTTGATTTCTGGGACTATGACTGCAGCCCAAAACTCCGGGTTTCACGAATCGGGTTTTACTTGGCATCGCGGTTCCCTTGTCAAACACACAAGGCGCTGCAGACGAAACACTGGACCCGGAAACTCCCTGCATGAACACCAAGGCTCCTTGGTCCGTATCACACAAAATTGGATTTGCTCAGATTCTGTTTCAATGTTTGTCTACCCCAAAATGGGTGTGCTAAACAAACCTTTTGAGAACCCAACCCTCAACTTTGCGGTGGCTCCTCTAAATTATTGCAAGTAGGGAACAAAGGAAGCCCCGCAAATTCCCATGGCCTGCGGTTGGTTTACTTGCGATATGGAAAACCCCCCCCCCCCCCCACGAACCTGCACCAGGAAAGGCAGCCCCTGCAGCGCGGCCGCCAGCCACACGCAGTACCTCGAACCGACGAAAAAGGGCCAGGGTTCCCCGTATGTTCCCCTTGAAAAGCTACTAAAAAAGGGAACACACCTGAAATCGGCAACCAAAAAGGTGATGTCGAAAAACACCAAAAAAAGAGAGAACCTTGCGACGGAAGAGTCGGCTGGCCCCAAATCAGCCCGAAGCCGAATCTTTTGGAGAAAATCGTAAGGATCCCAACACCCCCTGTCAGCCTGCGTGATTCTTGGCTTCAGGATTCCCACACGGAAGGTTGACCTTGCTACTTTAAAGTGGGCGGGCCCAAACTTGGAGCTTGCTCAGAAAGTATTGCAAAGCTGTTGGGTCAACATGGTCTGTCTGTGCTGAACACAAGTCAAAGAATAATCCGCTATGATGGCATGAGACATTCTTCAAAACAAGCACCCCCACGAGGTCATTTCACCCCCCAGGTCACAGCTCCCTAATCATTAAATACATCGGCCAATCATGCCAAATTAAACACCATATATATATATATATATACACATATCTGTTGTACATCTATAAATGTATATATATATATATATACATATCATATATCTCAGATAGGACCTCTTGCCAGCAGTTCACAGGAGCCCAAACCGAGCAGAAACCGTCCAAGGCGCTTGGCTGCGCGCTTGTTACCCCGCGCCTGCGGCAGCCTACAGTCGCAGCCGCTTTTTCGGGCGAAGCTTCCCCGGGAACCTCCCGGAAAGTCACCGAGTCACCGGTCCCTTAGGTTGATTTTTGTTTTCCGCAAAGTGGTTTGGGGGGTTCCGGGGGAGGGTTTTGAGCTGGGTCACCGGATATAGGTGGTGTCCAGAAAACAACTGCAGGGAAATGGAGGACACACACACACAATACTTTAGATGTTCCGTTCACTCTCTCGGTTTAGACTCATTTCCCCTGGTGTTCACTCTTTCTGTCCTCATGCTTCTCCCTCATCTTTCTCTTCCTGAGGAACTGGCGCACCCTGAGGGCCAACCAAATGTTTGTACATCCAAATGGCTGTGGAACCGTTACCAAAATGGAACCCGGGTAAGTGGAAACATGGACCAAAACCTGCGGTTTGCCCCTCCTGTTTAATTTTGAGTCCACACCCAAATGGCCATTGGGTCAAAACCCCGTACCCTCAGTGAACATCCAAATCCCCACTAAAATAGACTAACATGGGTGGTGAATTCACCGAAAACCCCAAAATGGGATCCCAAAACGGTTTTGAGCCACACCCAAAAATGTCAAATTGTTCGATTCCCCGCACCTGGCCGAGATCTGCTCCAGCAGCTGCATCTGCTGCAGCCGCAGCCGCCAGCCAGGGCTGCCCTGCGCCACCTGTGTTCGGGAGGGGAGACGTTTCTTCGGGGGATGAAAGGAAGAGGGGTGGTGGGGGAAAGGAAACATGCTGGCGTTCTGATGCCTGAAATCTTCCAGTTTTGGAGCGCTCGGCTTCCTTTTGGTGCCCCACAGAAAAAGGATTCCCCAAAAAAAAGGAGCCCGGGTGATATCAGATCCCGGAACCCGTGAAGCGGGCTTCAGGCGCCAAAAACCTGCATCGGAAATCACTGAAGTGACAATAGGGAGGACTCCTGAAAGGACCGCTTGAGCTACAGCTGAATTCTCAGCTTTAGAAACTTCCAAACATTGGCCGAACACAAGCTTGTGCAGCCCGGCTGAGCCTGGGATGTCTTGAGTTTCTCATTTGAGTTCTCCTTCACAGCAATGAAAAGGGAAATCTTCCGCTCAAAGGCGGCCTCCTTCCAGAATGGTCCACTTCCCCTTCGCGTCCACTCCATGGCTCGCACTCAACTAACTGCCATCCCCTAGAAGCGACTAACTTGTGGGTTGAGAACGGAAACCCAACCGATCTAAAAATCCCTAAGGTTGAAGAAATTCAGCCCCGCACCTTGCCCAGCTCGTCCACTACCGCCTCGAAGCTGGGCCCGTAGCCTCCAGAAGGGTTCTTGGGGCCCCTCCCGACAACATGGCTCTGGGCCGACAACGAGAATTCAGCTTCTCCTAGCTACTACAAAAACGGAGCTTCATTTCCTGTAAGGAAACCCAGGAGATTGCCTGAATTCCCCCCCAGGACCTTGGCGCATGCTGCCCCAAGAACTTCCCCCCTTTTAAAAGTCACTCTGGGTCTCCACGACGATTTTATAGAGGGTTAGCTAAGTATGGAATGGCCTTTGGAGGAAACCCGCAGATATGAGTCGGACAGCCGAATCTTTCGACTTTGAGTCCCTAAAGTGGCTTCAATTGCCTGGGCTGAATTTTTGAGGTGACCCCCCCTTGGCTCAACTGTTGCCCTATCCCAAAAAAAAGTTCAAGCTTGATAAGAAGCGGCATGGATTCTGATCGCAACATTTTGGGACGGCAAACCCACGGTTCGTAAGCATCGGAAGCGCCGCGGCTGTCACAAGCCGCGGAAAGGGCCGCTGGATCCGATTGAAACCTCGACCGCTCTGAAATGTTTCCAGAAGCTATCCAACGAAGGTCCCAGGCGTTGACAAACTGTCCCCACATGAGCAGTAGGACGGCAAGATAGCGGCTGGGACATGAGTCTGGGCTGTTCCAGAACCATCTTCAACTTCAAGGGCCTGCCAAAGAAGAACCGTGGTTCACTTGCAAAACTCCAGTGTTTCAATTCTAGGCCCTATGATCCAAGTACTTCATAGCTTCGCCATCCCTCCCTCAGGCATGGAAAGAAGCGAAACTTCAAGTTGGAGAAATGGATTGTTGGATGCTCAACTTGGACAGGAAGCCACATGCAAGCTGCCCAGGCATTTCAACCTCCGATCTTCGACTTCTTTTCCCAAGAAATCGCCAATCCCAACGTCGCCGCGTCTCCTGCGCTGTCGCCCCGGAAGTCTACCCGCTGCAGCTCCTGGACGATAAGCTGCACTGAGGCGTCCAGCTCCTACGCGGGAAGTGGGGACGGGGCTCGGTTGACTCACCCTCCCACGTTGGGCACCTGGAGGGTATGTGGAAGAACAAATCCTCTAGGAACCCCCTGTCAGTGGCAACGTGGGAGGGAGGCCCGCGAAGCGCGCCCAAACTCTCCGGCAATTCTTTGGAAGGTACACGAGGGCAACACCGGCGTGCCACATTGCCAGAAAGTGATATGATTTTCAGCCTTGGCTTTGATCTGAGCGTGCAGAGAAAGCAACAACTTCCCGAACCATCCCAAATGAAACACCAGGTTCCAGGCCAGCACGAGCTTTTGCCTTCTGCAAGGAATCGACGCCTACCTGCACATATATACATATATATATATATATATATATATATATATATATATATATATATATATAATAATAATATATATATATATATATATATATATGTATATGTGCCAATCAATGAGAAAGGAAAACTACTGTCACGTGGTTCTGCTTTCTATGCCGCTTTTGGCAGAAGCATCCTGCATGCTCAAGTCAGCACCAGCCTCTAGCAGGCAGCGTGCGTCATCACCATTGGCAGCCGCAAGGTGCAAAAGCGTACGCGCGGCCGTCGACTCTGCTCTTGGCCGCACGAGCCTTCAGCAAGCAATGGACAACGTCTGGATTGCAGGACTGGGCAGCAAGGTGAAGCGGCGTGCACCGGGCACCGTCGGCCACATCCTTTTCAGCACCAGCTTCCAGCAAGCACTGCGCAAGCTACGATGGCGATAGCTGTCGGCAATGTGCAACACCGGACCTGGTGTCCATTGTACGCACACGTGTCCGGATCAATAAGCTCCAACTGAACCACGGCTTCTGCTGTAAGACCAGCTCGAGCGGCCTTGTCGTTCCAGCTCACTTATGGTGGTACTATTTAGCTAGGCTATACCTATATTATATATATATAGCTCTAGGACTTCTGGCTGTAGGACGGCCACCAAGGCTTCCGCTTCGCAGGCTACCCACAGACTTTTGTGGCAGGCGCAGCACTTTGGACACTCGAAGCAACAAAGTCGTGCAAGGGTTGGTAGTTTTAGAGCCAAAGCATTCTTTCAAAGCTCTAAAATGAAAACTGTAACTTTCAGGAGATAAAGTAAAACAGAAGAGAGCTGCAGGACTGTCAATTTTGCACGTCTGCACTTTCAGCCGTCATGCGTCTTGCAGTAGGCGATGGATTTGATGTTCCGCAAATCCTAAGAAACATGCAACAACATGTTCAACTTGATGTCATTTCCTCTTGGCTCTTCATGCCTTCCTAGCAACTCCCGCCATCAACTTTGTTGGAGCATACCTGGTATCTATCCAGTATGTCCTGTCTTTCATGTGCTCTCCATCTCTTTCTTATCTATCCTACCAAAACGGGCTGTCCCATCCAGCCTATCAATCCGCTCGATACTATCTGTCCTATCGCTCCGATCTCTACGATCTATCCAATAGCTCAGATCCAAATCATCTATCCTATCTGTCCTATCTATCTGCTCACCTACCCGTCCATTGTATTGCAGTACTGCAACTACGAGTCACACAAATCAGCAATACAAACAGCTTCAAGCTTGTACATATCAATGCGATGAATGGAATGGTGCTACAAGGGAAAAGAACAGGGCTTGGAGAGAAGACCGTGTGCTTGCCTGGAATAGCGCAGACAGAACTTCGAAATGTATCAATCAATTGCTTTGATCGTACCTGTAGTATCTGATCGATTGTTTATCCTATCTACTCTATATCTCAAGAATCCATCCCGTCTTGTCTTGCATTGTCTTATTTGATCGTTTCTGTCTGACCCCTCCCCCGCTCTCTCTCTCTCTCTCTCTCTCCCTCTCTCTCTCTCTCTCTCTCTCTCTCTCTGTCTTTCTATGCTTGTCTATCTGTCTGCCTGTCTGTGACTCTATCTAGCTATCTAGCTATCTATTCTATGGTAATCTAGTCTAATCTAATGTATTCTATCTATCCGTCCATCTATCTATCTAGCCTACTTTTCCTCCAATCTGTCCGCCTACCTGATCTATCTATCTTGTCTAATTTAATCTAATCTAACGCAATCTGACCTAATCTGGTCTATCTGTCTAAATCAATCTATCTTGTGCACGTGCATATGAATATCCATGCACATCTACATGTACACATCTCCTTTCCGGCCCTTCACAGAAGTTTGACCTGCCTTTGTGCCCTTTCCAACATCTACATCCCCCCCCTCCCCCGAAACCCCCCTCCCCCTCTGCTCGCACCGTCCGTCCTCCCAGAGCCCCGGCTCCACCCTGGGCACCAAAGCCCTGGCCCCCGCGCAGGTCGCCAGGAAGGCCGCGGCACGGCAGCGCCGCAGCTTCTCCTCAGAGCCGGTGTTTGTTTGTGTTGATTTTCCTCATTTGTTTTTTTGTTTTGATTTTTGGGCTTCTTTTTTTTTGCGCGGAGGGGGGGGAGACGCTTGGTCGGTTTTTTTTTGACCAAAGGTCGCCCCCAGATCAGTCAACCCCAGTTTGTTGATGTGGCGGTGGCAGAAAATTGGTCCGATTCCCCGTTTTTTGGGGGGGACGTGCTGTTGCCACCGACTCACATGGATTTGTGCACAGACCCCTGTAGAAAAATGCCTTTCCTCTTGGAAAAGGGAGGGGGGCCAGATCAGTCAACCCCAGTTTGTTAATGTGGGGGTGGGAGAAAAGTGGTCCGATTCCACACTAAACCCAGACACCCCCCCTGAGTAAACTGGGGTTGATTGATATGGGATCAACATTCCCCCCGTCTTTGGGGTGCGAAACTAAAGGGACACCAAAGGGAAACCAAAGGGAAACCAAAGGGAAACCGAAGGGAAACGAAAGGGAAACCACAACATTTTGGTGTGGAGGATGGAGTTTCTTGACGTACTCCTTTTTGACGTCCCCCCCCCCCGGAGGTTCCCCCGACTTTGGCTTCACACCAAGGTCATGATGTTGACCGTGTCTGGAAGTCAGACGCTGGAATTGGTGGTTTCCACCTTCACCCTACCACTGAACGGGGGTGACTTTGATGGTAGAATACCACTTGGACAAAGGTGTCCCCATGGAAAGCCATCAATTTTGTGCAGGGGCCAAAATGAAATGGGCCTCAAAGAGGGGTTTAGGACTTTTGTGTCATAGCCAAAGTCAATTAACGGCCCAAATGACAAATAACTCACCCAAGCAGTACGTAGCAAAATAAATGAGGCTTGTCAACGCACTCCAAACCCATTCACGTGTGGCTTTGCCGCCGCAATTCTGGAAGCCCCTCGCGATGCTCAAAGCCGAAGATGCACCGCTTTGGTGTGTCCCACTTGCCCGAAACCGAGCGTTGCTGGGCCTTTCAAGACCTGCCCCATCACCCGCGGAGTCCCTCTGCCTAGCATGAACAAACCAGGCAAAGCACAAGTCCACCCCTGCCGATAGGGAAAAAGCAAATCACAAATGGCGATATGTCTTGGCATACCGCCATTGCTGGCTATCTTCTGCAGCCTGGGATGGGCCCAAAGGTGCTGGCCAAAACTGATATCCACCCAGAAGTAGAGCGACATGAGAGCAATTTGTTTATGTTTGTGCACTGTGCAACCCGAGCTCACCAAAGCCTACGATTGATATTGCATGAACAAATCCTACATATTGTGTATGAAACAGCCCTGTAGATATGCATATATAAATATGTATGTAATGCTGACCCCATATTAATCAACCCCTGTTTATTACTAGGGAAGTATCCCTGGGTTCAGTGCAGATTCATCACTTTTGGAGGGGCCCACCCCCATATGATTGGGCGACATTCTGCATACATACTGTTTTCCAAGTGGTGCAGGATTTCGTCCGTCCACAGTATGTCAAACCAGCGCATCCAGCGGTGCGCCACTTGCCCGCGCATCAGTTGAGCTCTGGGTGCCCGGCGGCCTGCAGGAAGGGGTTCAGCTGCAGCAACACGCCCATGAGCTCCCGCACCACGTGCATCTTGCGCGTGGAACCGGGACAGGGGATGAGCTCTAGGCGCCCCCGAAGTGGGGAAGCGCTTGGGCGTGTCTTGCTTGGAGGATCGTTCTCGTTCTTGGGGTTGGTTGAAATGGAAGCCAAGGAAGAACGACCCATTTAGGATCCCCCATTGCAGTTTCCTACTCAAGGATCCTTCTGTTCAGAAACTGGCCTCAGCGGAAAACGGCTGTCTTAAAAGAACGATGGGTGAACAGAACGGGGATTTGTTTGGAGGATGCTCGACTTGTTCATTTAAAACACAATGGTAAACCCCCTTAAACCACCGGAAAGGGGGAGGGTAGTTGTCAGGATATCACTTTGGTGGAAACACTATGTGTCATGGCGCCCTTAGGAACCCTACGATGCTTGTCAGTCCTTATTTCGGGGTCTCCTACCAGGCCCAAGTGGCACCAACTGCTCCTGGCTCCAACATCGGCGGTCTTCCTGTTCGGTCACTGCTTTTGTCCGTAAAAGCTGGTTTACCTTCCGCAAACAGGCATGCATTCCTCTATGTCCATTGGTGACATAGTTCTCCACCTGTCTATCCCTGGGGCTTGGTGGCCCTTTAGTGCGTCTCTTCTGTAGGAACAAGGCAGGGCCAGTGACACAGGGCAAAATATAGGCGACTTCATCTCCCAGAAACCACGGACCAAAGTGTCGCGGAAAACCCAAATATGTTTGTTCCATAGTTGGAAACTAGGAAGAAGCGTTCGCTTTAACCCTTATTTTTTCAAGCCAATTCTGAAGCCCAACAAGAACTGTCATGTCAAGCGTGTTTTAGCGCTTCGCAAGACTGGGCTGCCATGGCTCGATGCGTCATAGCTGAATCCCCAAACCTGTGATCAAAGAAACTGTGCATGAAATCAACCAAGAGTTTGCTCATTGACCATACGAAGGATACCACCATGTTCCGCAGGATTCCAGCATGTCTGTTTTGAGTCGGCATCTTTTTCTGGCTCCGTGTCAAACCGAGAAAACAAAATCCCGGAGACGCCCTTCTTTATTTGGTTTCTTTCTGTATCTATTTCCCTATTTGGGGGTCTTGGGAAGGGGGGGCAGGGGTGCGGCCCCCCAAGAGTTCTGCCTTTCGTTTCTTGAAAAGTCCCAGAAAAGGGGTCGACGCACCTCCGCCCGAGTCACCGATGACCCGAGTGACTCGCCTCGCCTCCTCCAGCTCGGTCTCGAAGATCCCGGGCAGCACCTCCAGGAAGCTCCGCACCCGCGGCGCGCGGCCCAGCCGCAACTGGGCCGACACGCGCGACGTCTCCGCCGGAAAAACGAAGCTCGGTTTGGGGGGAGGTCGTGTTTTTTCGTTGCAAAGCGGGAAGGGAAAGATCCCAAAGAAAACTGGGGGGATGGGTTTCAAGTGAACAATGAGACCATGATAAACCAGTTGTTTTAGAAGTTCGGGAAGTTAGCCAGCAACTTTGGGTGGGGTACCAAAATTCCGATGCTAAGTAAACGATGCCTGTAAATACAGCACATGCGCACGACGCACGGAGAAACAACATGCATACAAATACTCGAAGCTTCCTCCGGTTCCGGAGCCAAAAGTTTCACGAGGGCTCAAAGGTCCCTTCCTCTTTCTCTGGCTTCGACGGACGGCTAGCGTCGGAGCCTGGGGACGGGCAAAAATTGGAGCACGAGGGCCGTGAGATTGGCATAGCGACTCAAAATCGCGACCATTCCTCCCGCAAACACAGCGTCTGTGGGAGGTTACCTGGGAGATCAAGTTTCTTTGTAAGGGACCCCCCTGTCAGGCGCCATGTTAGTGGGAGGGTTCATAGCAGACCTCTATTTCCCTTTTATACATTTGTGCTGGCCGGCATTCTCTTTTTCCACTCCGTCGCCCAGGCTTGTGTACTATAAAATACTTCGTTGGATGTCAGCTGTCTGCAGGGAACACTGACAAGCTGGGCCAGACTGACAACCGAACTTCGCCCCCCTAAGGAAGGCATAGCGGTCATTCTGGTCCTCCCCCCAAGAAGTGCCCTTTCTCGAAGTGGACAAAGGGCCTTTTCAAAATGATGGTCGTCTTCCACACCCCTCCTGATCACTTCTATGGTTGGCTCGGCAATAAAAAGGGATCTGTCAAAACAGAAACAAATAAAGAAACGGCGGAATACATGGCACGCCGCGGTAGTGATGAGCCATGTATATTAAATGGGTCAATGTACGTTCGTCCAATCAAAACCTCCACCGAAAAGATGAATGGGTGTGCCTCAAAGTGGGATCACGCAGAAAGGGCGGCTTCCCTTTGGTCTTGGTTTAAGACACACTCAGCAAATTGGCGATTTAATAAACCCGTGGTTGAATAACAGGGGGCGTCCTCTTTTTGTTGGGGTCAACCCCCACGTTTCTGATGATTGCTTTCTGATGTTGCCCCTTGTCTTTGTGTTCTCCCCGTGGATTTTTTTTATGTTTTTGTTGCGTCTGCTTGGGAGGCCCAAAAAGCTGAGCTGAGCAACAGGTAGGATAAACAAAGTTGCCCGTGTCGTATGGAGTGCGGATGCCGCCAACTTCCATCAGGTGCTCTCGCCCGCAGTTTTCTCAGGTGGGTAAGTGGGCCGGCAGGTTTGGGGCACCTGTCCGGTTTTCAAACGTAGGTGGAGGGTTTCTTTTTTTTTAAAGGTCAGTCGCGCGTAGCTGCACCAGATCAGCTTGCCGTTCTCTGGCGTTTGGGATTGGCCCTTTGGAATTCTACGCTTTCCCATGGTTTGACACCATCAGCCCCCTAAAAATGGACAAACAAATCACACCTTCTTACTGTTTTGACTCCACCAGCGTCAAAAAATGGAGCTCTTCATCATAGTTTGTTTATCATTTTGACACCATCTGCCCCAAGAAAGGACCTCGAAACCACACCCTGTTCTCTTTTTGGCCCCAACAAAATGGACCTCGCAATCACGCTTACTTTCCCGTTGAAGACCTCAAATCATCTGGCAGAGTGGGTTGAGCAAGAAAACACACGCAATCCGAAAAGATAGGGGCAAACCTTCAGTGGTGGTCGCGTTGCATCATCAAATCATCACGCGACTCCCCGGAATCCATCTTGCCCCCTGCACATTCTACCCCCTTCAATTTCGCCGAGTGACTTGCCCCGAAACATCCCCCAACCTCTTTGTTTGCCACTCAAAAGGTCCAAACCCAAAGTGCCCATAGTGCCCGAAGTCTTCAAAACCCAGAGCTCCTCGGGCGTGCGCCTCGTCTGGCAGAAACCTCCCGCCTCCGCCCTGGCCAGCGCCGAGAGCGCCGGGCTCAGCTCCCGGGGCTCCAGCAGATGCGCCAGGGCGCCGCAGGCCGCCTCGCCCAGCGCGCCTGCGGGGAAGCTGCGGCCGGGTGGCCTGAGTGGACCGGCCAAAAATCGGCACTTTTAAGGAGGGAAACACCCGCCTATTCATAAACTGGGGTTGATTCATATGGGGTCAACATGACCAAAATGGTCCTTCTCGAAAGGTGACTAGAAGTCCCGAAGTCCGGAGGCTTTGGGGGTTTACCCTTTATCATTTATAGCCCACACACAGAGAGAACCGCCACCCACCAAGCCATTTGACCATCATGTAGTCCTTCCAGGCGAGTTTCCCGGAACGTGTCCACCATGCACCTCCCACTTCCCACGCGCTCCGCTCCCGCGCTGCCTTCCGCCTGAGCCATGGCCTGCAGCGCCTGATGGGCCCCGTGCTGGCGCAGCAGATCCCGCGCCTGGCACCTCTCGGCGCCGAGATCGGCAGATCTCTGAGGAGCTTTGAGAGGCGAGCCCTTGGTTGGGACATCCATCGCTGGGGAGTGGTTTTTGTCCGCCAACCACCTGTAAGAAGGGGGTTCCCTTCTTAAACTCATAGCCATATAGGAAGCCAAACCGAGGAAAAGGGAAACCAGGGGAGCGGAAGTGTCTGCGCCTGGATAAAGACTTGCTGAAGGGAAAGTTGATCAGAAAACAAGCTCTCCCAAAAAAGAGGCGGAGATTCAGTGGAGGAAGGTCGCCTTTTATTGAGCAAGAAACAACACACCCCACACCCCAATCGACTTAACTTCGGAGGCCACGACTTTGACCCACGGAAATGAGCAGCTTAAGTTCGTCCAAATCCGAGCATGAACCACAGCAATTGGCTGGACAAGTAATCCCCGCCGAATTTGGATGTCCACAAAAGTGGGTCCCCAACAACAAAAGGTCGCAAATACCCACTGAACCTTAGGGTATGCTGTCCATTTCTGATCAAAAGCCACTTGTCTTTGGGTATGATGTCAATGTCCGACTCAAAACATGAGATGTATCTTCCATGGAAAACCCTTTGCCACCCCCCCTGACCCACCCCTGAACTCCTTCTCTGGCCCACCCCCTCTCCAGGAACCGACCGCCTGCCTGCCACAGGATGCCATGGCCTGCAGGAGCCGCGCCAGGCAGGCGCAGGTGCTGATCCGCGGCTTGGTGTCGCAGCCCAGGCCCTACCAAATCTCGTTTTCACGGCGCGTTGCGCCCACCGGCGGTTTGGCGATGAACATTAAGAGTTGGAACCACCTCGAAAGTGATGGACATGAATCACCTACATGATGTCCAAAGGGTCACCTCCAAAGGGTCACCAACTAAATTTCAGAACCGGGCTTAACCTCCCAAGATGGCGGAAATTGCCTAAACAAGTTAATGATTATTGGTTATGTGGGATGTTTAACATGGCTTAACCTCCCAAGATTGCGGGGAAAAAGCTTGAATGGTCAAGAGAGTCGATTGCTCTGTGCCTGTAACTCTTGTGCCGTGGTGACATGTGAGGTTTTTCTGTGGATGGACAAAATGCACTCGACACTAAATGGGTTGTATAAATATTCAAATTGGAACTGGAGGTCTCCCCCCCTCCGGCCCTCCGGTCACTAGACCAAGTTGCAGAACTCTCGGTTGATTCGGTGGCCACACGCAGTTTTGGTAGCACGGCATCTTTGGTGTTTGAGAGTTGCAGAGAAGGCGACGGATCCGTTGCTTTTTTTCTCTCTGGCAGACATGATTGCTTTGGAGACAAGGAGCATTGGCTGAAAGTGGTAAGGTGCAAATGCAGGTCCGCTTATGCAGCAAGCCCTCTGATCCTGTTGGTTCTCTGGCAAGGAATAGGCCCCTGAACAAAGTGGGCGGTTGGGGCTGCTGATACCTGGAAATGGGCCCTGTCTGGCACAAAAATGACGGCCTCTAGTCATCGTGATGGCACATGCTGACCCCCTGGCAAGGTCCGATTCATGCCACTTTGCTTCGAACTGCAAGCAACTAAGCCTGCCTTTGCAATGCTTCATCTTGTGTTTGACGAACCAAACAATGTGCGTGTTTCGTGCATGAAGCATTTCCCTGTACGCAACGTTAACCGCTGAACGAGCAAGGGCTCTCCCTGCAACGGAATCCTTTTCTGAGCCAATGTCCCCCAACAAGCGTATGATGTACTGCAGATGGATGAGATCCATTTCGCACCACCGTTCAGAAACCCTTGTTTCTGATTCGATTCCCCAACGCGAATGCATCTATCAATGGTTGCATTCCCGCGGTTTCATTTTGTGGTGCGATTGCTGGATTTTGCAAACGTCCAGAGTAGACTTCCAGTTGCTTAAGCCACCTGGAAAAGATGGGAACATATTATGCCCGCTAGTGACATGGATTCCTCTTAACCCCAAGGCAGAAAACGACAACTTTCGCAAACGGAAAGTAGATATGACGCAGTCACATCAGGAAGGAAGCCCCCAAAGGAAGCCGCCGGGAAGTTGGAAGGATCCAACTGCAACTCCCGCGCCTGCAGCACTTGAACAAATATCCGGCCGCAGTTGGGCGCCCCTGGCTCCCAATTGGGAATAGGGGAACTAAGGAGTGGGGGGCGGGGGGGGGGAACCCGGTGATTTGGGGGGCGGGGGGAACTTGGGGGAGAGGGGGGGGCGGGGGTGGGGGTGGTGATTTGGGCGGGGAACGGAGGGGGTAGTGATTTGCCAAGTGTACCAGCGCTTTGTGATGACAATGATTTGTGGGGCTCAGGCAGCCTTATTCTGGTGAGTTCCCTCTGGTATCATTGTAGGCGACACCAACAAAGATCTCAGCAGCTACTGCTGCCTTTCTTGGCGAATTGTTAAATCTATAGTTGTTGTGCCATCCCCTCCGTCCCCTCTATTGTGGCAACCAGCAAATTTGCAGACAAACAGATCTTCACAGGCAGGCGCATTTGAAACCTGGTGCAAAGGACGCTCAGGCTCAGGCAAACCCTCCATGTATCAATTTCGAATGCTGGACTCGGAGAACGTTGCCCTTGTCAAGGGAAACTCGCCGGCCCAGTTTGTACCACCTGCATCCTAATCTTGCTGCGACCTCAGCGCTGCGACCTCAGAATTCTGTCAGGCCACCTTCATGTTCGGGACCCTGGTGTTTCCCATTCCCTCCGAAACCAACATGCAAGCCACTTCACAAAGGGCCTTCGATCATCACATCTTCTCAAGGCCAGGTCTACGGGGGTCTTTCGAACTGTCATACCCGCTTCTATGAGTATCGGGAGGGTGCCTCATATGAGCCACAGGCAAAGCATGCCGTTCCGAGCCCCACGTCAAAGGCTGAATGTATATGTCCATACAAGAACCCCTGGTATCAACCCCTAGCTTGTAAGTTCATTCACCGTTAGTTCTGACTGAATTATGGGATATCCGCTTTTAAAGGGTCCCAAGTGGCCATGGGTTCATGTCTCCGCATGTCTTTCTTTCTTTCTTTTCCGATAATTCCAAAAGCTCCCAAGTAATACGGACCTTTATCACGGCTCTAGCTTGTATTCTCGGGTGCGTGAGCTTGACGCATAGGTACCACATATGGACCTACTTGGATGCCCTGGGAAGCCAATCACGCGCGCACCTTACCTTTCCCTTGCGCGCCTACAAGGTGGATGGCCACGCCTCGCGGATCCGGATCGACTCGTGGATAGGCAACTCATGTGAAAAACTTTCAGAGCTGAACACCCAGGCAGCGGCAAGAATCGGCCAAAAAAGATCAGCTCTGTTTCTGTTGGTGTGACTTATGGTGTTTTGGGGAAGGCTTCGTTGGGGAGTCTGAGCCCGCGCCCTTGAATTCCCACACTGTTTCCGGCTGAGAAACCCAATAGAAAATTCTGTCCTGGCTGGCAAGGCTGCGAAATGGTTGCAACCAGGCAACCATTAGGAAACCGTTCGTTGCCTATCTGGCCACTCTCAGTTTGATCAGCGCATGACCGCATTCCTTGCCAGCGAGTTGGCTGTGCAAACAAGGGTCCATGGTGAGGCATGACATGGAAACCGTCAAGCGTTCCAGCCACGACCGGATGCTGCTAACAAAAAATCGGTTTTGAGGAGTCGAATTGCAGAGTTGAACAAAAGGCCATCATGCAAAGAGGGTACTTGCTTTCTCGGAGCAAGCTGCCAAGTGATCAATCTTCGTCTTGGCTTGCCAAGGAAAAAGTGGGGAAAAAGCACCGAACAACTTGCTGCCGTTGAAACAGCCTCGAAACTAGCTGAAGTCACTGTCATTCTAGAACTCTTGAGCCTTGTGAGAACACTCACGTATTGCCCCCCAAGACTGCCTTTTTGTCCCAAATTCCCCTGTAGAAATTTGGCCGTCGTCATTAAGTTCCACGGTTTGAGTCTTTCGGTAGGCCGCAAAATAGGACCCCCTTTTCTTGAAATTGCACGCCCTTGCGCAAATGCATCGCATGCCCTTGCTTGTGTGTGGGCCACATCACATCAAAACATGGGACGAACCTGGGACCTGAATCCCTGCCAAGTTCCAATGAATGATTGGTGCCTTCGGTTTCCCTGATGTTGATATTATCCGATCCTTGTTGCAAGATTCACATAGTTCACGGTCTGTCCATCTTGGAATGTCACCGAGTCGCCCTGGCTTGCTCACATCGATGAGACTCTGATGCTTCATACTTGTTGATGAGACATGCGTGACTGATGAGGTGATGGAACAAGAAGATAAGTTACAGTATCCTGATTGCAGAAACGCAACCAAAGCATATGGGCACAACCCAAAAGCAAAAATCAAGGCTCTAGCAAGAAGCACTGATTTCTCATTACGTTCCCCTTCTCAACTTCTTTCTTTCGTGTTGACTCAACATACAGCATAGCTTCCTGACCTGACATCCTTGAGTGCACGATTTTACTCCGCAATTTAGCCAAACCATAATTGTCGTGGTCCAAAGGAGGAGATGCAGGCGATAAGCCATCGCAAGGCTTCTCACAGACCCTAAAAATGGCAAGCACTTGCCTACCAAAATGAGCAGCCGTCCCCCCAAACCAAAAAATTGAGGAGACAAGGGGGCCCATCCCTCTGTTTGTGGAGCCCACGCATGGCAGACTCAGTCAAGACGGGCCTCCGTTTTGGATGAAAGATTGTCTCACACACACACACACAAACAAGAACACACACCCGGCCAAGCAAAAAAGCCGGGCATTTGCGGGTTTTCGTCTCAGCCAAGGGAAAAGGGCAAAAGGCGAAGCACCCAAAGTGGCTCCGGGACCCAAAACAGCAAGAACCTGATACCCTGCAAGAAGTTGATGTCAAACTGGACCCTCTGCTACCATCATATGTTTTGCTCCCCCCCCAAAAAAAAAAAAAAAGATGGCATGTGTCTTTTGTGGGCTGTTGCAACTCCAACCCACAAAACAATCACAATCCCAGCCCCATCACAAAACACCATGGCCCTGTTGTGTTTCCCTGTTGTTTTTGGTTGCCTCCACCAATTTTGACCGGGGTTTCCCACCCCTCTCTTTTTTTTAAAAAATCCCCCCCCCCCCTACCCCCCACCCCCCCCCCCCGCCCATTCCGCCCATTCCACCTCACCCGCACCCTTTCCGAGGGCCCACGCTGGGCAGGTCCTCGGCCATCCGCTGCAGGGTCGCCACCGCGGCGTGGATCACCTCCTGCCACGGATGCCGGAAGCGGTGATTCCACCATCGTTCTGGGCAGAAAAACCTGATTTTTTGTGTTTATTGATTTGGTTCTCGTTGTTATTTTTTGTGTTTCGTCTTTTTTGCGTTTTCTTTTTTCCGGCAAAACCGGCTGTTTTTCTTCCCCCCCCCCAGAAAAAAATGTTACGGCTGTTCTTCTTTCTGGGTTGTTTTGGGAGTGCCGAGTTCCGGGGGGAGATCAACGAGAGGTCGAGAGATCAGGGGATCCGTGTGATGACGGCGTTGTGTGGGGGCAGAGAAAAAGAAAAAAAAGAAAGAAAAAAAAACGATTCTTTGTCACCTCTCTTAGACGAGAGCCCCTCCCAAGCCTCAATGCTTAAGAGACCCCGGAAATCGGGATTTTGGCTGGGTTCTTTTCAATCCACCAAGTCCCCGTTGTGATGAAACCGCGCCTCCGAACTCAACCAAGCCATCAACTCTGACATGGCGGGACTGGACCTTTGGACCCGAGCCCTAAGAACGGCCCACTTCGCATACTCAAAGGCTTCAAGTACCGACCCTAGCTCTGGCATTCACCAAGCTGAGGATCCCTCTGAAACCTCGCTGACTTGAATTGTGGATGGGTGACCCCGGTTGATGGAATTGTCTAAGGGTTCCGCCAAAAAGAAACGATCCCGATTGTGGACAGCCCTCTCATGGGTAAGAGGGCTTGTACAAATCGGAAGTCACCTATACTCAGGTAAGTGCTGGCCCAAAGCAACATCTCCAAATTGTTGTCTGGTGCGAAAGCAGCATGGAACTGATGTTGACCCCGAAATAATGGACTCTAATGTATGAATCTTGGATGCTGACAGTCCAATTCAGGCCCGTGCAAAGGTTGAGACAGCTTCAAGGGCTTCAATCGGAAAGCAAACGGCCACTATGCGGCAAGGGGTAGCAAACTGCAAGTCACGCGGAAGTCCATGTCTTCAAACAATTTGACGACACTCACCTGGCCAACCTCATCCTGCCAAGGAGTCAACGCCATGCCCCAAATTGCCCCAAGTGACCACTGCACCAGTGTCCAGAATGGCAGCAAAGGCCGAAGCAAAAAAACCAGCAAACACACCCTTGCGAGTTCCTAGGACTTGCTGGACATTGCTCAGTTGCTCTTGCACCTGGCTGCTGTCTCCGCCGTGGCCTGGATTGCCCCATGTCACAACGGCTCCAGATTTCAGAATAGCAGCAAATGCATCTTCTCCTGCTTGAATTGTCTGGGCATTCCTTAACTGATCTTGCAACTGGCTGCTGTCTCCACCGCTGTCAGGATCACCCCACGTCACTACAGCTCCAGAATCCAGAATTGCTGCAAAAGCAAGTCCAGTTGCTTGAATTTGCTGCACATTTCTCAGCTGCTCTTGCACCTGGCTGCTGTCTCCTCCATAATCTGGATCACCCCATGTCACAACAAATCCAGAGTCGAGAATGGCAGCAAACGCACCGCGAGTTGCTTGGATTTGCGTGACATTCCTCAGCTGCTCTTGCACCTGGCTGCTGTCTCCGCCACGGGTAGGATTACCCCATGTCACAACAGCTCCGGATTCAAGAATGGCAGCAAAAGCATATCCGGATGCCTGAACTTGCTGGACATTTCTCAGCTGCTCTTGCACATGGCTGCTATTCCCGCCGCACTTCGGATCACCCCATGTCACAACAGCACCAGATTGCAGGATCGCAGCAAAAGCGCCGATAGTTGTTTGGATTTTGTGGACACTGCTCAGCTGATCTTGCACCTGGCTGCTGTCTCCTCCAAAATCTGGATCACCCCATGTCACAACGGCTCCAGATTGCAGAATGGCAGCAAAAGCACCAATAGTTGCTTGAATTTGCTGGGCATGTCTTAACTTATTTTGCACCTGGCTGCTGTCTCCGCCGCCGTCTGCACCACCCCATGTCACAACAGCTCCAGTGTCCAGAATGGCAGCAAACGCACCCCAGGCTGCTTGGATCTGCTTGACATTCCTCAGCTGCTCTTGCACCTGGCTGCTGTCTCCGCCGCAGTCAGGATCACCCCATGTCACGACAGCTCCAGATTCCAGAATCGCGGCAAAAGCAGTGTTGGTTGCTTGGATTTCCGTGACATTCCTCAGCTGCTCTTGCACCTGGCTACTGTCTCCGGCAAAGGTTGGATCGCCCCATGTCACAACCTCCCCCCTGTGGACATGCGAGGCAAAGGCCCTACCAGTGGCAGCCAGCATGACAGGCTGCACAACGGCATCCAACACATCCCCATCTCGCAAACCGGCCCTGCTCAGCGTGGCGGTCACATCAAGCTCCTGGCCTTTCGCAGTGAGCTTCAAGTGGCGCTGGAAATACTGCTGAGCTGCAGCCTTCAGCTTGCTGATAGGTGTCTCTGGTGTGACTGCGAGGGAGCAACCGTCTCCATTGGGCAAGTGAACATCCACCTTCATGGCGCAGGCAACTTCGTGATTTCAAAGTTGCAAGACTGATTCCACCCCAAAGGCATGCTCAAGGAAGAAGCTATCATGGCTCTTGAATTCTTCGCCACCTAACCAGCTGGCAAGTATACATAGAATTCTGACACCTCTTCGCATTCCCGGAATATGAAGGCTTCATTCAAAGCTCACAGCTCTGGCTGGCAAGTTGCGAGCAGTTACTGCTTCATGTTCTCTGTCATTGGCTCACTGGTCAAGCGATTTTCACCAAATACGAGCAGCTGTCAAAGCTGCTTGACACGGGAGGGTGGGTCAAAGAAGTGGCAAGTGACCTTCAGGAGCCACAGGTCATGGGGCCAAGGGGCCTTGCAACTATGGCTTTGGTGGGCTCCTTGCGATCAATCCGCCCATTCTAGGTCTCCCATTGAACAGCGCGTGTCAAAATGAAGGTGAACCTTTTCTGCCATGGTCCCCCCCAACTGACTGCCACATGGATGACCAAATGCTCAGAAAAGAAGAAGTCATCAGAATGCTCTTTGTCTTGGTTTGAGTCCCATACCGACATCCCTTCAAACACAAGCATGAGCAATCCCTGAGTCCATCCTTCCGCACGCCATCCGGTAGACGATGATGGGTCTTTGGAGGCAAAAACATGATGCTCAAGGGACGGTAGTGCGACCCTATGTGAGGACTACCGAGCTCCAAAAAACAGAGATGCGAGTGTCTGTTTTTGAGGGTACCCTTTTTAGGTGGCTTTGAAGGGACAATGAAGGGAAACCAACTAGTTTGATGGGGGGGCGTCCCAATTATGAGACAAAACGATTACAAAACTGCCCAGAGATCAATTCTCCCAAAACGGGCAGCGTTGGGTCCTGATAAATCAGCCAGGAAAAGAAGAGGGAGATCCGGATACCCGAAATATTGGCAAGCAAGTGAGCAAGGCAGCGCCGAATCTACCGTAGTTTACCATGGTTGGTGAGCTTGCAATATCTCGGGCATCCTCCGCCGGTCCTTTTCCCTTTCCCGGACGGACCACGGCACGGAAAACGAAACGGGGCCTCGGGCCTCGTCGCGCCTTTGCAGCGCAAGGTCCAGGTGACTGGCAGGCGAGGTCTCTATGGAATTTGGGGAAATTCATTGGTCGCTTGTGGGGGGGGGGATGTCCCAATCTTCAGGATACCAAAATGGCCGCTTGCTGTTGCTCAAAGTCAGGGTCCCGTCTCCTCACCGACACATCTTCTGGGAAATTGTTTTGGCTTCGGGACAGCTTTCGGTACCAAGGAAATGTCTCTCAAAATGACGAAGGAAATGGAATCAACCACTTGCCGCTATGCCGGTGTATCTCAAACTGGGAGACCATCTCTGGAAGGTGGAGTGAAATGGCTCAATCCCCTTTGCTTTGGGTAAGGGGGTGGGGCAACCCAGTTTTCCTTGGTAGGGTGATTGATTTTAGGGACACAAATTGGGGAACCCTGTTCCATGAAAATGACCCGGGATGAATCTTTCTGGTGGATTAGGGGGGTTGCATGGTGTGACAGTTGGGAGAAAGTAGGCACAATTGCCCTTGGTGTCAGATCCCCTGCTAAAAGTGACGAACTTATAGTGGGTTAAATACGGAAAGACCACCGCGAAACCAACTAACAAGATCGTAAATTACTAAGTTGAACAGGATGATGCACTGGGAGCCACCAAGGTTGAAAATCACTCTGAGGCCAAAAACATCGAGTTCCAACCGAAAACAAACAAACAAAAAAATATGTGGCCTCATCAGCAGCCGCAGCAGCTCCCAGCAGTGAGGCGCCTCTGCGCCGTGGGCATCCTTCCAGCTGCGCTGCGCGAAGATCACCCAGGCCTCGCCGCGAAAAAGGCAGCTCTGCTTTCACGTGAAGTCGTTGCGCGGAGACATGGGTATGGGTCAACATTAAACCACCAGGGCACCGCATGCTTCAGTCATTGTTTCCATTTACCAGGGTGCCATTTTGGGTATCCATTGTTGACCCACAGCCACATGTGGGCGTGGCTCAAAAATGTGGTTTGGAGCCGAAACGGCTTGGGTTCGGTGAATTGAGGGGGTTTCCCATCTACCCTCTACAAGAACCAGGGGCTGTTCAAATCCATATCGGGGTTACCTGAGAAGAAGCTTTCACGTTGGGAACTTGTTGTCATTCGCAGAGACATGTTGAACCTCTGTGAAATTCACGGGCAGCTGTCATCAGCCAGTCTGGCCGCGTTTGGGAGAGTGATACTCTCAACTGGAAAATTCGTTGGTGGCTACGAATTTTAAAGAGGAGATGGACATGAAGCCCCACCAACATGATGTCCACCAGAGGGTCCCTCATTGAGCTTCTCAATGGGGTCCCCTTTCAGTCTGGTCTTGGAAACAAAGCAAAAAAAAAAACACCACCTGGAGGATCCCTATATTGTCTTGAGAAACGCACACATCTTCGTTTTAGACAAGTTTGTGGGTGTCTCCGATCCATTCCCATCCTGATGTATCAGCATGATACAAAGCAATAACAGCCCGATGTTTCAGAACAGTGTCCCCTTAGAACAACCTGAAAAGGGTGCGGTCAAAAAACATGCACACACGAGCCTTTCACACGAGGCTATGGCACTGTGAATGTGCCTCAGCCACCTAAAGCCGATGGTCGCCAAACAACTCCAAGCTTCACTGAACCAGCGGTATCCTTCCTCCGCATGTTCAAGGTCCATGTCCAACGCAGATTGTTTAATCATACATATGCGTATGTACATATGGCTCACAGAATGCAAACAATCCAAAGCCCAAAGCTCTAAAGCCTGCACTGTCTCAGACAAATGCCAAAAAATCGCAAAAACAAAATGACCAATCAAGTCATGGCATCTGACATCTGGGATTTGCATTTGGTCCATTTGTGCAGGCTTTATAGCTTTGGGCTTTGGATTGTTTGCATTTGTTTGCTCAACCATCAAAAGAATGCAAAGAAAACCGTCCGTTTGCAGTTTCCTATTGAAGACACTGCAGATGACAGCATTCCACCGCTGACAAAGTTGCATCTGAAAACCATGTCCGCGTTCATGTTGTTTGCCGGCTTGATTGGTGCTTCGCATCAAGCATTCAGACAACATCTGGCACAATACAAAGAAGACTGCGAAAATACACAAATTACAATGTTTTCTGCACGACATCTACAAACCAAATGAAAACTAAGAAAGTGCAAATGATTCTCTTCTGTGCAACAAGTAGAAAGGCGGGCCTTGGAAGGTGACAAATATATGTATATATGTATATACATGCAACCCCCCGTTGAAGGCTACTTGGGAGATGGAATGCAGTTGCTTTGTTTGGAATGCCCCATGCGACTTGACCAGCATCAGCTCACCCTACGAGAGGAAATCCTCTTCAAAAAATCGAGCAACTCCAATTACATCTCGTTTTTGAAGGGAACTCTCGCTTTTTCCCTTTCCCCAACCCCTAAAATTTCTGCGGGCTTGTCGGCCGGCAAAATGAGTCTTTTGTCCCAGCATGACCTCCTGCTGGCCAGGCCTGTCTGACGTGTCTGAGACTAGCCTCACAGCCCAGCCCAACCAGCAACCCACCCAAGCAAGGCCCATGTCTGCACATGTCTAAGAGTCGCCTTGGGCCCAGCCCGTTCTCTTAGACTCGCTTTAGGAACCAGCAACCACCCTCCACCAAGCAACCCAAGCAAGGCCCAGCCCAGCCCGCCCTGTCTGCTGGCTCAATGACTCACTCCTGGTCCTGTGCATCGCCTTGCCCTTGCCTCGGAATTCCTGCGAGCCCACGACATCAAGACGCCAGAACCTGTCCATGCCTGAACCGCCACTTGACCAGCTCTGCTGCTTGCAGTCGAACCACATACGCTGCGCGCTCGGCTGGGCCGAGGCGAGCAACGCGCAGCGTTTACAATTAGATTCCATCTAATTAAATGGAAAGTCTAGAATATATTTTGAAGGAAGAATCCCAATTAACAATGTTCGTCAAAATGGAAAACCTACTGGAATAGTCTTTAAGTCTAGAAATTATATTGGGTGATGATCGGGTAATGTGTCCTTTTGTAAGTATCTATTTAACTCCTGGTAGAAAATTGAACAAATCATCCTGGAAAAGGACATCCTTTTGAACATCTAATTTGAAACAAGAATTCCAACTGTTAAAAAAACTGTCTAAAAAACGACAACCTATGTAAACTATCCTTAAAACCAGAAATTCGTTCAAAAACATGTCCTTATCAAGTCGACCCGTTTGAAGATCTAATTTCAGATAAGAATTTGACTACAGATCTTGTTCCACAAGGAAAGCATATTCATGTTCTCTTTAAGCTAGAAACTCTACTAGGGTTTGCTCCTTGGTACATGTCATTTCAAATCTAATTGGAAAATTGAACAAACACAATCCTAGAAAACGTTCCCCCGTTAAATCCATTTTGGGACAAGAATTATGTTTGATTATTTCATTGCTTAATCCTTATCGAAAAACTTGAATTCCAAGCAGAAAAACACGTGTCGAATAACTTGAATTCCGAGCAGAATAACACGTGTCGAATAACTTGAATTCCAAGCAGAAAAACAATAATTAAGCAAACCGCAGTGAGTCTCTTCGAACAAAAAGCATGTGATCCACTGAAATCCGTTGAACAAACATCTACGAGAAATAAGTCCGATTCCTACAAACTGAGTCAATACACTCCAAACCCTACACCCTTAACCTGTCCATTCTAAGCTGAGGTTGTGTGAGAAGATGCGAAACGGTTGTTATGTTGGAGCCAATGGCCCAAAAGTGAAAACAAAAAAAAGGTAAAAAAGTAAAATTATGGAGCCAATAGCCCAACACAAAAAGCGTCAAGTTCTGGAGCCAATGACCGAAAAACAACAACAATGGAGCCAATGACCCAAAGTTTAAAAGTAACAAAAAGAAAGTCAATTTCTGGAGCCAGGGACCCAAAAGTTATAAAAGTAAAGAAGTAAAAGCAAGTTTTAGAGCCAATCACCCAAAGGAAACAAAGTAAAACAGCAAAGAGAAAAAGTAAAAAGAAAAAAATGAAAAAACAAGCCCATAGTCCTGAAGCAAAATGCTTTGAGCATGGACTGACAAGCTTTCAGATTGTCTTTGGAAATGCGCCTTGTTTTCCTGTTTTCAAAGCCCCAAAAAAGGCAGAAAACACTGCACATACCAGCGAGTTCTGAAGGAAGATAAATCGTGGGTCCACATATATATATATATATATATACATATATACATATATATGTGTATATATATATATATATATATCATTACATTTGTTGATACCTACATGTGTTCATACTTCACACAAACAAAAATGTGCAGTATGTTTCCTGGTGAGCTCGAGTCGCCCATCACCCAAGCGGCTAGCTGCGCAACCTGCCCGGAGCCCGTGTTGGCCTGCGGCATCCCGCGTCCCGATCCGATGGACTCCCGAAATCGGAGCCTTCCTCAAAATCGCTTCTTGGATACGGCGACTCCCAAGTAAGCAGACTCCCAATGGGAAATTCCAAAACGATACCAATCGGTGTCCTTTTCACTTTGGGTTTCCCTCAAAACCGTCCAAAGAGCCAAAGAGGGACTATCAAAGAACACGCCCAATTCCCCCGTCGCATGTCGTATGTCGTCTGAAAAAGCCAAGTGTCTCAACCCGTTGGCACTTTCACCACCAGTTGCGTGCCTATGGAATGAGAATCAAAGAGCAAAACCCAAGCTTGCCATTTAGGAGCTCTGTTGACAGCCATCTGCTTGATCTGCTCGTTGCTTCGCAGCGGGAACAAAAGGTCCGTTTTTGTTTTTGCTTCACCTGAGCAATCATGACCCTCGGGAATTCAATCTCCTGTCCTCCCTTGGTTCTACCCACAAGATGAGAAAGCGCAATGGATGCAGTATGTCCGGTGCTGCAAAATCAGCTGTCGACAATCTCAACAGACAAGCACCTTCCACAGCCTTACCACGAATTCTCCGCACGGTATTCACCAACTCACGAACGTGACACGAGAGATAGCCAAGCACGCAGCAGAAAGCACACAAGTTGATAACAAAACCTCGCAAGATTCAAGATGCCTTGCCTTTGTTCAAATTTAACCACCACCCACTTTGAGCCCTTGGCCAACTTCACCGACCTCACGGCAAGCTTGGGGCCAGTGAGAACCACATGGGGTCAGGCGCTAACAAAATGCCAACGGAGGAATGGCGGCTGGCCAGCTACCTACCGACGTAAAAACCAGGACTACAAAACGCATCAGCTTGATAGCCCTACCCTGGAATGAAACGTCAGTGCAAGTTGAATGCCAACTTAGAGTACCACTAGTTCATTCGCCTGAGAAGGTTACCCGAGCCCCCTCCCCATCTTCACCCATCCCCACCCCGTCTCCACCCCGTCTCCACCCATCCCCACCCATCCCCACCCATCCCAACCCATCCGCCGTTCCCCCAACCCCCACCCCCCCCAAAAAAAAAAAACGAAGGAGCACTTGAGATTCCCCCTTTCAGGGCTCATGCTTCCTCTTTGAACATGATCCCAAAAGCTGTTTGACACCAAAAGGGGAAAGCTGGGGGACTCCTAAACAGGGAGACTCCTCAAAATGGTCGTTCCCTGCTGCTTTCCCTTCAAAACCAATCCTAAAAACGGCTCAGCAACCAAGATGATACCCCTGTATAGCCGTATATACATACATGTAAGAAGGTGTGTATATATATATATATATTCTTACATGTATGTATGTATGGCTTAAGAAGTTTGGCAAGCCCCCCCAATTTGGGGCGCCCTGCGGCTCCGACGCCTCCAGCAGCTCCAGGAGACCCTTGGATCCCCCGATGCCAAAGGCCAGCCACGCGAAGAGCTCCAAGATGTCCTCCGCGCGGCGTGAGACGCGCGACTTCGAGCTGCGGAAAAAACACCCGGACCCCCAATGGGCCGCAAAAAGCAAAACGGGTTGCTGGGATTTTGCAGGCCTTTCCCTCCCCCTTTTTGCAGGGAGGTGTCTTTTTGGGGGATGGTATGCGCTGGTGTTCAAAGGAAAAGTAAAGAATAAAAAACACTGAGCATCCTCAGACAAGTCAGGCTGCAACTAGCACAACAGGGAAGTCAACGTGAAACGTTGTTTGCGGTCGTGCAGGGTGCGAAGGTCTTCCCAAGTTCCGTGACGGTCAGCAAAACGACGGAGGAGGATGCTGGAGTTGTCACTTGAAGAAGCCTGACAAGGCAGGCTTTTCACATCTAATATGCTAATAAAGGCCAACACAACAGCGCGGAGATGCAACCCATTTTGCAGGCTTCCCCATATTTCCACCCAGAATCATCACAAAATAAACGAACTCTACTACCTCAATTTGTGCTTCGGCACCATCGGCCAACCCCGTGTGGGCTTGTGCGGGTTGTGCGGGTGGTGCGGGTCCTGGGACACGCGGCGAGCGAGGCAGCGCTGCACCGCCTGCAGGCCCCCCGCCTCCAGGGCCCAAGCGGAGGCGCTGGCGCAGCGTTGCAGAAGCCTCGGCAGGCTTCGGTCGCCGGTCGAGAGCTTGGCGGTTCCAATCACTTTTTGAGGCGAGCCTTTTGAGTTGGTTAAAAATTTGGGACCCGAGTCAAAGAGGTCCAGGTCAGGCGGGCTTGGGGAAATGAAAGGGTAGCCGTGGTTGGTCGTTCGCCTCAAGAAAGTTCGAGACACCCGTTTGGGGGAGCGGAGGTTCAACTCCCCACATAAGCGCCAACTCAGGCTCACCTCAACTCTCTCACTCTCTCTCCCTCTGTCTCATGGGCAAGGAGAAAGGTTGGTGGCCAGCTCATCAAGGAAAAACGGTGGCTCATAGTGAATTACTTGAGAAGCGGGTGAACGAAGGCCAGATAGCCTAGATAGATTGAGAATAGCCTTAAGTGAAAGTCATTGGGCATTAAGACCCGAGCTTGGATCATGTCTGTCAAAAAACTCAACATGTGCACAGCATTGTGGGACTGTACTGGCAGTGGGCGAGGGGCGACCAAAGGAATCAAGTTCGATTCCTTTCGCGGGAGCGGGGGGGCTTAAAGAAAATTGGTCTTCGGAGTCAATACAAGTCAGTCTCCCAAAGATTGAAAAGATACATCCGTAAGCCGGCCCAGCCCCCCAATCGCTAAAGCAAGGAGAACTCGATTCCAGCACAGCCAGCTTTCAGAACTTGGGAGAAATAGTTTATGCAAGTCGAAATCTGGGCGATTTGCTCGTGCCAAAAGTCTCAGTTTGCTTTGCCACATCTGCTTCGGAGCTGGGATCTCTGATTTCACGTCAAGTGCCATAGATCTATGGGCAACAACAAAGTTGCTTTCGCCTAGGCGAAATGCACCGGTTCGCGACAAAAATGCACGCCGAACAGCGCAGGAACCGAACCGAACCGGCAGGAAGCTTATGGGGGTTGCGCTTGCGGTGGCTTGGCGGAAGGGTGGCTTGCGGTAGCTTGTGCTGGTTTGTGGTGGCTTGTGGAGAACTTGCCTTTGGCTGAGAATAATGTTGTTCTTTAGGGACATGGCAGCAAACAAATCTTCATGCATGCCGCCATGCTGGGTTGTGAAGCACCATCTTGAAAGTTGGTGATCATCCCACGGCAAAACTATGGACATGTTGTACTAATGACTGTGCATTCCACTGAATGAATTTGGGATGGAATTGGATTCACATGCGGTCGACTTTGGGATCACTCTGTACATTCAGGACTGCTCTTTATCAGCCCATGGCCATGTTGGATCCTTTCTGGGATCAGGTTCCACATTCGAAGAGCAGCGGCCTTAACGCTGCCTGGATGAGTCAGGTCTCCAACCAGTGTTCAGACATAGTCGGTGAGGTCGGGCGACATACAGCAACTTGCCACATTTGATTAATGCATGAGCATGAAAACTGGTGCATATGATGTTGCATGATTATTAGAAGCATGTTCTCATTAAACACCAACAAAAAGAAACATATAAGCAAACATCAACATCTTTGTACCAAAGAGCGTAGCATACAAACATTCCTCCAATGGCGTACCGGCCGAGAGCCATCACCGAGGAGCTGAGAGAGCGCCCAGGCCTGAGAGACCCAACACAAACGCGCCAGCGCGCGCGAAAAACCAAACTGTGCGATCGGCTCGAAAAATGCAGGGGCCCGGAGAATTGGTTCCTGACCCCCGAGATGAAAGCCATCCAACTGGTGGTTTGCTTGGAGAAACCCCTGGGCAAGGGTTCATTCCCACCCGGAGATGGTCATTCCCTACCGAGCACCAGCAAGGCTGTGTTGCTTCAGTTCGGGGGCGGCGACTCATAGTATCCCTCCCACTAATACAGCAACTGGCAGGGGTGCCTTGAGCAAGTTACTCTTCCAAAGTTAGTGCGCGTGACTCATCGAATCCTACAAAAGCAGCCGGATTTGCACCGTGCTTTCCGGGTGCTTGGCTGAATGTCTCGGGTTTGGGAAGCTAGGATTTCAATTGCTTCACTGAACCTCGATCAGAATCGGAGAGCTTTTTCTTGACATCCCAAGGAATGGAACTGTCTGCATTTTGTGCAAGCACCCAAAGAACCTCCCACATCCACCTGGCCTGGTTCATGAGTGTGGAGCCAAGCATGCCACTTGCGCAAGTCGAACCATGTGTTCTTGCTAGTAGCACATGGACTTGCGAGCTTTCAGGGGTCCTTCAAGTGGCCAAAAGACCATCTGGCCGCCAATACACCGACTCAGTCGAGCATTGCGCAGGCCAGCTTTGCTTTCTGCCCACCACTGTATCAGCGTCCAAAGCCATCGAAACCATTTTCCACCATGCAAATCTACTTCCCAGATCCCTGCAATCAGGAAACAAAAGAGGCGTGAAAAAGGGGGGGGGGGGGGGGGACTACCTTTTGGGGACACACCCTTTCTAAAACCTTGGAGGGGCAATCTCTTCGCCATGCTTCAGGTTCCATGGCCAATAGCCAAGTAGAAGCCCCGTTTCATCATTGTCAAAGGCATCCCCGAAGTGGTAGGGTAAAGGAAGCGACCCCAATTTCTGACTTGGCTAACCCCTAGACACAGTCGAAATAATGACGCCCAGACTACCTCGCCAAGACGCTGCATCTTTGGCCAGCTGGGGGTCCTCTGGAGAGATGAACGTCACCAGGCTCTGCACGCAGCCTTTGGCGTGCCTTACTTTGCGGAACCCTCCCAAACTCTGCAGCTGCACCTTTGGGAAGCTGGATTCCGCTGAACCTTTGAGGGACACCAAGAACGGGGGAGAAGTGGCGCCATCGAGTCTCATCCAACGAAGAGCCATGCGCATTGCACGCGGAAGGTATTTATCCGACACCGAGCGCCTTCGGGATGAAGGGCGCCTTGGGGAATCAATTCTACTTGCTAACGAAGCGCCTGCGGGGGATTTCGGCAATGACCCAAGAGCCTCCCTTCGAGCAGAGAAGGGATGGTTCATGTCACTCCGCCATTCCAAGAATCAGGCGGGTGGGAAGGATGGGGAGGTCAGTAAAGTTTGCGCTTGCTGGGTGGATGACAAGAAACCTGGCCAAAGAGCAAGTACTCGCTTGTACTTGTTCCATTGGATCTTGCATTATTTGTCTTTGTTCCCTAAACATCTTAGCTGTTGGGATTATCTATTCATGCAAACAATTGCTCCCAGTCACGAAATGGTTTGCCTCTGGTGCCCCTGCTGTTTATCTCTCAACTTCTCTCCCTTGCTTTTTTTGCACCCCATTCATGTTTGTCCGCTTGCTAAAAACTGTGTGGACCAGTTGAAATGAGCTGATGCTGCGCAATAGCTGCTGGTTGATCCTTCGGGTTTGCTGCCACTGCTTCCCTTACTGGCCTTATCGGGTTTGAGCGCAGAAACAAGGGAAATTGACGAAAGCTGAGAAAAGCGAATAAACATTCAAGGACACCACTTCAGGATAGCTGATAAATACCAGAGGTGCATTTGCGTTGGTTCACTTTCACATTCCGTACTGTCTGAAGATCACGCAAACGTCTCAAGCAAAGGCATGGGAAGGGAATTTTGGAGATCAAGCAAGGCAACACCGGATCTGCGAAACTCGGAGCCACTTTCACGGCGTCCGCAATACCTTGCAGCCTATGCCTTACTATACACATTCTACAAAGTGATGTGGGCCGTCTTCTTCTGCATTCTATGGCTCAAAGGTGCTTGAAAGGAGGATGCGTTGCCCTTCTCACCACAAGCACTTGCTCGACATGTTGAGCAGGAAGCATCTCCAAGGACCGCTTCCTGCAGAAACTCCCCTCTGCGACCGTGCCATGCTAATTCATGACTTGACACCTAGTTGGGCATGATTTGTTTGGAGGGAGTCCCTCTTGTAACCTAGCAAAACCTAGCTAGCGTGTCTTTTTGGAGGCAGTCTCTTGTTTTAAAGTGAAAACCATTTGGACACCGACTCGCCCCATGTCCCGGTTCCCCTAGGTCCCCATTTCGCCTCTCGCAGGTCTGGAGGCCCTGCAGCGTCATCTCCGCCAGCCGTAGCTGCAGGGAGCTGTGGGACAGGTCCTTCGCCAGCTTCGCCAGCCTCGGATCCGTCGATCGATCGCGCAGGCGGGAACGATCCAGCGCGCAGGCGCTGCCGCGCTGGGAAAATGGGCCCGGGCCCATTTTCGGCCCGCCCTGCATTCCGACAAAGTGAGATGAGTGGTGTGCTGCCATACCAACATGGAAACTGGAGTCGAACCCTGACTCCCATCATTGGAAGATCGCAGCACCCTTCTGGAGGCAGCTTTGTCCAGATTGCAACACTCAGGGCAAAGTACCCCGCTTAATCAAGGATCTGTCTTGGTAGCGGGCAGACCAAGGATGTTGAGATACTTAAAACAGATTTAGTGATGCATTGTGACCACGACCAGAAGTGCGACGCATGGCGCAATCACCCAGCTTCAACCATGTTTACGACGTGTTCAGAAAATCAAACATGACATTGTTGGACCCCCCAAGATTCTCCTTCCAAGCCCCGCAACCCCACCCCACAGGCCTCGGCATAGCACGCAAAAAAAAAAAAAAAAACGAGACTTGGTTTGGCTTTCTGTGCATGCATGGACTTAATTTTATGCATCATTCTGGTAAAGTCCTGGAAAAGCCGAGGACAAAGGCAAGGAAACCCTTACATGCTTGCCACCATGCATGTACATTATATATAATGTACACATGCATATGAGCATGAATGTGTATGCGTGGACTAATATTATGTGTATATATGTCTGTGTGCCTTAGTCTTGTGACAAACGACATGCACAGCAATCGTTTGACGCATGGAACACGGCCCCAAACGCTGCAAATGTGTGTGGTTTGTCTCCTCGACAGAGCAACCAAGCACCGCCAAACACATGCTAGGACCAAGCAATGCTCAATCTTCACCGTGCCTCAAGCTGCTTTGATGCCGGAGGAACAAAGGCTTAAACAGAAGTAACATCCAGCAAATTGCTAACCCTACACACCGGTGTAAATGAAAACCTGGGTTGGTCTCGTAATGCGGGGATCACCTATGGGGTCTCCTTTTGGTTCCCTTTCAAAACCCGCCTAAGACAGGCACCCTGGAAAAAAAAGTCGAACCACGCCATTGCGCCATGCGCGGAATCGTCCAGTGGCTCCTTCATGGCGAAGGCGCCCTGCGCGGTGCCTCCTTTCGTGGCCGCATCTGCCGCGAGCTGCACCAGCTCCTCTCGATCTCTCGATGGTTTTTCCCGTGCCGCCCCCGTGCCGCCCCCATTTCGTCGAGCCGGCGGTGCCGAAGTGTGTCGGTGTAACCCTCGCCACGCGGCCCTTTTGAACCCAGAGGGCCCCTTTCTTCCTGCACCCCGAATCGTCAGGTCCTATGTTAGTGGACGGGAGGGTACTTGGTGTTGCTGTGTGTTGCTTGTTGGGAGCCTACAGGGGGTCAGTGGTTGGATCGATTTCTTCCGCGGTCATATTTGTTGTCTGGCTCCTTTGTCAAAAGGCTACTTGCCTCTTTCCCTCAGAATTTGTCACTACCTTACAATGGTGTTTTCAATGTGGTCCTAAACTGAATCTGAAGTGGAGATTGAAAAAAGCTGCATCAGCCGTAAATGACAGTGACAAAGAACCCAGAACTGGGTTTGTGCAAGGCCCTTGGTTTGGAACATGAGTTTAAAGTACAACCTGTGATATGGCTGCTCAGACTCAGCAGTTTCAGGATGAACGATTGGCGCTCAGCGTTTGGAGAACACTGGTGGCAAAACACAAACTCAATGTTGCCCAAAGCGATGGCCGAGCTAGTTCGCATGGTGCCGTGCAAGTGGTCACCACTTGCTTGGCTACCCACCCAAATGTTGGCTTCTTCCCACAAGTGTGTGGGCACATGTTTCAATGAAACTTGTGTATTTGTCGGTGGCTCCAAGCTGTGGCAAATTGAAAGTCCATCGGAGGAAAAAGCTGTGCAAACCACATCAGAAACCGTTGCAAATTGATCATTGAACTGTGCTTGTTTCACGTGCTTGCCAGGATCGCATAACATAAACAACATAGACAAAACTGATGGACCATCAATTCCATACCTGATACAGTTGTGACTCGGAAAGCAGAAGACCCTGCAACAAGTGGGTCACAGCGTCTTTGCAAGTACATGCTGATGTGAATCAATGTCGCTACCATGGAATTATTGCAACCAAAAAACGTGAAAAACATGCTGCTGAATCGTTGTGGCTCATCGCTTTGAGGGGACCATTGAGGCTGCTGTTAAAAATGTGAGTCGTTCAAAGGGATGGCAGCTGCATAATATGATTTTGCAAGGGGCTAGACGCTAGTATTCGAATCATTGGTTTAGTCGGAGTAGCAACAATAGTAGTATGAAATTCTGCCTATGTTTGCCAAATAGCACGTGATCCAATAATATGTCACGCATTACTTAGATGATCTTTCAATGGATTGTCTCTAGTTGAGCTATCAAGACGTTTCAGTATTGCTTGGTTCTTGTCTATTGTTTTATGTAGTTTTTGTTCTTATGTTTATAGTACTTATTATTGGTTATTGTTTGAGTCAGGCGGGTACCAGCTTTTCAGCCCGGATCAAGGCCATATGCCGCGTGGCAACTCAAGCGGTCCGCACGAAAACAGCTGGGCTGGGACTTGGGATCTACGGTACTTGCACCGGCTCACTTCGTTCTCCTAAGCGTTTTGGGGGGGAGCTCCAATGGGTATATCCTTTTTACTTGGAAGCCAAAAGGAAAACATTGGGGTTCCAGACAAGCCCAATTGAAACCATTTCGTTGTATTTGCAGGGGAATCATCATTCTAGGGGGTTGTTGGGTGGTGCGAGATTTGGTCCATCCACGGTTCACCGGTGTTTTGGTATCTGCGCCTGCGCATTGCCATCCAACGGGGCCATGATTTCTCTACTCAATTGTCAATAGAACATGCGGGTCAGCTGGATCATTGTCAGGCTCAAATACTGGCATCCAGTGGACACTGCGCATGAATGCATCGTAAATGCTTTCCTGTTTTGATCCTGTTTTTCCTGTTTTTGTTGCTCCCTCGGAATGCAACTTTGGAATTGCCTTGGGCTGCTTGCAATCCGCTTGCTCATCGCTTTGTGGTGACATTGATAACCCCTGCGCTCATTTGCTCGTCCCAAAACACAAGCCAGTTCCAGTTGTTTATATGTGTCGATGGTGGCGTCCCGCTCGGCTGGCAACAGGAAGGCGGCTGCCAAATGCGAAAGGATAAGACGAGAGAGGTGCCTGGAAATGCTCAGCCAAGCCCGCCAGGGATTTGCCTCTCAGCGAACATGATCCAAAACTTGGGTTGTCAGTTACTTCGTTTGTGCGGGATCCACAGTTGGGGCTTCACCGGCCTGAAATGAATGGGCCAATACCGCATCCAGCCCAAAATGCAACATCCCCAGAAATGTCAACTGAATTCTAAGCCTTCGGCACATGTACTTTACATGAGCAAGTAACGATATTACTTGCTGATTCGGCTGGGCGACCGCTTCGTGTGGAAGTGGGATGAAAATGGAATTCACCCAGTCAATCAAGACCACCCCTTCATCAAGTGCCCGCCCCTCAAGTCCAGCCCTTCGCAATGAATCCCAAGCCCCTCCCAGCACAAACCCCACCTCTTAGTTCCTCTCACTCATAATTGGGCCATGTTCAATTCCTCTCTTTGAGCTGATGCATATACACCTTGACCCATTTGCAAGACTTGGCCCCACCTTCACTCGAGAAAAGAAACTCAGACACATCGCATGTGGCGAAAGGGGAAGAGATCCATCCTGAGGGAACCGCCGCGGTTAACGTTTGATTCCGCAAACAAAACTCTTTGCGATTGAAAACAAGAATAAACCAAAGAAGAAAAAAACACTTCGGGCCTTTTGTCCATGCTTGGACTTGATGGGCCGTGTCGCAAGAAGCCTCAGGAAGAAAGGTAGTTGCAAGTGTCTCAATGGATTTGAACTTGCCCTATTGCTGACACTCCAGTGTGCCAACCTGGCTCAAAAAGCGCTTGTTGTCAGCTGGGCTTGCGCAAGATCACAAGAATTCGTAGGCGAACACACTAGACAATGCGAGCGAACACGTGGCAGTGCAAAATCCATCTCAGGTCCGAAAGGCTCTGATGGCAAGTTCTGAACTCTTCTGGCATGCCCCGCATGCTCAGCAGCGCTGACGGCGCTAAGCACAGGCAAGCTTTGAATGGCGCCAGAGGGCCAAGACTCGAGTCGCAAAATGCCGGCCAAGGTTCGTCCCCAAGCGCAACTCACTAGGGCACTCTGACTAGAACAAATGTCACTTGCCATGATCTTGCATAGCACGACTGGCACCCAGTTCGGAGAGTTGTTGTTGACGTTTTTGGTCAACATATTAGCCATCAGACATGTAAGTCGTGCATCACGAACACATCCGAATGCAGAGCATGCAACTCGCAATTTGCGCCCGCGGTCATGCCGCACACTTGCCCATGACATGTTGCAACCAAAAAAACAGGCTTCGCCAGGCGTGCACAGCTGAACCAAAGACCGGCCCCAAAGACCTTCCTTTCTGCAGCTCTCGCGCACGGATAGAACAATCCCGAAGCAAAATCATGCGGCAACCTTGACTTCAGAGCCTTCTGCTAAAAATCAAGCGACCTGGGCCGAACTAGTCCAGAATCGTGTCGCCCGCCTGGACGAGGAATTCATCTTGGCACTTTTCGTTCAGCCCTCTTGGAACTCGGAGTTTGCAAGAGGCACTGCAGGACAAACTTTGGAAGCACTCGGGCCTGCCAGACTGCTTTCGCATCAGATGCAAGTGTCTAAACACGGGCAAATGTTTGGGGGGAGCCAGCCGTTCACCGCAATTCTGCCGGCAAGTTGCTATGCGCTGGCCAATTGGGCCTTTGATCTACTGCGCAAGACAGGCCATCCAGCCGTCTCTCACTCCGCAGTACGGAGCCGTCACAGGTGCAAGCTGAACCGAATTGGTGGCCTCCGGACAGGCACGATCAGGTGACCCTAGCTTCCCCTCAAAGCCTTCTGCCAATGAAGTGAGCTGGTGGCCGATTTCAGCCACGTGTTGCTCCAGGCCTCTTGAGAGATGAATCTTTGCGAGACTCGACACATTTTTCTTTTCACCCTCTTGGAACATCGGACTTTGTTCGAAGCTTTGCAGGACGTCCATCGATGTCGCGTCGGATGCAATCGTCCAAACACGGGCAAATGTCGGAAAGGCTCTGTAGCTGACATGAGTTTGCAAGCGTGAGATAGCATGAGCCTCTCGGTAATTTAGAGGCTGCTGCCAATGCTGTCCCTGTGTGACGCTGCCCTAACCAGATCCAGTTGCTTTGCGCGCCTGGCCATTTCAGCTTGTTTGCAAGTCGCAGAAGTCTGCACAGTTTCCAGTGTTCACGTTTCTGGTGAGAATCGTTTTTCTTGCAGATTCGGCTCAGTTGCAACGTACTGCAGCCTTTCGCGAGCGATGCTAAGCGCCAAAAAAGTCGGCAGACCGCGCCGGCCCAAAGCATGTTGAGCACCAGCTCCAAGGACCCCGAAAAAATGGCCAGGGTGCATCTCCAATCTGGTTGGCATCGCGAGCGCAAGCTGAGGTCTTTAGATCCATCAGCCGCACCTATCGCAGCTTACAACGAATGACTGCGATGGCCGCCCACACCCTGTCTCCCAGATCTCAGGCTGTTGCGCTGAGGGCGCAGTGATGGCCCACGTCTGCGCCTCAGTAAGTGGCAGCCTCGTCCCTGCCGAACCTGATGCAGCCTGCATGCGACTCCCAAGTTCATCTTGGAAATGGCAGCGAGACGGCACTGGCGCTTGGTCCGATCACGGTCGCGGTTTCGCACAAGGTTCAGGTCCCTTGGCTCTCTGTGTGCTGCAACTTTGTTGCAAACAACCTTTGCTAAATAGGCCACACCTCTTGTCGCGGGGAGGCCGCACATGTGGCCAGCGCCTGTCAGCAAGCCACACAAACTAGATAGCCTTTTCAGGGCAGCTTGCGCAGGTGGGGAGAGATTTTTTTTGGGGCAAGCTGCCACGGAAGCGGCCGAAGAAATGCTAAGGCCGACGGGCCCCAAGATATCTTAGGCCACACCTACCTCTAGCAGCTTGAGGGCTCACTTTGGAAATGCCATGGTTGCAGACGGACGCAGCGGCAGAGAGTTTGGTGCAGGCAAGCAAACACTTTGCTGGAGCTGTCCTTATGCGCATCGCTGCTGTTTGGCGGTCCCTCAAAAAGGTGCCCAGCAAAACACGCGCTTCTTTAGCCGGAAACAATCAAGCCCAATTCACATCCAGCTTGGGAATCATGCCAACAACTCCTCCAAGTCGACCAGCACCAACAAAGCAGTCCGGCTACGCTTGTCCTTACTGGACCTGCTGTCCAAAAGGTTGGCGCCACTTTGGCGCAAATTGGACTCACGAGGTAGAAAAGGTGATGAAACAGCCATATTTGCACAAGAATGGCAACATACTGCAATGGGATGTGAGCAAGGGGAGGTCCGGGCAGATCATGCTGGCTACCACCTACCCCCGGCCAAATTTCCAATTGGGGAGGATGTCTGGCACCCGTTTAGAAGCCATCACACATTGAAAACGAAGCATTGCCTGGGGCAAACCCCTGACCAGGTGGCTTCCCAACTTCTGGTTGCCTTGCTGGCAGGCTCCAGAAACACTGGCATGGCAAAAGACCGAATACGTATATTGCTGGGCGGGTCCTCACATGGGTCATACGGCCCCGGTGCGTCATGCTGCGCTGACGGCGCTCACAAGAGTGTTCGAGAAATGCAGAAAGAAATTCACAAGCCCTGCCAAAACCAACGGGATCACAGTTCAGAGGACTGCGCACGAGGCTAGATCGAGACCTCAAGCTGCGCGTGGATCACTCCGGAAACCTGGCACTGACCGACATAAACATTGCCGGAGTCCTCATATTCGTGCCGACGCGGATCCGGCGCACCCTCCTGGGCTCAGTTCGCAAGAGGTAAGCGCTGGCCGCTTGCAGATCTAATCTGAAAATTCCCTGGATGGGCTGCTTCCCCCTATGGAAGTCGCGGCCTTCGTCCCAGTCTGCAATACGAGGTTGTCAGGGTGATGTGAGGGTAGACATAGGAGACTGTAGAGGAAGCAGTGTCTACAGCAACCAAAAAAGACCGCTAGGCAGAAGGCTGAATCCAAGAGATCTCACAAGCTATGCCATGATGGCCCGCTTCGGAAACACTAGCGCGGCTGCAAACAGCCATACACTGCTGGGCTGGTCCTCACATTGGCAATGCGGCCGCAGCTAACCCAGGACCCGCCCTGCCGTGCAAACGGCTCAGCTCACAGTTGCGGGCGAGCAATCCAGCAGTGTCTACAGCAACAAAAACAGAAACTCCAACTCCTCACGGCACACAGCTGGGGTAGCGTTTCCGATAGCCCTCTTCCACTGCTAGTTGGAACTAAACTGAATTTGTACGGCTCTCAAGCTACGCTTGCCTCCAATCGGATGGCTTGCTTTGGAATTGCTGGCTCGGCGGACCGAACAGATTGGTCCTCACATTGGCTGACGGCTCAGCTCATAAGCGTGAGCGAGCAACGCAGCAGTGCCTAATGCAACCGAAAGAACGACAAGCTATCCAGAACCGAGAACTGGAGCACTGGGCACTGGACCATTGCGAAAGAGACTGGATCCAAGAGAAACCTGGCATAGCTGACCCTGGGGCTGCCATGGTTGCCCGTGTGCCCTGCGGCGCAGACGGCTCAGCCAAGCGTGGGAAAGCAAGGCAGCAGCCCCTAGAACAACAAAAAATACTTCGAAGTCCTCACGGAAGACAGCTTGGGCGGCGATTCTGATAGCCCTCTTTCCACTGCTACTTGGAACTACACTGAAGTAGAGCTGTCAGGCTACACTTGTCCCCGCGCTCTGGACCATATTGCAAAAGGTTGGATCCGGGAGATCTCAAGCTATGCCATGATGACCCACTCCGGAAACGCAAGCATGGCTGCAAACAGCCATACACTGCTCGGCTGGTCCTCACATTGGTAGCGGTCGCAGTTGACCCAGGACGCTCCCTGCAGCGCAGACAGCTCAGCTCACTGTCTACAGCAACAAAAACAGAAAAACAGCTTGGGCAGCGCTTCCGATAGCCCGCTTCCACTGCTACTTGGAACTAAACTAAATTTGTACAGCTCTCAAGCTACGTTCGCTGGCACTATCTCCAAATTTGCTTGTTTCCGGCTTGGTGGCCTGCCTGCAGTGGCGTAGCTGCACCGCAACAAACAGCTCGCTCCCACCTCCCAGCTGCGTTGACAGTTCAGCTCCCGATCGTGGATGCGCAACACAGCAAAGCCTGCAAATCAACGATTCGCGGCAGACTAATTGGACCCTTCTGAGAGCCGTCAGCTACTTGGAACTAAACTGAATCTATAGAGCTGTCAGGCTATGCTCGTCCCTGGGCACTCCAAGAAGTTGGTGCCAAGACCGAATATTCCGTTTTCTCACAAGCCCTCAAGACGCCCAGCCGAAACTCCACTTACGGAGAATGTCTGGCACTTGATTAAAAGTCATCACACATTGAAAAACGAAGTATCGCCTGACGCCTGCCAGGCAGGTGTGATTCCCAACTTCAGCAGGGGACCTTTTCCGCGAACACCATTCCAAACCAGACCCCCCCAAAGCCCCAAAACATGGAATGGAATGGCTGCAAAAGCCACCTCACGCCCCTCCCAATGTCCATTTTCGAGGCAGGGATGCTGTTCTCAAGCTATGCTTGCCAGCTTGACGGCTTGCCTCATACGCTGGCCGCCCTGTGGCGATCTCACTGCGCTAACAGCGCTGGCTTAGCTCACACTCGCCGGCGCGCAACCAAAAACAGCGCCTGGAGCAACCAAACACGTCGAGACTGATAGCCCCTGGCGACTGGCAGAACACTCAAGCTATGCTTGCCCCTGGGCACACCTGCTGCAGAGGCGGGCAAGAAATGTCAGGCTCTTGTCTCCTTGGCCCGCTTCGGAGAAATGGCATGGTGCACCCCAAACATCTTGCTCCCACTGTGCGCCCCTGCGCTGACACCTCAGCTAAGTGTGGCGAATGACAAGTCCTCGCTGCTCACCGTGAGCCTCGAATTGCTACTACAGAGCTCTCAATGCTCTCTGGGCCGTGGACCTGTCGAGGTTTATCTCAGAGCTCAAGCTATGCTTTCCCTGATCCGCTTTGGAACTGCCGTCTGCAACCAAACAAAAACCCTGGACTGGTCCTGGCATTGGTTGCCTGCTGGCCTGCTGAAGACTTGGCTTGAAGTGCGCCGACCAACTCCAAGTGCTGACTACAATGACTTGAGCTGAGCCCCCAAAATCAAAAAATGTCAAAACAAAACTCCAATGTTCTTGCCGCGTATCTCTTGTAGCTGTTCCCAACCAGCATGCTTTGCCAGAGCCTCGAGTAAACCGTTCCATGACACTTCTCACAGAAAGAACTCCAAGATGTGGCAGCTTGGGTGCTGGACACTCTTGCTTGCGCAGCTGCTCAGAACGAACCCCAGAACCCACAGCTAGAGCGCGGGGCGCTGGACATGACTTCAGGCGTCATCGCCCAATTGGGCAGCATCGTTGAAGGTGATTGTGGTCAAGGCAGGTCTGACTGCAAGCCATGGACGAGTTGCAAACGGCGTTCAAATAATTGCTGCATAAGGGTAGGCATGGCACAGACATATGCTGAAAGCTTGGATGGTTCACTGGGTAGATGCAGCTCCAATGAGGGCCTCAGCTGGCTCCCGGGCACTGCTGTCACTGCGTACTGCGAGATGGGCCAGAGGGTGCACTTGCCATGGCAGCCGTCACCATATTCGCAACTGAAGTTGGCTCAATACTTGAATACGATGTCGAGCCGCAAGCCGCTGCGCGCGTGCTGTTGCGAAGCAAGTTTGCTCGGCAACATAGAAAAATACCCTTAACGCGCTTGTGGTGTTAACCCGAAACGTGGTGTTTTCAGCAAGCAACCCGAGAGCGGGAGAGGAATCGACCCTTGTTTCGACAACCATGTCAGACTGACCCAAGGTTGGCAGTGGTGAAGAAGTAACTTCTGACTTATCCTGTTCTTCCAGAATCAGCTAAGATTTGACTATGATGTGGCAACCCCCAATCGTGCTGTGATTCACACACACTCAGTCAACAAAACGAATACTTGCTCACTTTTGTCATTGGAAATGGACAATTTGCAGCCAGGGCGTACTTCAAAAGTCCCAACGTGAAGCGGGGGCAAGTCTGCCATATCCAACAAAGCTTCGCAGGAGCGCGCCTTTCTGCCACGAAGCACCCTGGTAGTCTCGACGACAAAAAGCGCGAGGCCGTCAAAATTAGGGAGGCCTCCGTGCGCACAGCAAGACGAAGATCACCAGAGCGCCTGCGAGCCAGGCCAAGGCAGTCCAGGGTCCCGCAGCGACCAGGAAGTTGGAGACCGTGCTGAGGGAAGCAGTGGTCAGCAGGAAGAAGAAAACGATCCCAACAGACTGCCTAGGCCAAAGAATTGTTCCGAGGCCTCTGTAACCAAGCTGTTCTTTGTGCCCCTGCGGCTTAGAAAGAAACCTCTGCATATTGCAGGGGCAACCAAAACACTGGCAAGGCAAAGGAGAGCCAACGCAACCAGCTGGAATGCTGGCGAGCTGCAGATAGTCCGAGAGCCTGGTTAAGCCTCGCGGTTGCGCAAAGCGGTCGCAAAGGTAGATGATCAACAGAACGAAGTACGGAACATAGAAGCAGTTATTGGCGAGAAGCATCCCAGCCGTCCAAGCCACCGCATACTTCATCGGGGCACCTCCCATCAAGAGGGCCACCAGTGTCTCCATGCCTGGACATCTCCAAGTCAAGCTTGCAGTTGAAAACCAATACTTTATGCACATCGCTTAACACTTTTTGTAAAAAAAACCTGCTCCCCCTCGCAAAACCAACGTGCCGCTAAAACGTGGCCCAAGAAGAGGATGTTCCTCGTCAGTCAAGAGATTGTGGAACGCCGGTGCTAGGCGCAAATATCATTCATCATGTCTTTATATTTTTCTTTTAACGTCTATATGTAAACTAGTAACACTACCGTTGTTGATGTTGTTGATACAACTACTTTTCAGGGAGGAGAACTGTTTTTTTAAGCCAGAGCTGCTGAGGCTGAAGGTGGGTGTGATCAGAAGCAGTATGTAAGGCCAGGGCAAGTTGGCGGCCAGAATGGGCGCCGTGAGCTCCTGCGGCAAAGACTAGGACACACGGCCCAGATAATCCGGAAACCAGCCAGTCTATATGTTTGCATAGAGCAACTTTATTTGCACGAACTCAAATGTGCAGATGCTTAACCCCTGCCCGCCCTCATGAATGTTCATCACGGTGAAAACGAACACAAGAGTTGGAAACATGGTGGGGAAACAAAGCATGCGTGGCTTCCATCCTCGCGCAAAGGCCCCTGCACGAAGCACGTGAATGCTCGGGTGCTCCCGTACCAATCCGAGATGGCTGAGTGAATGAAGCGCCCTCAGTGTCCCGTGTGCCATGGTCTAAACTCCTTTGGAGAAACACCTCAACGCTTGCATGACCATCCCCTTGCCTCGGCAAACGTTCAAGTTTTGACTATGGCACACACACCAAAACCATAAAAACTGCCGCTTGTTAATGGACAAGTCTTGGCTTCCCGGAAGGATTTAAGCTTTCGTGAATCAAGCATGGAAATCCCTTTGCGTTCAACGGATGCTAGAGAATTAAGACCCAATCAAACGACATGAGAGGTAGGAGCAATTGCAGCGGCCGTTGTTGCGCTTGACATCGCAGCGATGAAAGAAGTCATTTGGCGTTGCGATGGATTAGTTTCCTGTTCGTACTAAAGAACAGAAACAGCAGAGGCAAACAAGGCACACCAGAAAAAAGGAAACAGCAGAACAACAAACAGGAGCATCAGGAAAACAGAACGAACAAACGGAAAAAGCAGCAGCAAAAAAAGGAAAAACAACAAGAAGCTGCGAAAGCGGAAAAAATGGGAACAGCGAGAAACGGGTAATTACACTATGAAGATGCAATGAGAACAAAGAACTTCATACTATCCAAATGTTTGCATGTTCTGTAGTCCCAAACATTGGTTGCAGCACCAGTAGCAAGCATGACAGAAGTGCCGTCCTACCTCGCTGGGTCCTGCTATGGGATAGATCTTTGCCACCTGATCGTTTTTAAGATTCTTGCGAAATGCGCGCGAGAAATGGGATGGAAAATCTGGGAGGATCCGAGAAACGGTCTGATTCGCAGTAGCACTCCGCCGAGTCCAGGTTGAAGGTCCTCATGTCTGCCAGAAGTTGGTGCTTTGCGCGGTAGTTCTTTCCTGGCTGGTGGTTTGTGGTCCTCGAAATCCCAAAAGGGGACCTTTTGGCATGCTAGTTATGCTTGAGTTCAAAGTCCTTCCAAATTAAAACGCGAACGCTCATGGTTTCTGTTTGTATGGAAAAGAAAAAAGACAGAATAACAACACCTAGTTGCGAAGCAGGTGGACTCCAGGTAGAGCGGGCACTGCAACCCAGACATAGGCCGCAATAGATGCACCCCCCTCGCCCGAGCGCGCAAGCCAGAACAAAGCGTTGCCTCCGCAAAGAAATAGCCAGATGAAGAACACGGCCATCTCGACGAAGAGCGGCGCAAGAGTGACCTTTCCCGTCGGGTTGGCTGTACGGAAGGCCGCCAGCTCAAAAATGCACCAGAGCCTGGACCTCATGGCGGTCGGTTGGTTGGTTGTGTGACTGCAACCTCACACGGGTTAGGCAGCCAAGTCAATGTACACGTGCCCAGGGGCAGCAAAATGCCACCGCCAAGGTGAAAATGCAAAGGGCTAGAAAGGGCTAGTAACAAAACATGATGGCTGATGAGGGAAAGCAGGGGAAAAGGAGAAGCATAAGAGGACCGTGGAGAAGAAAAGGAAATGACCATCCCCAAGACGTGAGAAGGACAGTGCCGGGTGATGGCGGCGGCAGTGGTGGTGGCGTGGATGGCGGCGGTTGGCAGTTGTTGTGGCTGTGGTTTGTGGTGGCGGTGGTGGTGGTTGGTGGTGGTTGGTGGTGGTTGGTGGTTTGGGGTGGTGGTTGGTGGTGGTTGGTGGTGGTTGGTGGTTGGTGGTTGGTGCTTGGTGGTGGTTGGTGATTGGTGCTTGGTGGTGGTTGGTGGTGGTTGGTGGTGGTTGGTGGTTGGTGGTGGTTGGTGGTGGTTGGTGGTGGTTGGTGGTGGTTGGTGGTGGTTGGTGGTGGTTGGTGGTGGTTGGTGGTGGTTGGTGGTGGGTGGTGGTTGGTGATTGGTGGTGTTTGGTGGTTCGTGGTGGTTGGTGGTGGTTGGTGGCGGTTGGTGGTGGTTGGTGGTTATTGGTGGCGGCGATGTTGACTGTGGGCGAAGCAACCCGCCACAAACAGAGACAACTGAGGGCTCGACAGGTACGGCGGGCTCCACAGCACACGCAGCTCCCGCGACACTGAGAGAAAGCCGCCAATTCCGCGGACACCGCGTTGCCTCAGAGGCGCGCATAGAGCGCTCCATGCTGTTCCATGGATGTGAGGCTTAATCGCTCGACAAACTGCGCACAGTCGTTTCTTATTGCATACACAATTTGTGGAGTACGTTGGCCTTATCATACATCTTACGCACCAGATAAAGCAAACAAACTATGGCTTGTCGAAGCTGGGCGGCATGAGGGCCTTGTCTTCCTGGTGGATGCATGCAACATCCACAAAGCAGACAGGAGACCTGCTGGGCAAGTAGAGAGAGACCACCGAGACCAGCGCCGGACCTATCGTCCCTGACGCCAGGATCCAAAAGCCCATGGGGCAAACGCCCTGGAACGCAAGCAGGTTAGCTTCATAGACGAAGGGCAGGGGCAGCACCCGGGTAACACAGAGCACGAAGCTCGTGGTCACAAAGACGGCCCAGGAGACCAGGAAGATGCGCCAGCTACTCTGCAGGTGCAAAGACAAACCCTTCCGCCAACCCGGAGTCCACCAAGTGTGGGAGATGAACATATCCAGCTGGTCGATGGGCTTGGACTTGGCGTACAAAGCCATGCGGTGCTGGGTGCTGAAGGTTTTGGGCGAGTAGCGCCACAGGCGCCCCGCCCCTGTCAGGGTACTGCTCAAAGCGACGCCACGCAGAATGTCCACGTCTGGCTCCAGCACCTTCACCAACTCAGAGGCGCCGCTCAGACTTAGCGCCAAGGGCTCGGAGTCATGGGCTTGAAACGATTCAGACATGCGCCCAGCATCCTCGTTCACATCACCCTCGTCGCCCTCGTCGCCCTCGTCGCCCTCGTCGCCCTCGTCGCCCTCGTCGCCCTCGCCGCTCTCGCACTCGGCCGAGAAATGGTGAAGCCGCGCCGGGAACTTGGCCTCGCAACCTGGTCAAAACCACCAGGCGCAACCTAAGCCGGCTGGCCTCAATATCCGCGTGGTCCTAAAAACTTCCTCTCTTGCCTGCTATTCATGCACCAACCTGGCCTTCGTCCTCGCGCTGTGCTTTCACTGCCTCGCAGCACTCTGGCTTGCAGCCGCTGACTTGGCCCATGGCTTCAACTGTCTGGCATCAAAGCTGTCTAAAGACGTATCACAGAGCTGTCCTGGCCGTTTCACAGTCGGCCAAGCTATATGTCGCCGAAACTGACTGAAAGCTGACACAATACGAAGCAAACCCAATACACCCGAGCAACACAACTAAGAGCATGCTGATTGTTTGGCCTTGCTCTTTCCACGGCCTGCCTGAACTTACTTGTCATCTGTTTCCTGCGGATGTTTTGAAATTGTGTGTTAGACCATTATGCGGGCGCTAGCACTTAGAATATTGGTTGACTTAGACTATAGGCCAACGCGCTTAACGCTTGCCGTGTCGACTCGAAAGCTGTCCACCGTGCTGGAGCCGGCGCAAACAAAATCTGAAATCCTGAACAACCCAAATCGTGAATTGAATCGCAGGTGCTGTGCCTGCGCAAACAAAATTTGAAAGTGATACCGTTCTAAGAAGTTGTCCACCGTGCCGGCGCACGACTGAAAGTGTCACTATTCTAGAACAACCCAACTTCGTGAATTGGACACACAGGCAGTCCCAAATGCTCTAGTGCATTGCACGGTTCCATAAATGCCGTCGCGAATGCAAAGCAGAAATGCCCGAACCTCTGCCAAAAACACGAGGAGTTGCAAGCCAGGCCCCGAAAGGATTCGATTCGCAATCGTTTTGAAAGAAAACTGACTGTCTTGGCCGGCCACTGAGCAACATACAGCGCGTCGAAAGTACATGCCATGAGTAGGATCACTCTTGAGCCTGCCATTTACAGCCTCCTCAAGCCGCTCAACGGGCAGCCAGGCATAGTCAAACCCGAGTAAACTTTGACTGGAAGCTCATACTGGGGGGCATTTACAACAATGTTTAAGTGTCTGAAGAAAGGCGAAGTCAGCACAAACTTGCAGCAGCTGAGCGTTGAGAGGTGGTGCAAAACGTTCCAAGGAGGGCTACCCCACGAACATTGAATTGCGATGGCCTGGTCTTCAGCCAGCATGGATGGATGGCGGCACACACACGTACAAATCCATGAGCATGGCGTACTAAATAAGAACAAGGAAATGAGAGGTTGACCAAAACTCCTGATGACGAAGAATTCGGCCATCTGCACAAAGAGCAAGCAAACCTGCCATAAGTTTGACCATTGCTGATGGTATGCAGCACCATCGGCTGCCACACAACAGGCCTCCTATGACTTCCAAGCCAGCATGCGATACTCAAACGCCCTGAGCAACTTGCTGAGCACTTGCATTGCATGACCACTTGGACATCCACCTTCATAAAAACCTACTCGCTGATGTCTTCCTCGATGGTCTGAAGACTTGGTCAATTGCCCTCGCCTGGTTGCTGCCGCCGGCACGTTTTTGCTGGTGTCTAAAAACGTGAACTGCGTTCACATTGCAAAGAATTCCTCGTACGGTTCCTTCCCGCTTTGAATTGTCCTGTTAGAAACTATGCGGGCGACTGGCACTTGAAAAAAAAAATGAATGCGGCACAAGGAATATAGTTTTTCCCAGTGTGGGCGGAAAACGTGTCAGCTCTGCGCCGGCTGCGCCACCTGCGCTGTCGCCATCTGTGCCTCGCCTCCTAGACGCCGCCAGGATGGGCGACTAACGTGACATTTAAAAAAAAAAATGGAGAAAAAAATGAAAGAATCCAGGAAGAAACATCTGCTATGTCTACATTCTAGGTGTCAGCAAATACAAAGTGCTGGCCTGACACAAATTCTGAGTGGCCACAAAAGGCAAAGAAGCAGTGGCGGGGCACAACATCTACAAGCAACCAGGGCACAAAGTGGCCACAGCAGATATAGCAATCCGAAATCGTAGGGGTGAATAAGTTAGACCAGACCTTGCCCTTTTTTTTCTATAAAAAATCCTAGGACCCCCCCCCCCACACTTTTAGCAACATTTTAAAACAGCGCCCCAAAACAGCACATTTTCAAAAATCAACGTTTTAAAGCAGGTAATTTCATAGCAAGTTCATCCATATTTTAAAATATAAATTTTAAAATAAATTTTACCAAAAGAAAACTAAAAAAAAAAGTTTTCAAAAATATAGTTTTACAAAATATAATTTTACAAAATATATTTTTACAAAATATAAGTTCACAAAATTTTCAAAAAATATTATTCCAACAATTATGATAAATTATTTTACAACAAATTTTATCACAAATTTTGTAGACATATTATGGGCAATGTTATGTTTATTCGTTTTTGAGGGGACACCATTCTTCTTTAATTCTTTTCAGTATTTTAGCACTCGTTGTTTCATTATAAATATTACTTCCTATTGTTTCAAAACAATCCCATTAATCCAATTGCATGTGTTATTGTATATCTAAGTTCGTCAATTCTATACTCATAATTTAAAAACTCATTTAAAAAACCAAAGTCAGTATCAATCAATACATCATACTTTAAACGTTTAATATTAAAAGACATATTGTATATTTTTCCATACTATAAACTTAAAAATATAATCATTACCATTTCCTTCATCATCGCCCTCATATAGTAAATTACCAAACCCTTCTATATTCAAGAAAATTATTCATTTCAATAAACACAAATATTTCTAAATCATCATCAAGAGTTTCATTATTTCTAATATCAATATCTTTCTTGTTCATATCATCAATCTTTTTTATAATTCTATTGCAATTAGTGCATATCATGTATTGACAAATATTATTACAAACGCCATTTGTAAAACCCCGTTTAATTGGAAATTTTAAGAATCTCACAGTCTTCACATTTATAACTCATAAACTTTTTTCAATAGATTTTTAGCATTAATATCATCACGGACTGTATCACTCATCACACTATATAATAGTATTATAAAATATTTCTTTAAACACTTTTTACAAGAATTCTTTTATAATAAAATTTCTAAATATTTTTTAGTTTTTTACAGTAAACTTTCTATGTATGTTTAACAAAGCAATAAATTAAACTCATTTGTAAATTCATTATCATCATTTACAACTACAATTGCATAATTTACAAAATGGGATGATATTTTCTATTGTATGAGTTAATTCATTATCTTTTCGTTGTGCTGTTAGATTAGTCATTGTATTACCATTCTTCATATCAATAGTAAAACCGCAACCGCAGTAATTACATTGATTATGTATATTATCTAAAAACCATTGAGTATTTACATAACCTTCTCTAGGTATGCTTCTTTTTGCTTTCCTGTCTTGTTCCTTGTAATTCAAAATTTTCCTTTCAAAATAACTCATAATACATTTTTGATTAAATACATCATCAACATCTTTTGTACATTTATAAAAATTTGACTTTGTTTAAATCACGAGCACGTGTTACCGCTGTGACAATCCATTCTGGATAATTCTTTACCAAAAAATGATTATAATCAAAAATTGTTATGGTGTCATCAATGCTACTACCTTGAGCAGAATGACATGTAGAGCAAGAAGCAAATATAAAGACGCGGTCGTCCAGAGACTGGATGGCAGCTGCGTTGTTGCCCGAGGCTGCCGTGTTCACAGCCAGGTCTGCCACTTGCGCGTAGGGCGTCAGAGCTAGGGCCAGCTGCCCTGCGGTGACGCGCGTGCCGTCCGTTACCTCTCCGTTGTCCAGGACCTCCGGGATGTTGCCGGTGACAGGTCCTTCAAACATGTTTTCTTAGGACACCAGTAGTCCAGCACCAAAACTCCCGTGCCGGAGAGCGTCACCAGCTGGTAGGCCACGAGGTGGATGAACAGGAGCGGGCGCTGACACCACTCAATGGTATCTTGTCGCCCACACGCCCGATGTCGATGTTGCGCGCCGTGTCGTCGTACGTACCCGCAAGGACCGAGAGGAAGTGGAAGTGCTTTCATGGGGTTGTGAGGGTACTGCAGGCTGCCCAGCTGCATCTGCGACTCCAGGAGGCTGTCCTCCTGCCTCGCTGCGCCGCTGGGCGCCACGTCCTGCCCCGGGTTGGCCAGCAAGTGGATCTTCGCCACGGTGACGTTGTGCTCCGCCACGCTGTTCGGGACGCTGGACTGCTGCGTGTGCACCGTGGGGTAGCTGAACACAAAGGACCTTCCTGAGAGGAGCACCCGGTTGAAGGACTCGACCAGCGCCGAGTCCAAGACGTGGGAGGCCAGAACTCGGACGTTCTGGATCTCGAAGTCGGTGCTCAGCGTGGCTCCTGCCGGGTGCGCCCCGGCGTTCTCGGAGCACAGCGCAGTCGCGGCGTCCGCGAACTCGATCTCGATCACCAGGTTCAGCTGCGGGTGCCGCAGCGCAGGATGCCCCATGGTGGGGCGCAGCAGCACGTCCGCGTAGCCGTTCTGGTGCACCGCACGGGCAATGCGGGGGTCGTTGCCTCCATGGCCTTGTTGCGGTTGTACTCTCGGCCCTTCAGCAGGTCGTGCACGGCCACGGTGCGGCCGTAGGGATGAGCTGATGCAGAGCCTGGACTACAAGCTGAAGACGAGCAACACCAGCTACGTGACGGCGCGGCTCGGGTCTGCCGCATCCCGCTGACCACCCCCGCCTGCTTCGTCCAGCGCGTACAACGGCCAGCGCTGCGACGACATCAACGAAGGAAACTATTCCTCTAGCGCCTACCTAAATGTTGGCGCTAGAGGAATAGCATTTTTCAGCGCAAAATCGCGCAAAAGCTATTAGTCTAGTGTAGCGCAAAATCGTGCAAAAGCTATTACTCTAGTGTCTACATTGATGTAGGCACTAGAGTAATAGCATTTTGTGGCGCAAAAACCACGACGCCCAGGAGAGCGTTGGCCACCTTGGTGTCGACCTCCAGCGGCGTGATCCTTGCTGCGATGTCGAGGGAGCGCTGGTCCACCACCGTCTTGAGGCCGTAGTTGGCGGCCACCGTGGCCAGTGTGGCGTTGTTGGCCGAGGCGATGGAGCCGTTCATGGCTGCCGCGGTGCTTCAGGTCCACGCTGTCGGGGGTGCTCTTCGTGGCCACCACGCCCTCCAGCACGTCGAAGGTCGACTGGTCGGCCTTGTTTGAGAGACCTGTGGTCAGCGAGCTCTGCAGCGCTGCAATGCTGCTCCCATGCGC